ACTCACACCGAGGAGGCAGAATGAAATTGAGGGAGCAGCTGTTGAACGACTTAGCTTCCCTTGTTAAGAATTCAATGTAACAAAATAAAATTGTCAAGACATTCACTATTTATTCCGATTTTTTTTTATTCACCATTCTCTCTGTCTCCGAACAAACTGACAATTCTGTTCCTTCGTGAATTTTTCATGAGCTCCAAAATGCTTTCCTACATACTTCTTTATCCCCAATATATTCCTCAACTCGAACTATTACAAATGCGCATCTCCAAAATTCCCATTCTCCCTTCAATATCGGATCGTCGTTGAATTAATAAATGATTGATGGTGTTTTAAAAGACAATACCAAACAAAAGAAGCGTATTTTGTCGCTGAAAGACGATGAAAAAATGTCCTTTCTAATGACTTTTTCCACCACACCAAAGAGAGAAAAACACAAAAAAACAAAGCACCTTCCTGCACAATAACACCACCAAGCAGAATGCAGTGACATTTTTAATTTATCTTCATCACACATCCAATATGACAGCAGCACAGTGGCCAAAGTATAATCAAAATAGTTTGCAACATTCATCACAAAAGCCTGTTATTATAAATTCATCCACCAACCATTTACTTTAGCCCCGGTTTGTGCTAAATCTCACAACTCTCTGCACACACTTTGCAAACAAATTTGATAGCTGTTCGGCATTTTCCACCCTCGAGGGATTTTGCTAAATCACCTTACAAGCCTGGGTGTAACATTTGCTGTATATCGTTTCATTCTCTCTCTCAACGTTATGTATCAATGTTTGTACATGAAGGGATGACTTCAGGTTATATTCAAATGCTGCTGACACATAATTCCCATTCAATTTCACAAACTCAATGTCTTCCGTGTCATTTCAAAATGAAAATCACATTACATATAAGGACATTAAACTTTTGATTCCTTCCAAAAATCGCAGACATGTTGGATGAAACATTGAAAGAACGCATCAATAGAAAAAAAAATCACAGTTCCCATACATAAACTCTAATCTACAGCAGTGCAGAAAGCTGTTAATACGATTATTGTTGTGTTTATTAACATTAATGGGGAATCTCAATGAGATTGCGAATTTAATTACTCACTAAAATACTGACCATAAAGATCTATTGCCAAGTTACAATCCTTGCAAAGTTATCATCATTTCAATTCGTCCAATCCTTCAAAAACACCACTTCTTTCATACCAAATGATAGAGCGCACTTGTTAGCAAACTTTCCATCCAATAAAACCCGACACGGAGAAATGATAGGAAAAATTCAAGTATAATTATCTCTCATCTACAGTTAGCCTAGTCTTTATCAACAAACATGTTGTCATTCAATGGCTGGACTTCAACAAGATTTATGTATGTCACATTTACCCATCAAATTTTCTCCATTGTTACAGCGCTGTTATTTATAATTTAGCAGTGAATATTAAACTGTCCCGAATTTCTGTTCTTGCATTTATCTCACATGATATTTATGCAATAACATGTGAAGAGACAATCAATTCATATCCACAAATAACAGAATTGCGATATTGTCACAAACACTCCCGTGGCTCCATAGCAAAATGTCCACTCTTGCGAAATGCGACAAAACGGAAGTGGAAAATTTTCCAATTTACAAACCCCTCTAGATCAACATTCAATTTTATTGTAATTGCATTAAATTATATAATTTTTTCTGCTACTGCCAGTTCCTCTTCACACTGAATTAAAATGTGTATAGCCAAGTGACATGAGTTAGGAGTCATAATACTGTTAGGACAAGAGAAGCTGATAAATCGTATTATAAATTTATTTCTTTGTGCCCCAGATTTTTCCATGCCATCTCATTCTCTCTCTCCCTCTCACTCTCACTCACTCCATTATCATCCCACATGATTGGCGAGCAATTTTGGCGACATTATTACATTTTACTATTGTTCTATCTGCATCTCTCTCCTGTAATTAAATAATCCGCCCCAACCATTTCAATGTTATCGATTCTCAATGTGAAAATCCCCCATTTGACGAACGAGAAATAAACCATCTGAGCCGCGAATTGAGTTCAATAGAGAGACAAATTTATGAATTATTCACCCAAATTGCCTTCTCTAGTTCAAATTGCTTAGTATAGAAAAACAAGTATAATTTCAACCTTGGCGCAACAATTTGATATATGTATAACCATCAGAAAATTTGCCGAGATACACCAAGAGGTGAGCTCTGTTCGCCAAATCGAGGCGAAATTGTAGCCAAAAACCTATTAAGAAGCTCCGCGTCCCATATGTACAGGCCATCCTTCACTTTTTTCCCACCACTTCTCCCATGTTTACGATTACCCAGTCAACAATCCAAATACTAAACTACTTGGCAGAGATCCCACGAATTTTCCGCGATGTAGGGAGTTCCTCAAACGTCAATAAATAGATCTCTCTCTCTCTCTCTCTCTCTCTCTCTCTGTTGATGCTTTGCATTTCCCGCGCACTCACAATTCTTTTACATCCAATCCACATATGTTGACGACATCTCCCCACTTCTTGACACTTTCAGTGCGCTTCTGTGGCCGGAAATTATGTGGAAAGCCTCAACTCTACATATTTCATGCCACACAACTTTCAATTGAGTCACCCCAATGGATATATTCCCTCCACAATCAGATGCGATATTATGCCGTACCATTTTCATCCCTGCTCGAATCACGTATCAGAACAAACTTTCTCGCACACAACTTTCCCCTGGTCGTGTTCAGATTGTTTAGAGTCGGAGAGAGTGATAAAGTTTTTGGGAGTCTACAGAGAATTGTGTTGCAAGGAAGAAAAATAAATGTATTTATTCATATTACCTAATGACTTTAAAAAGAGTTTTACATTAATTCCCTTCAATTTAGCTAAGAGTTTGTGTGAAATTAATGTTTAAAGGTTCGAATTACTGGCGGAATTTGAATAATAACCTAATCCAGATTAGAGACAAGTGAGAATGAGTACAAAATCACTAATAAAGTGTTGTATGGAAGTGTTGAAAATTCACATGACTTTAAGGCCTTTAAAATAAGACACTGGACTATATATATATGTGTGTGTGTGTTAGTTTAGTTTCAAATCAAATTGATGCACTAAAAACCTCATAGCTTCTAAATAAGCTAAGCTAAGCGTGCTCTTATCTAACACTTCATCCTTGTTCCTCTTTTGCCGCCACGGCGTCTTTGCACGCAGTCGTCATCCCAATTACCGCCGAATTATGTAAGCAGCTGATCTTCATATTAAGACGGACTTGCACACCATGTTTTGCCCTCTTAATATTCTTATGTGAATTTCCCACCTTCCAAGCCAACACGTTAGCTTACATTTCGTGCCTTCAATTAAATCACATTCCGATTTCTTTCCACCTTCTTCTTTTGCCTTTTCGCACATCTTCCTCTCCACTGTCTCAATGTGTCTCCTCTTCCCGAATATTCTCCACTTAGGCACAATATTATTAAAATATATTTCATAGTGCGTGCTTGAGATACACAACAAGATGCGAATCCAAAAATAAACATCTGAGATTCCTCAAATATTTTGTGAAAATTTCAGCAATTTTCAAAACACGCCACACACCAAAGAGGTTTTCCAACACTTTTTCTGCTTCACTGACGACTGTTGATATTGCGTTTGGGCTTTGTATAGCATTGTTGGGTAATTAATAACTCACTGCCTTTCGTGGGCAATTCATGATATTACAAAATTCTTTGACTGCCAAAATATCCCCACCAAAAATACACGACAAGGAAGAAAATGAGAATAGAAAATTTTCTCTGGAAATTGACAACTTCCTCATCAACCTTAGAAATTTTGTTGAAAAAGAAAATTTTAGGCGCATGCTCACATGACAATTTTCACTCTATTTCAGAACTCTTGGCACCTCTCTTATCGCCAAGTCACAGTGGTTGAAGTCAAATGTAAATGGCGAAAAAGAAACATCTATTAAAACACTTAGGAAAACGTTAAAGCACGACTTACGTGCTTAACATAAAGCAACTCTTAATCTAATTTGCATCTTTCTTGCAAGCACGGATTCCTTTTTAGCTAAGTAAGAACCTCTTTTGCACTTCCTACGGTAAATTAAAGTCCCAATAAATGTTTTACCTGAGCATTAAAAACCTCTCTAGATGTGAAAAAAAATTGACAATTGTAATTGTTTTCACATCAATTCGCCTTGCAATATTCTCACTCGTAAAAAGAGAGAAAAAAAATGTGGCACACGACCAAATCATTGGTGTTTTAAAGCTATTTCGCCCATCACGAAAGTTCAACATGAAATGCAATGATTAAGGAAGGGAGGACATGCTGAAAGAGGAGTCAAAGGCGTCTACCCTGACTTGTTTTATCAATCGCCGCGCTCTTCTGGCCTCAATCACCAGGGGCACAATCTGCTCTGGCATTCCTCAATTCCACCAGCGCGCAGAGACACAACAGTGGCACTCAGAGCAAGAAAGATTGGGACGGTTTGTGTTTTCGGGCTTCTGGGCGTCGCGATAGCCCGAGTCAGCTGAGGCGTGGGCCTTATCAGCCAAATGTGGCAATATCATGGGAGAAATGTGAGAAGAGAGAAATGCAGGAAGTGCCTCTAAATCACGACTTATCCGAAGAGCTTCTTGGGCCTCTTCCTCAGCGTGGTCAATCTCTCTTTATGACCTTCGGAGGTGGCAGAAAAAGGTGTGGAGGGCGCGCGATAATCTCTCACTCTCTCGCGCGGCTGTGGCAAATCTTCTGGGCGACACCGATAACGAATCTTGACAGTCATTAATGAATTCATCGCGCGGTGAAATCCCACGGAGGTGGGCAGATAAAGATATGTGTGACCAGGTGAAAAAGAGAACATCGCGATAAGGGAAATTGAGGCGCCGCGCCGGAATCGACAGATTGATCAAATCAAGTCCAGGGTCGCCGGGAGCTTTCTCTCCTCCTGACCGCCGCTCCCGGACAGGGGTCATTGTCCGGCGGAGCAGGGAAAGTCTCTCCTCACCTTGGAATACAGTTGGGGGGTGTTCTGTCCACTTCCCAGGCCGCGAACAGCTTCATGGGCACTGGCTTGGTGAAGTTGGACATCTTCTCCAGTCGCGTGCTCTTCTCCGTCATCCTGGCTCACACGCTCAAAGTTGATTTGCACACAATTGAGAACTGGGGGGCGCTTCTCCAGGCGCCCAGCGCAGCCCCTTTTTCGCACACACACACGCAACACACTTTGCGCTCTCGCCAAACAATGAAAACTCCTGGCGAGTCACTTAATTTTCATCATGTACGTGCACACCTCACGGCTCTCTGCGTTGCACTTGGTCACTGAGTCAGTGGGTCTGCCCGTGGAACGGCTACTTCACCATTTTGCACCAATTTCAGTGAGTTTTCAGCAATTTTCTCCGTCCAGAGCGCACAGCAATACACACCGCGACGACGACACCGACTGAAAGTCTCACTCCAACAGACAGCGCCTCTCGCGAGCCGAAAACATCTTCTGTTATACTCTGTTATATCGACGCTCTTCGCGACAGCTGCCGGGAAATTCTCCAAATACAGCGAATGACCGCCAATTGAACGAGTTCGATTTGCACAGGAAATCTTTAGCAACATTTATTGCGCGTGACAAATAAATAAATGATGTGAGGTGTTGAAAAATAAGCTGACCATGGAGGGCCTAGGAGAATTCCAGCTTCCTCGGGGTCATAAACTCATTGAGAACGTCATCCGTCACCAGTTTCCTGCGCTTCTGGTGTTCCTCCACAATCGGCTGCAGCGTCTGCAAGGCAAAATCCATCATCAGCAGTGCTTTCCAGAGCTTCATAATTCACTTCCTCACCTCTACCGCCTTCTTCTTAATCTCCCCGCTCAGCATCTGTCCGGTGGAGTAAGCCACGCGGACGCGCTCGAGCTCCTCATCGTCTTCCAGGAAGAACTTAAGTAGCTGATAAGGAACATCGATGTCCGTATTGCCGCCTAAACTGCGATGTTCCTCCACAGTATCCCGCCCGCCGGAGAACGCGTGCTTGTTGATCTTTGTTTTGATCTGTTTGGGCGTATCCGTGAGAAAGATTGCCGAGTTCTGGTCACTCGCGGACATCTTCGACTTCGCGCCCTGCAGAGCCGGGAAGAATGTCGAGTGGAGAAGAGCGGGCTTCGGGAAGCCCAGCCGTGGCGCCACGTCGCGTGTCATTCTGAAGTACGGATCCTGATCGATGGCGCATGGCACCAGGCACTGCACTTTCCGGTTGCCGAAGATGAAGGGAAAGGTTGTGGACAAGCACGGCACCGCCTGGGCGGCAGGAAAGCCAATCTTCCCAATCACATCCGAGTCACCGAAGCCAAAGATTCCCTTCACCTGGTTGAAAGTGACACATCTCTGGATTCTGATGATGTTCTGATACATTTCCGAGCACTTCCTGCAAAGGAAATCCACTCAATTATGATTTTCAGTTTCTTCAGGACTCGAGGAAGCGATAAAACTCACCCCATAAAGTCCAAATTGGAAAATATGAATGTCTTCCGGACGTCAAAGCCAAGCGCAATGATGTCCTTGGCGTTCTCTCTCGCCAATCGCATTGTCTCCTCCACTTTGATGTCCTTCCACAGCGCCTTCTCGTCGTCCGTGAGCTGGATCACCAGCGGCACATCGAAGAGCTCCTGGAACCACTTGGTGATGATGAAGGGCACCAAGTGGCCCAGATGCATGGACTCCGACGAGGGTCCGCGGCCCGTGTACAGGTAGAACGGCTTTCCCTGCTCCTTCAGCGACAGGATCAGGTGGAGATCACGGTGAGAGAAGAAGATGCCGCGCCTCAGTAGATGATGGCAAGGCTTTCCGGTGATTTTCTCAAATCTCTGCAGTATTTCGTCATCCAATTTGGACGAACCGAAGCGCTCTGGAAAGATAATCAATCAGCGTCCTTCGTGCCACGTACACTTCCTGTGCGTCAGTCTTTCATACTTATTAACTTGTCATAATCGATGCCCGCATCGGACTTGCTGGTCACTGTCCACGGATCAACATAGTCGTCCTCCTCGCCAGCTGCACAGCCTCCTTGCGCCTCCTGCAGCGACAAGCCTTCCAGGCCATTGACGGCATCGTTCTCACTCATTTTTCACTACTTTCCGCGGAAGATACTACACACTGCTAAGCGATTTCCTATAATACTGCCAAAAGCCTCATCGCACGTGCCAAGACGGCAAGTCCATTGACAGCCCGATCGGAAAGCACACTGTAAAAAAGGGTGCTGTGAAAACAATGAAAACAGATTGTTGTTTTATGAAAATTTTAATGAAAATCCTAAAATTCTCATGGAAAAACCAAATGAAATTCCCCAAATGACGAATATGATCGCCTTGTGGCAAAAAGAAAGCGCATTTTATTCTGTTCAGATGAGAATATTCTTATAAGAATTTCTTGGTCTGTTTTATCATCATGTTTTCATCATGTTTTTTACAGTGTAGTTGACACGTCAAAAGTTAAAAAGCGTCAAAATCACATTCTCAGAAGTGCGCGGAAAGTGAGCGTCCAGAGCGTCCTTTTTTCATGAAGTTCTTCTACGTTGTCACCGTTTTCACGGGTTTCACAATATGCTTTGCGAGTCTGAATCTTATCGAGCTTTTGATCTGTTAAAGGTGAGTTTTTTCGACAATCCCAAATATGGAAACATTTGATAATAACTGGGAAAAACGTACTTTTTTTTTAGGTCAATGAGAAGTTCTTGGCGTTGGCATTCCAATTCGCCGCCCGGAATGGCACGCACAAATGGGTGATTGAACGAGACTGGAAGGATATCGAGGTTGTCCTGACGAAGTACATATCTGAGGAGAAGTACCTGAACAAGATCCACGTGGAGACACTCAATGTGACCGGTGATATTCAGCTGGAGATAACCACGAAGGAATGTCCCAGCTATTTTGCCAAGCTCTTCAATCTCAATCGTCAAGTGCTTCATGGCAATTTCCTTGCCATCAAGGTGAATTATGGGAAATTGCAGGCGAATTACGCTGTGCAGACGGGCACGAATGGCTCGTCGACGAGCTTGCCAGTTGCCACCGTAAGCGTTTTTGATTCCGAGGAGGGCAAATACGACAAGTACGTGCCAAAGAGCAAGGCTGCGAAGTCAGTTGATGCCACTTATACGCCCAGCAAGACTATCAAGACGGTTGTTGAGGAATACATTCCCGGAGAGATTTCACCTGAGACTGCCAATCAGTACAAGGCTACGAAGCGCAAGGCAGAGAAGAAAGACATCATTGTAGAGTCAGAGACTTCACCTAACATCTTTCCCTCCAGTTCAGAGTCCTCGCGGGCCAACACACCGATACGGCTAATGCCTGTGCAAACTCCCCCCAAGAAGTGGGACGAGTGGACCACCCAAGATATGTTGAAATCCCTCGGAACATGGTTTGAGGATGAAGAGGAGGTATTGCCTCAACAGCAACTTCCAGAAGACGCCAAACCGCAGCGTTCTGTGTGTGTTAACTTGTTCGGGTCTGATGACACTGATTCTGATGTCGAAGTGATCGAGCCGAAGATTGAAGAGACTGAAGGGACTGAGAAGCGAAAGAATGCGCGAAAGAAGAAATTGAAGACGGTCAGTATTGAGAACTGGTTGATGAAAGGTAATGTTGCTCCTGCACTGCCTACAACATCGAGGGCTAAGAGAGATTTGCGCATAATCAAATCTCCGGCGCGGGCGATCATGAAGAAGAAGATGACGAAAAAGACTGAAAAGACTCAGAAGTTTGTGAAAAGTCCTTGCCAAATGTGAGTAGAATGTTTTTGAAAGGGCTGAAAAATGTAATTAATAATGAATTTCTTCAACAGGAGCTGTGCCCACATTGACACTGGTAAACTGTTGCAATCATACGAACGTTTCGAGGGAGAAATGGATAAGACCATGAAGGGATTTTTGAAGACTGGACGTGTTCCCAAGATCACAGACATTGAATTCACGAGGTACACTGACTTGATAAACGGCGACCAGATTCAGATCCTGATGGACTTTCTGTCCACGAAGTACGAATTGACGAATGTTGGTGGAGACTACGGGAGACTGATTAGGATAATCAGTGATTACATTCTGCCCGAGTGGACATTCCGATTCACCATGATCACTCACAATGTCACTCGAAGCCAACTCATTGACTACTTCAATAAGAAGGACCGAAGGGATGCTAAGGCTTGGACTGCCACGACGCAAATCTAATTCATTAATTTTTCATTAATTTTTTTCATTAATTTTTTTTCGTTAATTTTTTTCATTCAAAATTAATTACTGTTGAATTTCGATTGAAATAGTTGATATAATTGAAGTATGTAATTGAATTTGGATTGTTCTCGTCTCTTCGAGAGTCAACGAATCATTTCGAATGTGATTCAGGAATATTCCAGAAACACCTCGAATGTTGCGCGCGGTTCCAGACTGCTCGAACATTCGACAAGCCTTTATATTGGCCCACTTTCTTCAGAAGAGACACAGTCAAAATCAACCAGTTGAAGTATTCAAATGAAGCAGAATTAAGCAACGAACAATAGAAAAAAAATGTCTCATGAGCGTCCCATATCTCTCCAAGTCTCTGGTGAGCAATGAACAAGTGATTGAAGTCCAAAGAATAGCGTCAAAGGAGGAGAGCAACTCCGTCAAAAAGGCTGTAGATGAGAAGTTCCCACTTCTTTATAAATCATGAAATCATGGAAGTCATATAAATAAAATTATTCGAAATATGATTCGGTTCATGGCTTTTTATTAGCTTTAAGTTTGATTTTGCAAGAACGATGACTAATTTAGAGATAACATTAAATTTCAAAGGCAGTTTAGTGATAGAGACTTGGTCAAAAATTCCTTTGGTTAAGCTTTATGCCCTTCTTTCGCTGCTTTACAACTTATAGGCTTGCCTCATCATCAGATCGAAGTACGCATCATTGTCCACTGAGGCCGATATTGAGGAGTAGTAATTAAGGAATTCTTCCCTCGTCACCTTTCCATCCACAATTCCACCAGTTTCAAAGTTGGCCAGAAACTTCTTCAGGATCTGCTCCTCTGTCTCTTCGCCGCTGATGTACCGCGGATGGGATTTCACGGAGTAGACATTCTTCAGATCGTCAATCGTGATGATTGCGTCTCCGGTTTTGTCGAGTTTTTTAAATGCTTGCTCAATTATGTTGGTTCTCGCCTCTGACATTGGTGGCTGGGGAAGAAGTCCAGAGTCAATTGAGGATTCTCATTGAGATTTTTCTGCTAAAAACTCACCCTTAAGGACACGAGAAACTCTGTCATGTTGATCGAACCATTTCCATCGGTGTCGAATTTGTGGAACAAATCATCGCCTTCCTCGTCATTCACATCCAGACCAGTGTCATGAAGACCTTTGAAGAACTCCTCGCGACTGAGCGCCTTGTTGCCATCATCGTCCATCCGGCGGAAAGTCCTGCCCAGTCCCAGAATTCCCGTGGCGCCGCGCGCCAGACACATGAGCCGCAATTTCTCCAGAGAGTCCTTTTCACGGCCATCCACAAGAGCTCTCCGGCTCTTGTTCACCATTTCCGATTCGTGCCGTGACATCGCGCTGACAGGACGATTGGCCATCTGCAAACAGAGAGCCAAAGAAGAGGTTGTGAAAAGACGCAAATCGCGTGTTCTGATAACATCGCGCGCCCAGGAAGCAGAAAATAGAGTAATCAAGGAGGCACAGTTTGGCGGGGCCTAATTTGAAACCTTTAGCGAAATCCGTTGGTACGTTGGAAAGACGTGCAGAAACATATTCCAAAGAAAAAACACACCCACAAAAAAAGCCAACGCGATAATCACCAACGCAAATAAGCACTAAACTTTACAATCCTGTGTACAGTTCTTTATTGGCGCTGCGGTCTGATATCTATCGATTGCCACATTTGTGGACAGAAATCGATTAAAGGTGAGAAGAGACACAGGATGGTGGATGGAAAATATTGATGATATGTGCCTCAGGCCACCATGACCCACTTCTTTCGACGCGCCTAAGCGCTCAAACAGTCGAAACACTTTTCCTGCGGGCTTTCAGCTAAGAAGCCAAACTTATTGTTGAGCTTTGACCCAACAATAGACTCCTTAATCTCATCACACGAACGCCACTATTACAACTAATCGGGGAAGTCACACGTGGTGAATGAAAGTGATTCACTTCGCGGCCTGTGTTAAGGGTGAAAGTGTTGTGTTCGCTTTCGTTACACGTGAAATATTCAAGAACACTCGGCAAGATTATCATCTTTTACGCAGCAAAAGGCTCAGAACAATAGAGATATGGTGTACATATCAATAATTGAATACCTGGGAGTGGAGAATTTTAATAATTGGGCGGTTTTTCTATTTATTTTCGCGTAAAATTTCAATGCAAACTAATTTGTCTTTCATCCATTTCATCAATCTATAAAACTTAAGTTGAATTTATTAAATAAATGAATAGAATTCGTGGAATTCAAACGCCTGAAACGTTTTCATGACTTAATGACAGCTATTCACGCACAAAATATTCTCTCTATACGCAATGTGGGGATGAAATGTTACGCATTAAAAGAATAAAGGAACTGCCAGATAAGTAAACGCGGTGTTAATAGAGATTGAAGACACCTTAGGGAACAATTATTAGTCAATCTTAAAAGAAAACATCATGAAATTCACCCTAAACATCTGGAAAACTCGCTGAAAAGGTTTTTCGTGACACTTTTTCACATGTCATAAAGCTTCATGTGGAAAATAAACGTCTTTTGCTTATAAAACCATTTCGATAAATTTGTAAATTTAACTGTGTATTATTTAATTACCTAAATGGCCTAAAGTTATAATTAAATTCTTAATAACTCCACGTGAACTTGACTCTTCGCACCGCAATTAAGTGCGGTGTACAGTTTCCGCGTAAACCGCCGCCCTTTGTTCACCTACACAGAGTGTAAAGAATAAATTGCTCAAAACGCCAATGACGTATTTCACCTCATTGCGTGTTAATTAAAAATATACTTTCTCTCACTTCTTTTTTTCACCACTTCCACACACAATTCTCCCCCTTCTAGTGTTATATTACTCAGTAAAATTAGTGGAAGTTATTTCACATCATACACAATACTAGGTCAATAATTTATGCCTGTCCTACATAATAAAATAATGATTCCATCTGGAAAGCAAGCAGATGTTGAGGACTTGTGAACTGACAGTGACTTCAGTGCGAGGTTCAGTCCTGGGTTCAGTCACCCGACCAGCTTCAAGGCTTCCCCGGTGCGCGAAAAGCTCTCACTGAAATGAGAAGCTCCCAGCAAAGCACAGACGCAAATTTGCACTCAAGGATAATTAGTAGATCACGGAGAGATAAATTAGATGCGGAAAATGTCCAATTTCATTAAGAGGTTGGGTGTGTGATGAGCGAAGCTTTAGTTTTTAGAAATTATGTACATAAATTAGCCGACAGCCTTCGGACGAATGGCCAAAAATCAATAAAACCAAATTGTATAAGAAAAAAGAAACCAAGATAACATTATGCTATAACTGAGCAATCAAAGAGCATTAATTGCTATACTTTATGACTGAATATTCCACTACGAGACACTGTAATAAATACACCTTTTGCCAGCGATAAGGAAGAGCGCACAAGAAGAGGTGAACAGAGAAGCACAAACCTCACTTTTTGCAATATTAGTTCCTAAAGCGAGACAACAATAAAGACTCCTTCGAGCTTTTTTTGGCTACGGTTCGCGATGAGCAGCAGATTTAATCAATTCGACGGTCTTTGAGCGACTAAAGCGCACCACTCCGTTTCCGGTAATGTGGAGCAACTCCAGTCATAGAAAAGAAGCATATCACGGCGCAGTGGAAGAGTGGCATCGGGTGGAACGAGACGCCAAGGCGAAGACACTCGCGGCGCTTGTACAATTTGTTATATGGGAAATATTTGTTTTGCAAATCACAGAGCAAATTTACTCAAAGTATTCTCACAATAAAGAGGATTTCACACACTTTCTTTGTACAATTAATTAACACAGTATTTAAATTCTCTTAAATGTGAATGACTTCTAAGCAAAAACGTGAGTTTTTCGACAATTTCCTGAGCTTAGAAGCTTTGAAATTGTGACCAAAGTGATTGATGGAGTGGATTTGCTGCGCCTTGACGGTGGGGTGATCAACAGAGAAAAAAACCCAACCCAAGCAATTTCGAAGGTAATCAAAATGTTCTTTATATACCCAGTATAAGACCCATGCAAGAGAGTTGTCATAGCGATCAATTGGAAATAAATGATTCCCCAAAGAATGAGTCAGAGTTAATGTTTCATACAATTTAATTGAATCATTGGAGCATGCCTGAGAAATGGGATAAGAATCCCTCTCGCGGTCTTACATTGTACTCATTTGTGAGAATGAATGCAAATCATTTCACAGTGATATGTGACTCTTTTGGGTAATAAAATGTTTTGTCGATAATCTCATGGGGGGTTTTTCGATCAAATTGAGGAAAATCAATGGAAATGTGAGGGTGATTGAGGAGATTGAATTATTGCGCGGTAAGTCAATTATGGTGTATGCAATTGAGCATATGATACGTAAAATGGAGCACATTATGATGGTTTGATAAAATATTAATAAGCATAAGAGGTAATCAGAGGTGTCTCGATGTCACATCGCCGACACAGATGTTGGGCACATTCTTCAGGGGTGCAGTCGATGCATATCCAATGGGCGTTCAAGAGCAATTATTGCGTAATCGACCAGCAAATCGCTCAGCGAAAGCTCATTTTATGCGACTGAGAAGTGGGAACTTTGCATTGTCAAGTTCAGCAGAATTCCAAGTGGATTCCACACCTGACTTGGTCGCTGTTCTGCGTAGAGGGGCTCCAATGTGCAGCCAATATATGCACCTTCAACTCGAGCTGAAAAGAAGTTGATATTGAACCGCGCTCTCAGTCGGTCACTCGCACACGATCGCGCCTAGCCAGATGATCATCTGATGATCATATATGCAAAATGAGCACTTGATTTTGTGCATCTCCGCAGTGAAAATGGAAAAATTCGTGGCATCGGAATATTGCGCAAAGTTGTGTTCAAAATACTGGTCCTGCGGAAAAGTGTGACAAAACGAGTGAAAAGTGGTACAAGTTCACGAGTGCCATTGAAAGGTTGCGTTAACTACATCAAGTTTATCTTGCCTCAAGCACTTTTCCCGACAAAGTAATTTATCAATCATGATCACGAAATTACTTGTAATCTTGTTTGTGATGTTTGCCGTTCAATCGGTCGTGGATGGTCAAAGGACATTCCTGGACTCTGAACCATTTCTCAGCTTCTTTCGCATGATGAGAATGAGAATATTTCACTCAATCGGCCGAACAGGAGACGAGGATAGATTTATTCAAATAAATATGAGAAGAAATGTAAAGTATATTCTGTTGAATTATTGCTAATATGCCAATTGTCATGAATAGTCATGTGGTTTAATTACATTTAAACGTATTCAGTCATTAATATCCATGCAACTGACTCGAGTTTCATGCAACTTCTGCTAGAGTTTCAATTGAAAGCACTCTATTGAAATAAACAGTAAAAAAGACACTACCTTGGCCTAATGTTTACACACAATAAAACAGTAATTAAACCCTTGACTATTATGAGATGGTCTAGATCTAGAATAGCAAAAGCCGTTCCATTAAACAAAACAAACCATAAACTCTGCAGAAGCTTCAGCGTCAATTCCGAGACGACGAGGAGTTCTTCTGCGACATCAACGGGCCGGGAAAGCGAAGTGACACAGTTCCAGAGTCCGTTCATCGCCTTCGGCCGGGCGATATTGACATCATCGGTGCCATTGGGGACTCCCTGACGGCTGGAAATGGTGCAATGGCCACAAATCTCCTTCACATCGTCATGGAGAACAAGGGTGTGGTGACGCCCATCGGCGGACAGGGCACTTGGCGGCAATATCTCACTATTCCCAACATCCTCAAGTTGTACAATCCCAAATTATATGGTTATTCACTCTCCGACTCAGTCAGCATGCAGCCCGAATCAAGGTCGGTATGTGCCAAAAACTTCTCCGCAAAAAAAAATAGCTTTGCAGAGTTTCTTCACCTACTAATCATGACCGGAGGCAAGAAGTAAAAAGTGTTGCAATCTTCACAGATTCAATGTTGCTGAAATGGGAGCGATGTCGCGTGATACGGCACATCAGGCGCGAAATCTTATCAAAAGGATGCAATCAAATTCAAATGTCGACATGGAGAAGCACTGGAAGATTGTCTTCTTCCTCATTGGGGCGAATGACTTCTGCATGGACATGTGCTTCGTGAAGAATCCCAGTGGAATTGTGGAGATGCACGATCGTGAGCTGACGGAAACACTGCGAATATTGCGTGATAATCTCCCGCGAACGATGGTCAACGTGATAGCGAGTCCTTGTAAGATTTTGATGGGTTTTAAGGTTTCCTCAGCATTACTAACTTTTTATGTCTCTCTTCTTTTTGTAGCGATGAAAGTGTTAATGAGATTCCGCGGGAAATCACCAGAATGCGAAACTGCTCATCGACTTGAGTGTCCTTGTCTCTATTCACTGCAGCGCCAGCGTTTCCTCAAGTCCTACCTCAAAATCATGGACGCGTGGAAGAGGAGACAAAAGGAAGTCATCAACCGCGAAGAGTTCCACAACAAGACGGACTTCACCGTGAATCTGCAGCCCTTCACGGATAAACTCTGGATCCCCAGTGATAAGGATAACAACACGGATTTCAGCTACATGTCCACGGATTGCTTCCACTTCAGCCAGAAAGGATACGCCAGGGCGACAAATGCACTGTGGAACAATCTCCTTGAGCCATTCAGCAACAAAACGCAGTTCTGGAAGACAGAATTTGAGGATTTCAAGTGTCCCACAGAAGAACGACCTTTCATCGCCACAAAAATGAATAGTTAATGGGCATTCTTGATTGGAGGGCATCTTCAATTAATGTGTGGTGATTTTGAACTACCAAAATTGTAAAGCCATGAGATGATCAATGATCCGAGCGCGCGCAATGCACTTTTCCGCTGAGGGACGCCCTTGATGGGACCATTTAAACTCCTCGAAAAGGTGCCAAAGCCGGTAAAACACCATCGAATGGCTTTTAACACTCATCGGTACCTTTTTTTTACAACCACGTGATACTTAATAGTTTTTTATTGGCATGAGAGTGTGGAAAATGCGGAAGTTGTCTGCTCAAGAAGTCTCTTAACTCGCTAAGCACTAAATCTAGAAATGTCTTTTGTAAATAAAATCTATGAAAAAATGAAAAAGCCCGTTGTTTGTTCAACCAGATGGGCTCCAATCGATTTTACCTCTCTATTTACGCAATGACATGTCTTTATTTGCATTGGATGTCATCGCCACATATCGGCCTGGGTCAAGGAGAAGAATGACATTTTCGCACCAATTAAGACAAAAGAGGTCTTAATATATGCAATTCAGTGCGTTGTGCGGGTTGTGAATCTAGGACATTGTGAAGCAGAGCTTCTTAAGATGTTACATTAAATATAGGACAGAATTCCCATCGTAATTCCACAAAATTACATATTTTACTAACAACAGAAAACGGCAACACGAACCGTGTTGACTTTGAACTTGTGTGGCGTCGCTTTTATGGGAAAGCGAGCTTTTGAGAGAGTCTGCGGCTGGTGTCTGCAATTGGTTCAACCTTGGACAATAACACCTCTAACATCTCTTTTTATACACTGCTCTACTCATAATCACAACCGTCGATTGATTGCGCGAAAAAAGAAGTGGAGAAAAAAGCGCCTCAAGAGTCCAAAATGACGGTTTCAGACCTTGGCGCGCGGCGCAACTTCAAATGACCACCGCGCGAGATTACGTGAACTTGTCGGTGATTATGTAAAAATTCAGTTATACAAATTGTGTCATAAACTCGTATTATTTGCTGGTCGAAAGAAAGTGAATTTCAAGTTCATGTGCCATCAACTTACACTTGGCTCAGACCACCTGAATGGCCTGCAGTGGTGGAAATAAAACAAGTTGGCCCAAATGCCTCTCTATGGCCGCACAAGATGAGTGTGAATTAATTCTGCTACATCGTCTTTCACGCATCAAAATGACACGAGATTGTGTTTTAATTAAACAAATGACTTTCCAATGACATTCATTAGAGATTTTTCCCCTCTATAAACATCTTCAATTGGATTTAATTAGAGGAAATTTAAGAGTTCTGACGTAAAAGGAAGTGCACGAAATTCTCCCCAGAAAAAAATAACTCATAAAGATAGCTGGACAACATGCAAATGAGGTAAATGTACAAAAGCGTTATTTTTATTACGAAATAGTTGTAATTGTTGCTCTAAAATTCTTCCTTGAAGTCTCTTCCTGATCATAAAACGAGCTGTTTTTATTCTATTGTCTCAAGAGTTACAGAAGATTAAATAGAACCTACAAAGCTCTCAAGATTATTACACATTTTTCAATCAAAAGAATTTGCAAAGTGAGGAAAACATTAATTTATTGACTGGTGACTTTGATAAATTTTAATTGAGGCGCTCGTATAAGTCGAAGAAGGACTTCCACCAAGACAACATTTGCACATTTTCGTCAATTCATGAATATTTTAAGAGTCTTTTGACTGCAAGTTTTTTTTTTCTCGTGTTTGTTCTCAAGTTCTTGAAATTATTATACAGTTTTTGCGTTAAGTTATTGACTTTCTTATATTTATGACAATGTTTCGTGAACCGTGCAAACTAAATGTTTGAACAGAAAAAGTGTGATTATTTCCATAAATCAAGTGTAAACTGTCAAACGATCTAAGATCGAAAATTCTCAAGAAAGTCACATAAATTTGCGTCATTTGGTGTGAAAAGAGGCAAAAATCCCGAATAAGTCAAAAGAAGGTTATTCGAAGAAAAGACTGTTGAGCATGAAAAGAAGATGAAAAAAAGCTACTTTATTTTATCGAAGGCTCTTATCTCAATGATTCTCTCTTCCTAGCGACGATGAATCTCGCCGAATGTGATGTTCAGTAGGGAATTCAAGGCTCCGGGAAGAAAACTGCCGAGCAATGATGGTATAGAATATGAGTTATTTAACACCGGCAGCAATTCAACAAACACACAGAGCACAGAAGAGAGAGAGAGGGAGACAGAGAACAACCTGCAGTTCACTTCTTCCAAGCAATCTGACGATTTGGTCAGTGTGTGATGGTGAGCAAAACATTTTTCAAGATCAAACACAGTTTTGGATGAGGAAAAGTCCGCATGTTGATTGAGCGCGAGGAGGAAAATCAGCGCGATCAGTTCTACTTTGTCCACCGGCCGTTGATGATCGCGATCTTTGGCGTAAAACTACGCACACGGAAAGATTTATTGCAAATTAATTCCCTTTTTTGTGTGCTATGTGATGCACTTAATCACCTCGCGGACAGTGAAGTGAATAAAGAAGCACAAAATCTCTCGCTTGATAAAATCGGCGTGATTTGTGAGTATATATTTGTGTGATTGCGGTATCTGCATATGAATTAGGCATTTTGACTGGCTGTTTGAATAAGCAAAACTATTTATTCTTGATATCATTTCTTTTACGCCGGCAATGGCGGAGAGAATATGATTTTTTGAGCCGGTTATTTAAATGCACGTCCTTGAATTTACAGGAGTTTTCGCAGCTTATTCCGCATGGTTCAAGACTTAAAACTCACAATTGTGTCGCGCACTGCAGAGAATTAACACCTCTAGAATTCATCAGTTCTTCTCACGACGCCTCGCAAAATCATCTTCCCTTGGGCCAATTTAAGTGGCGTCGTGTTAAATAGCGAGAAATTCCAGTGTAATTCGGCAGTACCATAAAGTTCTCGTGTATTTTTATTGGTTTAGTGGTTGATGAGCAGACGACACAATAGGCGAGAGATTGTGAAATATTTATATAATTCCTCACGCGAGTGCCAATCTTGCTCCAGAGAGATCTTTTGTGTGATACTAATTCGCGTGCTCCGTGACCTCTCAGTGATGCCTAATCTCCCGTAAACTATAATAACTGCTGCTGCTGCTGTTTTTTCGGAGCCTAATGAGCAATTTGGCGAGTGTCCAAGGAGAAACAGGCGTAAAAATCGCAAGATATTCTATCAGTTCAATTTGTCGTATTGAGCAATCGAGCAGATTCGAAGGCTCATGGGAAGACACCTTAATTCACTTAATTATCGTAACATCCCGTCATAAAACGCCATTAACCAGCCTTTGGACACGGTTTTTATCGGCGCCGTAAATAAAAAGTGCAACAAGATGAAAATCTCATGGTCTCTGCTCACAATTTCCATCTTAATAATTGTCACACCCGCTGTGAACGGTCAAGTCACATCGCTAGACTCAGGACCACTCTTGCAATTCTTCCGTCACGCCAGACAATTCCTCTATGACTTCATGGAGGGCTCGACAAACCAACAGCAGCATCTCAAGAGGAACATTCAAGAGCAAGTACGTAATCATCGCAAATATGCAAATGCAGAAAATTCAATTTTTTCTATAATAGCATTCATTCAAGTGCTTGACATTTTGCCATCGTGAGAATTTCAATTATGAAGAACAATATAACTTTTTGATAGAACAGAAAACACAAAGCGCGAGGTTAAGGTTAAACACATCGTGTTGATTAAGTACGAAAGGTATGATATTCCATAGCAATATAATACATTGTATGATGCCTCGAATATTACGTCATATCAATAAATTTGTTGCTGTGATTCAAGGAAAATGATAACCGGCATAATGAGAATTGTTATTGATTTCATTACAAATGTGTTCTGTTTCTGCATTCAATTGCATATTTGATTGAAAAGAGCAAAGAATTAAGCACGCAATCAGAAGCTTCACTGTAAGCTTGAAGAAATCTCCAGTGTTTCTCCCTTTCTTCACCAGACCGTCCAGCGGCAGGTGAACAGCGAGGAGAATTTCATCTGTGATACCCAAGGACCAGGAAGACGCAGTGATCAAGTGCCAGAGTCTGTCCACAAGCTGCGACCGGGCGACATTGACATCATCGGAGCCATCGGCGACTCTCTGACTGCCGGTCTGGGTCTTCTTGCCACCAATGTCCTCGAGGTCTTCACGGAGAACCGCGGCGCCCAGATGACCGGCGGCGGACAGGGCACGTGGCGTCAGTTCCTCACCATTCCCAACATCCTTAAAGAGTTCAATCCCAAACTGTACGGCTACACGGAGCGCAACAGTCTCTCCACCCACCGAGCGTCCAAGTGAGGATGAAAAGCGACACCAGCAGACGCGTATCGCATTAAGCAGCGTCTCATTGACATTAACTTGCAGATTCAATGTTGCCGAAGGCGGTGCAATGTCGAGGGACACGCCACATCAAGCGCGAAATCTGGTGCTGCGAATGAAGAGTGACCCAAATGTCGACATGGAGAAGCACTGGAAGTTCGTGTCGTACTTTATCGGTGGCAATGACTTTTGCCTGGACATGTGTTACGATGCACCTGAGAAGATTGTCGAAAACCACGACCGGGAATTAACTGATGTATTGAGGACACTCAGGGATAATCTGCCTCGAACAATGGTGTCAATCATTCTCGCTCCGTGTGAGTATTTTTTCACTGATTTCTCACAGTCCAAAAAGAAAAGGTAGAGAAAGAGGAAAAAGCCCCAAAAATCAAACACATAAGGAGAAAATCAATACAACTCCTTCACATTAAATATTAGCAAAGTGAGCTTGTTTAGAAGGACTTTTAATTCTCGAACAGACTTTAATGACTTCCCAATCAATACACTCAACTCCGCCCCAATACTTTTAACCACACAAGGCCAATATCATTTCTCTTCTCATACGCAGCAATTAGAATCCTAATGGACACTGTTGGTGAACCTCCTGAGTGTGTTTCGACACACTACTTGGAGTGTCCTTGTTTCTACTCCCTCCACAACAAGCCGCACCGAAACAGATTCCTTCGCGTCATTGAGGACTTCAAGAAGCGCCAGTGGGTGGTGGCCAACAGGGATGAGTTCCACAATAAGACAGACTTCACAGTCATCGTGCAGCCCTTCACGGACAAAATGACCATTCCGCGGAAGAAGAACGGCCTCACGGACTTCACGTACATGTCCAGGGATTGCTTCCATCTCTCGCAGAAGGCTCAGGGACAGGCGGCGAACGCCTGCTGGAACAACATTCTTGAGCCGTACGGCAAAAAATCCCACACGTGGACGAAGATATTCGAGAACTTCAAGTGTCCCACTGAAGAACGCCCTTACTTAGCCACGAGATTTAATTAAGTGCCAATTAAGAATGCCAGTACCAGAGTCTCTCTTCCTACAACCATGCCATTTAAGATGAATTTAAGTATTTTTTTACAAACAGAATACGCTTGATTAGGTAATTGATTAGGTGTGAAGGAAATTAGATAATAAATGTAGACTTTTTATAGCAAAGAAACTCATTTCTTCGGTTACAATTTGTGTCCACGATAAAGCCTTCAAATCTAACTTCGCTTTTATGAATGAACGCGGCGAAAAAGCTCAATTTCTGACCGCGTGAAACATCATTGCGGCAATCATCGTGGCTTTTTATTCCCATCAGAGTGTGACTGCAATCTCAATCAAAACACCGTGTTTTTGTTTATTCCCCGTGAAAATATGCCCTCATTTCCGTATTTTTCCGTTTTGACCACCTTTGGTGTGTTCTGTGCCCTCTTTGCCATCATCCTCCAGGGATTCTTTGCCTCGCAGGACCTCAAGAGAATCACCGAAATCCTCACGAATCTTATCATTCTCGAGAATCTGGACGTTGTGTCTCAGCGCGTGGCTGTCGGCTACGGATCGTGCAAGGATCTGTACGTGCCGGCGACAAAGTTCCTCAACTACACCATCAATCAGTGTCGCGAGGAGTGCGTGGGCGGCGAGATAGTGAGCCGGCGAGACTTGTTTGAGAACTTTGGGTATTTCTTCCAGCGCGGCGCCGCAGCTGAGTAATGATTGAGTCCAATTGACTTCTTCGGGCCAATCTTATTGATTTCCATTGATTGCAGGCGCTACACATTCAACAGATCGCTCTTTGAGGAGTTGATTCAAGATGCCAGCGAGAGGAATTTGGACACCAGATGGTCTCTGGGCGGCAATGCACCGGTAATGGCGAAGAGATTTCACCTGGAAGGTGCTCAAGTGCTTCTGGGCGCCCAAATGTCCAAGGATCTGCGAAAATCCATGCCAAAAGACATCCTCCTCTCCTTCACCGCCTCCATCGACAAGGATGACATTCACCTGATCATGGAGTACAGATCGGGTGAGAAATGGGGCCCTTTTCGCACCCCACGCGCCAATCGCTTCATTCTGCACAACGACCAGAACAATCCGACACTCAGTGTCCTGGAATCGCTGGATCCCTTCCTGGACGACTTCAAGCCGCGTCTCTTTGTCGTGAGTGGGCTGCAGATGATGGACAACTACCCTTTCCCACCGGGCGTCCGGGCGAATCGTCTGGCCAAGGTGCGCAAGCAAATATCCTCTCTGTCCAGCAATACTCTGGTCCACTTCGAGATGGCCAGCTACGTGGAGATAAACCTCATTGACCAGCTGCTCAAGTACGTCATTCCCTACTGTGACTCTCTGGGCATGAATGAGCAGGAATTGGACAATCTGCAGCGCGTTCTCTCCACGAGAACAGTGAGTCTTGCCGCCGATTCCAATCCCCGCGTCGCCAAGACGCTCAGACAAATGCGCGAAGTCTTCACGGCCATCCAGACACTCCCGGTGAATGATCCGCACAGGCGAAAACTGACCAGAATTCACGTTCACACGCTCGCCTATCAAGCCATCCTCATTGCCAATGCGTCAGAGTGGCGAAATGCCGTGAATGCCGCCGCAAAGGCCGCACTCACGGCTCATCGTCACGTCTGCGGCACAGATCACATCAATCCCGACATGGCTTCACTCATCCTGGACGACAGCTTCGCCACCACAATGTCACCCAATGAGCCGGGCAGTCGACGCATCAGGATCCACTCAACGGAGCCAGTTTCGTGCTGGCGAGAAGACATTTCAGGGACTGAAGTGGAAATATGCGTGGCGCCAGTTCTTGTGTGCAAGAATGCACGACAAACTGCCGGAGCCGGAGATAACATCTCGGCCGCTGGACTGATTCTACAAATTTAGACGAACTTTTGAGAATTAAGACTTAATCACAGGACTGTAGAGGGACGCATTGTTGCCTCAGCCTAGGAGATGATATTAGTGGATAGAATGTAGATGTAAGTTTCGCAATATTTAGTGCCTAAGCATAGACTAGCCTTTGATTCTTGACTCATTCCAATGGAACATTTCGGCGAAAGGCCCTAAATTCGTTAGTTTACGTTCAAGTTTTACCTATATTGATAACCTGCTTGATTCCTCCAGTTCGTAAAAGTATTCCAAGAACGAAGAAAACCCCTTGAAAAGGTTCATGAAACGTAGTGATATTCCAAATTGAACGACAAAAAAGGCATTTTTTCTCTCTACAGTCTTGCTAGTCACGGATGAAATCGCAAATTCAAGATTTTCTCACATGGTTTTAATCACGAATCTAACTAATAAAGTACATTTTACTTCATCTCTCTCATCTCAATGGCGCGCAAACGGGAAAAGACGCTTTCTCTCTCAGTCTGGAGACTCTAGAGTCCGGGCATGACGTAGGCGATGTTGTCGAGCGTATTGTGCAGCGTGTCTTTCAGCCCATCCAGGCGATCGCTGATGCCGGGAATGTGCACGGTGAGACACATGAGGGGCCCCAGGGAGCACAGGAGACTGTCCAGGAGCACCGACAGGCTGCCGGACACGGCGATTTGTCCTTCGTGCTCCTTCAGGCGCTGCCCAATGATGGTGAGGTTGTCGCCCAGCAGTTTCAGGTGCGCCGCCACGTCGACGGGATGGGAGGTGTTGACTCTGTAGACGTGCGGCGTGGCGCTGGCTTTCACCAGGGTGTTCATTGGTGGACTCTTGTCCGATTCACTGTCCTTGTGTGTCATTCTGAGCAGTGTTTTGGCGGCATTGGAGGCTCCCTTTGTCAGTGCTGGGGAGTTTTTATTGAGGAATTTAGAGTTGGCTCGTTTATACGCCAGAACACTTTTATCTGGCTTAGCTCCCTTGGCGGAGAGCCTCTTAGCCTTCCGGCGCCAGTTGAACTTCACATTACTCGGCACATTGGCCCACATTTCGCCCAGACGACGAGAGATGGTGGCAAAGTCAAGTGCCGGATGTGAATACAACAGTTCCTGGCGGATATCTTTTGCCCATAACATGTAAGCTGTGTATCTCGACTTACCTTTGTCCTTCCGCTGCGCCTTGGTCAACACCAATCGCCCGTCTTTCATCACTTTCTTCTTTGTGGACTTTTCTGTCATGTAGATACTCTTGGACGGAGCCGAGTCTTGATAGTTCTCTGGCATTTCGTATGATCTCTCCACCTCCATTGATTCCTTCGACGTGTTCCCACTCACGTCCGGCGACTCCTGATCCGCGTCCGGAAACATTTCGCTCTTGATGGCCGCGAAGGTTTGCGCCATTGGACTGTCCAGAGGCTCAGCCTTGTGCACCGCATGATGAGATTTAACTGATTTGTGCGAAGACGTCCTCTTCGATCGAGCATCCAGGTCGTCTGGTGACTGGAAATCTGCCAATTTGCTGGACTTCTTGAGAAGCCGCCCTGACCGGGACATTGAAACTCCGCCATCTGAAAATTACCACAAATACCTGATTTTCCCACGGATCTCCGCTTGCAGAGGGTAAAAGACTTTCCATACCTTGCCTATTTGGGGTGCTTTCCATTTCACCACCGCAAATGCGCCTTATTTTTGAGAAAATTCCAACAGCCAAACAATAACAGGAGTGACAGCGCCACCAAACATAACCTCTTCTTTCGCTCGTTTTGTTCGCCGCGATTCGCCGAGAAAATTGCGCCCTTTTTCAAAATCCATGCTTTCTCGATAAGCACAGCGCATTACAAATAAATCTTCTTTAAAATTATTTATGTGATACTCAAATTCTTTGATCTATTTATGCCTAAGAGGTATGAATTTAATTTTCCTGAATCACAATTCAAGGAAATATTGTGATGAACTCGCCACGGTCGCACGAAAGATAAGAAATTGACACATTATTCTCGTGTTTATCGTCAGTTCAGTCACAATTCCGCCCTTCGCGGTGGAAATACTCTCAGTTTTTACCATTAAATTAATCGGAAGAATTACAAAAAACACAAGAATATTAAAAATCTAAAAAATTAAGTGAAAATGTGTGCTTAAAGTGTGAAATAATACGGAGAAAAGTGAATTTTCGTTTTTCGCAAATGTTTCTATCTTCGTAGCAAGTTATCTTATCGTTATCTGTTATCATCCGCTCTTGATAAGCGCACCAAATTTAATTGATGTGCATTCAACGTAAGCGTTAGTCAGAGGTTGACTTTCGCAGTGTTTGGTTGATGATTTTTGAAGTGAGAAAAGAATTGAGTGAGGTTTGGGTGAAAGTGATTGTGATAAAAGGAATTTGTATCGAGAAAAAAGCGTGTTATCTCGCTTAGAGGATTATGACTTAATTTTTGTGTACATATAAAGCAAGTAATCGCCATTGATTATCGCATGAATATGGCCGAAACCATTCCTCTGACGCCTGATCGTTCAGTAAAAAGGTACAGATTATGGGGTTATCTTGAGATAGGTGCTTGGGTGGAAGACGTAATGAATTCTTCAATCTCAGCTACGATTTTGGCCAAAGTGAATCGATATCGCAAGAAAATGATCGGACAAATGACTCCTCAATCACTCCGTCTCAGTCGATTCCCTTGCGAGACTTCAGAGTCAAGTACAGGGAACTCGACCGGTTGCCGCAAACCAGTCAGCATTATGTGGAGAATCGCAGCATATCGAGGTACGGAAATGCCTGGTCAAGTCCTCTGCCCTTCTCCAGAGCCAAAGCGCCGGGTGAGACTCTCCCGGTGGATGCAGTGGGATGGGCGAGCAACATCAGCTGCTCCTGGATCCACAGATATCGCGTCTCGCGCGACACGCTGCAGAAAAGGGCCAATCTTCCGCAGCATCACCAGAACTTGCTGGACAAGACTTCCGGCGCGACTCCCAAGATGCCCCACATCGACGGCGTGGAGATGAACGGACGCCGCATGAAGGGAAAATATCGAGAAGAGCTGCAAACGCATGGACAGCTCAAGGGATCAATGTTCAGAGTGATGCTGAAGTTCTGCAAGACCAGGATCTTCTTCGCCACTCTCTTCCACATCTTGGCCATCTGCCTGGGATTCTTGGGGCCAATTCTCTTCCTCAATCTGACTCTGCACTCAATGAGGAATGAACAAGAAGTGCTGAACAACAGAACAGCCGCCGAATTGAGCAGCAATTCTGTAAGTTTGCATCAATTTTTATGCTTAATTTAGCACACTTAACATTCTATCCATTTGCCTAGAATCATTCCATCTTGACCAATCAGCTTCTCATGTTTGATTACCTGGTGAAAAATCACACACAATTGAACATGACTGACAGTGAGGTAAAATTCAGAGAGACTTTGAGCGAAATTCATAGCCAAAATTCTAACATTTCTTCATATCACGCAGGCATCTGTATTGAAAATGCATCTTCAGACCATCAATTATTTCAATCAAAAGCATCTGTACAACGAATCAAGCACATACAACAACATCATTCGCACTCTCCTCACGACATTCTATCAATTCATTGATTCGCCGATTAATAATTCATCTTTCAAGGTACATTTTGGGTAAATCTTGATCTTAAAGCAAAAATTCACATTCTTTGAAGCCTTTGAAGAGTCTAAAAGTCAAGGCCTGACACAAAATCCCCGAAAAAGACCAGGAATTGAAGGCGCAGTATTGAAATTGTGTATCATGTTAAGAAGTTAAGGTGTTTGTAAATCATGTCAGGCGGAAGCAAAGAAATCGCTTTCACGAGATCACATGCCAATCAATTTAATCAGAACCACTAAAGCCCTCACTTGGGTGTGTATATTTTCATTTGCCGGACCTGACCAACAAATCACACCCTCAAAAGTGTTTCATGAACTTTGTTCACGTATCCACATGATTATTTTTACGCGCGAGCCGCCTTATCACGAATTCTGGCCGCGCGATAACACCTAAAAAAGAAAAGAACAAGAGATATCGTCCTAATGCCTGATCTAATCCAACCGCTTCCCCGCAGATCAATGCAACCGAGAGTGATTTGGATGCAAATGCAACGACTCGAATGCAATTCCAGCGCGAAGTGGGCATTCCTGTGCTCAATCGCATTGGATTTGCTGTGGGCATTTCGCTCTGCTTCTTCCTGAAGACCATCTTTCTCAGCACAAGCAATTGGATCAATCTGCGCACTGCCATGCGACTGAGGACAGGAAGCCTGGCCACGGCTTTCGAGAGTGTGATGAAGAGTGTGATCACTTATGCCATTTCACCGCATCAGTTGATGACGCTGGTCATGGAAGAGGGCGATTACATGGTGGAGATGATCATGAAGGGTCATCGCGTTGTTGGCAATCTACTCAGCTTCGTTATTGCTTTCATCGTGGCGATTGGGCTTCTGTCCACGCCGGGAATGTGGCCACTCTTCGTCATCTTTGGACTTCTCATACTTGCCGTAAGTTGCACAAATAATGTCCTTAAAACTCTCAAAACTCAAATCATTCCTCACAGATTCCACTGGCAAAAATCTCAACATACCACATGAGAAAATCCTTCTCGTATTTGGCCAAGAAGCTGACACAAGTCGAGGAGTTTTGCCTCTACTTCAGGGACATTGTGATATTTGGAAACCACGAAAACACCACGAAGAAGAAGTTCCTCAACGCCATGGAAGAGCAGCACTCATCCATGAAATGGGCCTACATTTTCTCCACCAACTTCTCCGGAAAGCTAACATCTGCCATGCTCCTGGGCGGATTGTACATGATGTGGTGCGATCCTCAGGTTCAAACTGAGAGCATCGACGTTCTCACGCTGATGATCTTGTATGCTTTCATTGTTCAGAACTACGTCGCTGATTTCTTCCAATCGCTTGGAGCAATTTTCAACGGGAAAGCAATCTTGGACAAGTTGATGGTAGAGAATTACTGTCTTTAAAAGATTGAATACAATGTTCTTATCATATATTTGTTGGCGCATTTCAGCACATTTACAACATGAAGTCTGCAAGTCCAGCGAAATACAAGCCAGAATCTTACAGAGTCATTTTCATCAATGACAAGGAATTCAGGTGGCACTCATCATTGAACGAGAAGAAGAGCAATAAATACAATCCTCCGCCGAAGGAAGAGGCGATTCTCAGGATAAAAGAGTTCTACGTTGCCAGTGATCAGATTGTTGGACTCACTGGACCGCCAAAGTCCGGCAAATCCATGCTTTTGTACTCAATTCTGGGCCACACTCAGTGGACGGACGGCATCACGGGTTTGTCCAAGGGAGCCTTCCAGAAGCGCGGCAAAATAGCCTTCTTCCCCGAGGACTGCGCTCTCTGCCTGGGCTCTCTCAAAGACAACATCCTGATGGGCGCGGAATTCGACGAGAAACTCTTCTACGAAGCAATAAACGGCGCTCAACTCAATGACATACTCATTCGGCCGGGAATGGAAGATGAAGATATTGGATCTCTGGAGCTGAGTGTGAGTCAATTGGATAGACTCACTCTGGCTCAGGCAATCTACACGAATCGCAATATTATCCTGCTGGACAATCCGATGAGCAGATACACTGAATCATCGGATGGCGATGTTTTCCGGCTGTTTAATAATTTCTTCAACATCCTGCGCAATCAGAAGAAAACCGTCATTCTGGCCACTCAAGATCACAACGCAAGTCAATCCATTTATCATTGTATCGATTGAAAAAACTTATATTGGTTCTAATCTTCAGTTTTTAGCGCTTTGTGGAAGAATTTACGTCATGGAAAACTGCAGTATTGCAATGGAGTTGAACTACCAAGATCTCACAAGCTATCCAAACTATGAGAACTGGAATAAGAATTATGCAAAGCTGAGAAATGTCATCAATGCCGAGCGACTTAATGGTTGCAATCCGGCTGGCATCACTCCGTTCGTGAAGAAGGACAACCGAAAGGCTAAAGGACACTTCAATGGCGATGGAACAACAACGGAATCTGAGCAAGTTCTGATCGTGAAGGACGGAAGCAATTTGGAATCCACAATCAGCATAACGAATTTAATGCTTCTCTCCGTGTTTCTCGTAATCGTGCACGTTATCATCAGTGGAAGTTACATCACTCTTCCAGGATACATTATTCTGGCTCAAGTTCTCTCAATTGAGCTGTGGATATCCCTGATTAGCTTCGGATTTGTCTGCGTGTCCTTCGTTATGGAACTGTTTGACCGAATTTACACATCAAAAGTAAGAGATTTTGTCAAAAAAACCCTCTCAGAAACATCTCTAAACACGAAATATTTTCAAAATTCAGATTGGCGAAAAGTATTCAGTGAAGCACGAGAAGGACAAATTGGAATTACTCCTCACAACATCAATGAATTTCCTCTATAATCGACCAGTTTCTGACTTGGTGTTCATCTTCATGGCGAACTCACATGATCTCCTCTACGCACATCGCTATATCATTCACAAAATCGTACTTATTCTGGTTGCCACGGTCTATCTGACCTTCGCGAATCCTTGGACAATTATTGTGATAGTACTTTTAAGCATTGCATGTACCTGGATTTACTTCTACCTCAAGACAACCGTGGAAGAAACCTATGGGAAGGAGTTCGAGACGAGACGAAAGATGTTCAGGCACATAACAAATTGCGTCCGCACGAGAGATGTTTATGGCAATTCATCAAAGTCCTGCAAAATGCTGTATGAATTGCTGGAAGAGAACTCAACACTTCAGTTCATGCGAAAATGCGTGGTTCATCATGCTCAGTTCATCATGAATGTCTTTCTCAGTGAGTTTCTGTGAATTGTCTCTTAATTTAAGATAAACACGCGTTGATATTCTTTCAGCTCTCGGACTCTTCTGTACGTGCTGCTTCATGTTACTCCTTCCGAATGCGTCTCTTGACGAGCAGAAGCTACGCTACACTTATGGATTGCTTCTGTACTTGATCATCGCACGGAACTTCCAGGAAATGATCCAAAACGGCATCTTCGAGAGGGCAGTTGCTGCCAAGAACACCGCAATCGTGTCGCATCTCGTGCATGATCTCGAGAAGACCAGGAGCTTAGATGTGGTGGAATCTGTGTCGGATCACAGTAAGAGTCTGAGCGTGAGCATTATGAATGTCATTGGCAAGATGGGAAATGTGCGAAAGCTCAACATCAAGGAAGTTCACGTGAATGCTGGAGAAAAGGTCGGAATTCTGATGGAAGGATCACACTTGTTAGTGCCAATGTTTGGTAGAGTTCTATCTCCGCAATCAGGCGTTATATTCTTCGGACAGAAGGATATTGCATCCTTTCCGGAACCACACTTCCGCAAGATTGTCGGCTTCATTTCAAGCGATCTACAGCCCAGTTCAGCGACAATATTGTAAGCCGCAAAGCATTGAATTTCTGATCAAATCATAATTTGAAATTTCTCTGCAGATCCATCATCAATCCGTACAATAAGTGGGAAGAAAAGGACCTGGAAGAAGTAATGCGAGACTTCGAGCTTGGCCAAAAGATATCCATTTTACCCAAGAAGTTAAACGACACGATTTCCCATCTAACTGCGGATGAGAAGCAAATCCTGTGTCTGGTCAAAATTGTGCTTGAAAAACCGACTGTAAGTAGAATAAATCCTCAACATTTTTCAGTCTTTCGTATAATATATAATAAATTGTACTCTACAGATTGTTATTGTGGAAAATCCTCATCCAGATGCCCTGAATAAGATCAATTCAACAATCAATGATTCCTTCAAGGAAGCAACAGTTATCAAAATTGCAACTAGTCAGCATCAGTTAATTTCATGCAAGCGTATTCTGTAGGAAATTAATTACAGAATTTTCTTCAAGACCCATTGAAAAGAAAAGTGCTCTAAATTTTTTTTATAAACCATAAATAAAAGCTTTCAGTAGTGAATTTTGTGTGAGTATTTTTCGTCTCAACTGAAAGACATTCAAATATTTCTGGGCGAAACGCGCGCGCGGCGAAACTACGACAGCAGCGCCTCCAGTCGGAAATTTGATCAGTTATCATCTGACGTCCAGTCCAAAAATTTCTCTCTCAAGTGCATTGCATTTTTGTTTGTGGAAATCTCCATTTTTGTGCAATTCTTCATGTCTACGACAGTGTTTAGTGTGAATAGAGTGTTTCTGCTGTATCGCGGCAATATGATTTTATTGTGATTCGAGTGGAATATGTGCAAAAATCATGACTCAACAATGACGTAGTCATTAGGTTATTTTCTGTGTTTTGTTGTTTTGTACCTGAATTGTGTTATGCAGTTTTCTTGTGCTTTCCTGCAACTTCCCATCCATTTGATGCAATAATAAGCCACCTAATCAACTTTCAGTGATGGATTATGATGAAATTTGGACATTTATACTCTCGCTCACGATATTCACATCACTGACGACAATGCTGGCCGCCTGCCTCTGTTGCCGGAAGAGAGTGCCCAAGTACGTACATGTTGAGCCTCCGCTGCGCTCTCAGCATTCCCCAGTGGATGCTCGAGTGTCAATTACGCAAATGTGGCTGTTCTGTTGATGCCCATGTCCCCCTGTGTTCAGTGTGCGAATTGCATCGAAATTTCATTCATTGGAAAGCGTGTGTGAGTGCAAATGCACAAGAAATGAGTGAACGGTTGACTGCATTGTTTCCTGAATGTCGTCGCGCTGCCATATAAAACTGTGCCAGAAACTGTTAGTCCACCGGAGAGAAATTCATTTGAGTCACTTCCTATGCTTCTCTCGCCGGTGCCACAAGAAATCAATATCGTGTGCACTTGCGAAGATGATAGTGCATGGTAGAGACGGAATGATCGTCAAACTACAGTCTCGCATTTGTAGTACAACTGCGTTCGGAAATCCCATTATGATTTACTTTTACTCACGAATGAACTCATTATGAGGCCTATCTTCATCACTAATATGCAGTTGTTGATAGGAAAAGTATAGAAGCACTTTGACAGGGAATAGGAAAGGGGCGTGGCATGAGAATAGGCGTGGCCAATTGAGATTTATTCCATTCCACAACCAATTTTGCATTTCATGTTGTTGTATAGTTGTCTATTAAACTCGAAACGCCTTAAGTTTGGAATCTGAACATCTGTTAAGTGTCTTGGAAAACAAATCCCGTTGTTAAGCACCTTAAGTATCATTTTAGAGACAGAAGCTGGCAATGAAAGTTATGAATTTGATCGTAAATTTGCATACACAGTTAGGTTAAGGTCAAAAATTCGATAAATGTTGTCGTTTTCTTTGGAAAAGATAAACTTTCGAGTGGTTATTGGACGCAGTTGTTGCTCTGCACTGTGCACAGTGCCTGACAGAGTGAGGGTGAGGTTTGGAAAAGAGAAAATAGGCAAATATTGATGGAGATAGTAGAAGATAGAGAGACAATTTCTCGCATTCAGCACATAAATACGCAATATATTAATGTATAAAAGGGCGTTGTGGGGTATTTGGTGAAATTGTTGGCATTCTATTCATTCCCATCAACCACGTGACAAAACTCTCCTATTCAACAAAACATGCATATTTCATTTGGAAGAAGACTCTCTTGCATAATTCCGGTTGGCATGAGATTGTGATTTACGGTACGTGCGATGTTCGAGGAGAAAAAAATTGTATTCTCACAGAATTTTCCTTTCAAATTAACATTCTTCTTCCTATTTTATTCTCACTTTATATTTTTTGCTCTTCCATCTCTCTCTCAAAAATAAATAAACTTCATAATCTCACATATGCTGATTTATTTTTACTGCGGCTCAACAGAGAAGGAGCTGTGCGAAGATTATTGCTTTGCCAGTCAGTTCCTTTTCATCACAATCACCTAAAGCTATTTGTGTATATAATATATGAGAAGATCTTCACTAATCAAATTAGATCAATTGGCTAAAGTGTTAAGCAACGAGATAATGTGGAAAAATATTTTGTGATATTAGATTTCATCGTCATTTTGGCTTCAACTCAACCGCAATACAGTTCATGTGAGATGTTTTATGACGAGATTTCTATTGGAAATGTATAATTTCCTCTCATTTTGGGCATATTAGTTGAGCAAGTTAATTAAGTATAAATGAGCCAAACACGCTCATTTAGGCAAAATATCTGTGAGGTGAAATTGAATTATGTGAATAAATTTGCTGGAATGTTAGGTTTTAAATCTATCCAGCAACTTATTTCATAATATAATAATATCCAATAAAATGAAATAAGGTGAGAGTTTGAGGGCGGGCGGCGTTGGTTGAATACTATTTGCTACTGTTGTATGAGAAAAAAAGAGAGGAAAAGAAGCGAGTGAGAAAAGAGTGGGGCCCAAAAAAGCGTTGGTTTTTTGTGCTAATTGAGGGATTTTTTCAATGATTAATAAAGACAGAAATGACGGGTCTTACAGAATGTAAAAACCGTAGCTAAATGACAATATAAATCTTCAAAAGCAGAAGACAAAACGATTAATTTTAGTGGGGAAATAACAAAGAATTTTTCTTGGCACTTTTTCATCGTTGAAACAATAAATTTAACTTCTTTTCGCGTTTGTATTCATACTTTTTTTAATGTCTCTAATGTGTGTTATTTAGCATTTATATTTGTTTTTCAGTGTGGTATTTTTACTTGTGTTTTATCGCTGTGTTTTTCTTTTATTCTTGCTGCTCTGTGTGCTTCGATAAAAAAGGAATGATCTTTTGGGCTTGGAAGGCATGGTTAAGATTAAGAATCCAGACGACAATCTGCTGCATAATTCCACGTTGGCTCTCAAAACCGACACGGTGGACTCTGTCGGTGATAATGATGTTAAAAGGTGGCTTTTTCAATCACATTTTATTATATGTTTCACATGTATTTGTAAAATTGCTTTCTATTTTGCTTACTTTTGTGCTGCACTTGAACTTGATGCGCAACGACGATTTGAATTGGAGATTTTGCTAATATTTCGTGTTTTTCTCTCTCTCTCTCTCTGTTGTTTGTGCGTATAATTGCGCTAGATCCAGCAATGCGCCACATCGAAGTCTTCCGGACATCCCAGCGAGTGATCAAGCGGCAGTTGATACGAATTCCGATCTGTATGCCACAGTTGGTGACAAAGTGCAGGGAAGACCGCAGGGCAGAAGTCGTGAGTGATTGAATTAATTGATGTCAATCCGCACAATATTTCTCACTTCATCTCCTTCTTCTTCTCTTTTTGTTCTCCCTCATTTGCAGCGTCGAGCTTGAAGAAGCAATCAGTGTCTCAGCACAGTTCGCTGAGTCAGGCGGATGATGTGAGCTCACCGTACGCGAGTGTGCGATCGCCATCACATGCGTATGACAAGATACGGAAGACAGAGCATCCATATGCACAGTTACAGCCAAATCAGGTCAATCCGCCGCCCGATCACAATGGTCTCTCACGGCGGGCGTCCAATGAGAGTCTTCTGGGCACGAATGAGCCCACGGGAGCTGATATTCCCGCGGCATCGGCGATTGCGGGGCGCATTTCGGCCAGCCAAGAGTTGCCCTACATGACACCGCCGATTGCACAGCCGCAGCACTTCAGTGGCGATTCGCAGGACTCGTCGAAGGGCTACACGAGCATCAGCGTGCGTGAGCCACTGGCGAACATTCTCGCGCAGACCAACAAGCAGAATGCACAGACGAGACGGAGAGACTTGAGTGATTCACACTATGCCACAGTGTCTGACGATTCAGACGAAATGTACGCGGCCATTGATGATCCCAACAATCCGGCTGATCTCTACACCAGCGGCTCAGAGACGTACGCCCAAATTCAGCCGCCCAATGCGATGGTGGTGTCAGTGGAGATCAACACGCCGTCGAATGTGAGGAATAATGATAGCATTGATCAAGTGGCTGAAGTGACAACACCACAGCAAAACATTGACATTCCCGCGCCGTCTCTCGTGGACAATTTTCGTGCTCAGGCCACGGTGCATTCGCGCCAGGCCTCGTCTTCCAGTGTCACGAGCTCCATTGGAATCCTGGGCTCGCCGAAGCCGGAGAAGCGCCAAGCGAACTCTCCACTTCCGCCGACGCCCAAGAGTGGCAAAATTGTGGCTCACTATTCGTCGAGCAATTCCAATCTCACATCCACCAGCTCTACGCAATCCGGAAGGAATTCCGTGGCGTCAGTCGTGGACACACATCAGCTGCTCGAGACCAAAGGCGATGCTCTTCATCCCGGTGATGATGATGTGTCGGTGAGCAAGTGTAAAAAGAGTCCGTCCAAGGATTTAGAGGGCATGTATGCCAAGGTGAGCAGAGAGAGATCATCAACTCTAGGTCAATGATATTAATTTTTTCCTTACAAATATTTGCAGGTGATGAAGAAGAACAAATTGTCAAATCTACCATCGCAGAACTCGTCGCCGCAGATGAGCAGGAAATTCCCGGGCGATCGTGCATCGACGGCAGAGCCAGAAGTGTTTATATCAGATTCCGATATATCAAATGGAACGCCAGTGCCTGATTCTGGGCGAGCGTCCGTGCACGAGTCTCCGGGGAAGTATAGCGTGAGATCTGCCGGTCAGGCGGACAACAATTACGAGACGATTGAGAGGAAGTTATCGCGTGGGAGGAGCAGCAGCTATGGGGAGAAGGATCCGGGGTATGAGACGATTCCCGGTGATAAGAGGGATGCTGTTGATGGACAGAGTCGTGCTTCAGCTCCGCCAGGTGACAGAAATATTGCCCAAAGATCGTCGTGACTAACACTAAATGTCTTTTTTCTAATCAACATGTTTTTCTCCTTTATAGCTTTATGTGCATGAGAATTGAATTTAAAATGAAATATTTTGCATGAACTAAAAAAGAAAAAATATTGATCATCCTTATTAGTTTCTTTATGACATTCTTCCAGATTACCACACGCATTGCGTTATTACGTCGTAATTAAAGCACGTTAATAACCCCACAAAAAATTAACATTATTAATATTTGGTAACCACGTTTCACTATTGCCTTTTCTTGTAATTATCCTTCTGTCTATTATGTACTTTTCCGGTTAGGATGGAGTATTGATTGGCCAATCACTTCATGTTTCAGGATTAATTGCGCCGGTTGAGGTGCTTCAGAAGGCTGACTTTGCGAGCAGCAATGTCTTCCACTACAATCAGGCCATGGAGGATCCGGGATATGAGATTGTGAAGCAGCGTGGGATCTCGACGTCGGACGACGATCCGAACTATGAGGTGCTGCGGCCGACGGATGTGCGTGATGAGGATGGGTACTCGAGGATTTGGGACAAAGGTGGGGTGAAGAGAGTGAATCGACTGAGTGGTGGAGACTTGCTGGACGGCTACAGTAGCATAAAGACGCCGCGTGGCGAGAAGTCGGGCAATGAGACGGAGACGGACAGCGATGTGCCGGGCTACACGTCGATTCGGGAGGTGAAGAAGCTGTCATCCAAGACGCTGGATGATGTTGAGCCTGGATACAGTATTATTTGTGATAAGACAGCAGAGCATCAGACGAAGAAGCTCAACACATCGATTAACAACAACAATAACAACAATATTCTCGACGATTCGGATATTTATTCCAGCATTCCGCACTCGGAGAATCCTTCGTACTTGAGTATTCAGGACAATGTGCACAATTATTCCACAATTGGCGAGACGCCGTCCAGCAGTCAGACTCTGGTCAGCTCTCCCGGCTACTCCAGCATCTCTGACACTCTCACAGCCACCACGACACCGTCGAGCGAGAGCATGGGCTCAGATCAGTTGCTCTATCGCAGCCACATGCAGACGACATCGAGCAATTACGAGTCACTCACCGGCAGCGAGTCAGATCCCAACTATGAGACTGTGCGGTATTTGGGCGTGAAGGAGAATCCCTATGAAAGGCTGCACAATGAAAAGGCGTCCAGTCCAGAGTGCCAGAGCGAGAAGAGGCCGAGTGACTCGGGTGGCGGTGGCGGCGGTGGCAATCATATCAGTGGAAATGGACCAATTCCCACCTCGGCCGAGGGTCAGGAGGTGAGTGACTACTTCCAAGTGTGACCAGTCCATTGCAATATGAGCATTTGAGCCTCTTTTCAATGAGTGCAAGCAAAAGAAGAGAAGAAAAGTGTATTCTGTGTGATTCATTCATTATTTGTGAAGCTAAAAAAGTGGGAAGAAAAAGGCTTCAAGTTGCGAAGATATACGAAAGGCAGCGAGAGGAGTTATAATTTAATGCACAAGTCTAAAGAATCTATTCTGAAGTAAAAAAAAAATAAATAAATTCACTATCATAATCCTCACTTGATGTAATTTATGGTAAACATTAGTAAAAAAAAATAATATTCAAGTGGGGAACTGAGTAAAATATACCTTACATTATTAATAATATATACGAAAAAGATTTACTAAATTATTGAATTCCCACCCCCCAAATTAAATTAAGAGAGAACAGGAAAAAAGAGGAAGGAAACCTTGGAAATAATATTTATAATATTGTACTTTTATTCATATTTATTTTATATTGTACAATTTGAGAGATAAAATCTAAGACTCTTGATATTAAAATGCTTTATATTCCAACCATTTTATTGAAGGACGGAAATTGTGTGTGTTTTTTTCGTGTCTCTTTAGGGAAAAAAGGCCACAAAACAACTTCCTTTTATCAATCAATAATCATTTTTTATTCACCTCCATCTTTTACACAATTTATTTATATTGAAATAGATGGAAAGGAGAAACCACACGCACACCAAAAGGAATGATTTTCGTCTATCAGAATTCTATAATTTCCCTTGTTCGCTTTTCCATGTGACAAATACGAATCAATTAGAATGAATCTCTCTCTATCTCTCGATTTCTTGACTGCGCGTTCTTTGCGAAAATGACAAATATCACTTGTAGTCTTGTGTGTGTGGCAACTCTTTTACAACTCATCGTGCGCGTCCGCTCGATCGGACGGATCCTTTCCGGCGGTGGGCAGGCTGCAGGCAGCTGGCGTTTCCAGGACGTAAACATACTCACAGCGATTCGGCTCCGACACACCCGTGATCCTCGTGTCGAGGCCGCACTCTATGTGCACCGTGGCGGATCTCTGTGGACCATTCCAGCACGACGCTCCGTTCGAGTACAGCATCGTGGAGTAGATATTCTGTCTTCCGGTCCACTTGTCCCACGTTCCCAATCTGCAGACGGGAATGGATTCATCATCAAGGACATGCCAAACTCTGACTACGAAATTTAACACAACTCACCTCGTCTCCGATCCTCCGGAGCGCGGCTGTTGACTGGCGCGATCGAAGAGACAGAGTTTATAGACATACTCGCGATCCTCGTAATTGAAACACTCGCCATTCAGCGGAGCAAATTCATCCTCCGCGCCGTAATCCTTCTCGATAGCGTCCTTGATGTTCTGCAACTCCGTGTCGATTTCCCTGAGTTCACGATCGGCGACGGAAAACTGATTTCTCGCCTCGTTGGCCATCTCGACCAGCTTCTGTGTCTCCGGATCGTATTCCTGTGCCGGTGGGATGATTTCCTCAGCATCATCATCCGCGCCATCATCGACAGGCTCCACCTGACAAACCACAGAGAGAAATATGGAAAATTTTCAGCTGAAAAGCCACACGAGGCATCTGCAAACCATTTATTTTGCCTCAATCAGAGACACTAAATCATATTTTACGAGCAATTTTATCATCATTTGCGAGTGTAGAAATTAATTTTCCCGTCATAAAATTCTTCTCATACTGCAAAATCGATCCGACAAGAATTCATGACTCGTTATCTATTTATTTTAAAAATATACAACACACACACACAAAACACACGGCAATTCTCTCGCGCTATTTCTGCCAATATATTATCATCATCGTCCAGAACATATGAGAGAAATATGAAGTCAATGAAAATACCAAAAATACATTTCACAAAATGCCAATAGATCCACATTAATCACGCCGCATGGGATTCACCCACTTTCTGGCATTACATTATATAAATTAAACAATTCCGGAGGAAGGAGCTCCGGTATTGGTAATTGTGGCAGGTGGTGAGAAATTGAATGGTCAAAGCCACAATTTTCCCAAACGTTATTTGCTCAAAAACCCCATCAATTAATTGTAATTAATAAAGATGTTCGCGGCGCAAATTAAGATGCATTTGCATAAATAACTCACTCTTAATTTCACATGAAAGATGATGGTCGTTCAAGCTTTAAAGACATTTAATTGACGTTTTCGTTTTGCTTTGAATTATCATTTCGCGAGACAAATTTCTGTTCTAATAATAAAAGCGATAAAAATACACGGAAATATTCTGTATGGGATCTAATAATGGAGAAATTATTACAATTTTTTTCGTGACGAAAATAGTTTCTTTGGCTTCCAATTTGAAAAGACAGAAAGAAAGAAGAAAAAAATGAAATTCTACGAGAAACCAAAGATTTCTCCTGCTTACAATACAATAAAAAAAAAACACTTCACAGCGAAGGAAATTTCAGTGCGATGATAATAATATTGTTGTGATATGGAAGCTCGGTAAATATTTATATGACAATTTCATCGTGAGATAAAGAAAAAGGTGTGGTATTGTGAAATCTTGCACTTCTCAACAATCATTTTCAGTTTCTAGGCTTCTTAGTCATGCACAAGTTTTCTTCTATTGTGAATAAATTCAGCAAATTTTAACCATTTAGCGGGCTAAAGACGCTAAAAAGGATTTTATAAGAGTAAAAGGACAAGTGAAAATATTACAAGTCAACAGCATTGAGAGTAAAATCAATAAAATCAGGTGAATTTTCACTCTGAATTCCAAGAAAAGCCTCTCTTCTATTATTATCCTTATTGTTCACAGAACACTTCTCAGGATTCTATCGATTCGACGCAATCACAGCGCAACTCCTGTGAAAACATTTCCGTAATTCAATATTCTGGGAATTATTGTTGATGCCAGAAAAATGGAACGCATAAAGTTCCGGAAGTGTCCGTCTCTTTTTTTTTCAGTATCGCTCCACTTGAATGGCAAGTTCACGGAGGTCACGCACGAAAAAAATCTCACTCCTCAAAGCGCGCCCAATGCAAGTGGGAAGGAATAAATCTGTCAACTCTCGAGCACGTTTCCGCGCTAATCTGCGCGAGCTCTTCTCTCTGCTCATTCGACTCCTGCCGCACGAGCAAATAAACACATCGTCCCATGGAATACAGGAAATTGTTCGCGCAATCACGCATTGGGATTTCACTGCGTGTGTCGCAAGGAAGTCACGGTCAGAGAGGAATTTATTGGGTAAAATATATATATGGCTCTTGGACAGTTGAAAAAATACGAGTTGCGGTGGAGAAAAGAAGAGTGATCACCCAATCCGTATCCACCTGCTCAGTCGTAAAGTGTTGCGCGCGTCTCGATGGACATCTTTGGAGATGACAAGAGTGTCTCCAGGCGCTCTGGCCAATCGGGCTAAATATTACAAATTGACGCACGCCGCGCTGAAACCTGTTCAACTGATCAAAATCATCAATTTCTCGCGCTCCTCTTCCGCCATCATGCCAAGAATGACACCTTCAGATGGAATCTTAGAAGAATTCTCTGGCGTGCGTGACACAAGAATCGTTTTTCATATCTTCCGCCCCCCTTGAAAAGCGGCGAGGAAAAAAATTATGTGCCACAGAGAATTCTTGCACACGGAGAAAAAAATCTTAATATTATTAATAAAGTTATTTAAAGCGTCAAAGCGCGGGTGGGATGAGACTCGGACGCGCGTCAGGCCGCTGGTGATCTTACAGAGATCAGGGCTTTCCTTCTGGCTTTACGATAAGGCCAGAGAGGTTGATTGGTTGTCACTATCAATTATGAATGACTTGTCAATTTGCTCACCTCGCCTTCGCCCGTTTCTTCCTCCTCTTCCTCCTCCTCCTCGAACTGGCCTTCCTCATCAATGGGTTCTCCGTCCTGCCCATACTGCTCCTCATCGGCGTGCTGCTGCTGCTGCTCCTCCTCCGTCGCCGGCGGCTTGAATAGTCCCGAATCAAGCATGAGGAAAGGCTTGATCCGCGGCCACGCGAGTGTCACGAAAGTCTCCAAGTCGATCTGATCCTGCTCCTCGAGGAAGAACTTCGCCTCTTCCACACTCACCTGTCCGTCGCGATCGCGATCGAAGGCGATGCGTGTCTGCAACTCGGCAATCTCAATCACACCGTCTTGATTGGAATCGTACTTCTTGAACGTCTCCTCGGCTTCCGCTTTGTTCTTCTCCGCCTCCTGCTCGTCGCGCTCGCGCTTCTCCGCTTCGGCGGCATCTCGGTACACTTGCAGAGCGGCATTCTCCAACTCCTCGGCATCCTGCTTGATCTTCTCGCGCTCCTGCTTCAGCGATTCCGCCTCGGAGCGAGATCTCTCCAGCTCCCCGAGGCGAATCTTGTGCTCCTCGCGCAGTGCTTTTCCCTTGCGCACCATTTCGGCCCGCATTTGACTGCCCATCTTGGCCAACTCTGCCTTCTGCTTCTCGCGCAGGCGATCCTCCTTGCCTGAAATCAAGGTGAAGGTCAGTGGCAAGTCGCGCTGTGGGTGAAAGTCTTTCTCTTACCCAATTCGCTACAATTATTAATACACTTGGCATTGGAATTGTACTCGTCTGAGGAATCACAGCAGTCACAGATACCGTCGTTCACCCGGGAACTGGGTATGGTTCTGGGCTTGTGGCCGGCATTTGTGCAGTGAAACTGCCCGTCCGGACACGCCGCCGTGCCAGGCTCGTCGCTGCTGTCGGCACAGTCGCAGTAGTCGTCGTTGATCTGGCCGTACTGGATGGTCTTCAGGCCGTCCAAGCAGACGAAGGTGTTATCCGCGTTGGGGGCGTACAGAGCCGCCCTGGAGATCGAGACTCCCCGCGGTCGTGGAATCTCCGACAGCACATAACCACCAAAAATATCAACAACGGTGAGTGTAAGGATTATACTCTCCACCTTTACCCGCATATTATGTGCAGTGGATTGTGACTACGGAACGTCGGATATGCCGCCTGGCGCAGGGAATAAGTAAAATTGCTAAAGTTGAGGTATTTTTTACGTGGAAAAACCGGGGATTGACGTTTCAGCGCAACGCCACTTGTCAAAGCGCCGTGGTGTGCGCGTCCACTTCCTCTTTACTAATTTGCAGCGCCACGAGTTAAAAATAGAAAGTCACAAGGCGCCAAAAGCGCCAACCGTACTCACCGCGCGACTTCAAGATGTGTGTCTCCAAGTTTTGTGGGGCTATTTCGACACAGAATCCAACGGAACAGTAGAAAAATCTAAACGCCGTAACTATTGGCACACGCCTAATGTATTCAATTATCGGGTGGGATTTTTTTTGGCTGTCGTTGTCACACACCTTCAAAAATAACACACATTTTGGTGTGACTTTGCAAGAAAATAACTCGTCAAATTCATCTCAAGTGTCACCCAGGGTGTGACACGCACGCTGGGACGAGGGAGTTATTCCAACTATCCAACATGTGTATAATACAATAAATTTTACACATTACTAGACTTGTGTAAATATCATAAATTTTATTTTTAAAATAGACATTAAATTGGGATATTTTTTATCCTCATCTTATTCAAAAAATTCTACATAACATTAAGCCAAATTAATGCGACAATAAGAATTAAAAACAATTTCTCTTTTATCTTCTTTTCACCTCTTTGTGTCCTGTGCGTGACGTCCAGTGACTTACGACTCTCCGTTGGGCAAATGAAATGTTGAGAATCTTACTCAAAAATGATTTTCCTAATTTTACCGTCAGCGCCCGCGGCAAAAACACTCCCATCTGGTCCATCTGTGATTGCGTTGACACAACAACCGATATCGGCCTCACCTGGATGCACAGCAAGTGCAGAAATTACCAATCAATGCTTCCAAATTTCATCAGTATATTTTTCATTCTACGCACCTGCAATTTTGGGGAATTTGTCTACTTCCACCCACTTCTTCACCTTTCCGTCCCAGCCTCCGCTGTAGAACTCAGTTGCATTTCCGTACAGACAGTTGATGATCATGTCGTGAGCATTCTGGAAAGGCAAAAAAATATGTTGAATTCCTCTCTGATTGACGCACTTCAGAGATCTCAACATTTCAGCTGCAAAAGTGACAAATTTGTAGAGTTTTGACACCTTTTCAACTGAAATCGTCTGTAAAATGACCCAAATCACAGAAATATTAGGAAAAATTTGCTGAACCTTCTCGTCTAACTTGACAATTCATCAAAAAAAAAATTTTTCATTATAAGAATAACATGAATAACACCATTTTGTTTTAGGGTAATTTTTAAAATAATTATAAATAACTGCAATATTGGACAAATTCACTTTAGCAAGAACTGAAATACCTCACCTCTTTTGTCCACAGCTCGGTCCAAGGAGCGGACGGAGTTTGCGGCCGCCGGAAGTTATCGATCACGGTGACTCCTTTGCCGTCTCGCGTGCAGAACACCAGCCAGGGCTTCGTACCGTTCGTCTCCAATCCACAGATGATCATCGGTGACTTTCCAGGAAGGGTGCGCTTAGTTGCAAACTTACCAGTTTTCACTGTGGGCAAAAAAATATAGTCAAAGTCGTGGATGTTTCGAAGATTGTGATGTGAATTTTCCACTGCTTACAATCGGTTTTCTCTGTTATCACTAAGTCCGTGTCACGGATGGTATAGATGAGATTTCCCTCCACCGCGAGAGATTTCACCTCTTCCACGAGATTGTACATGAATTTGATTTTGCGATCAACGAACCATGTCACCTGCAAAGTGTTCGATTGTCAGTGTTTTATTGGGGTGAATTGAGGGGGAGGATTTGATGATTTACCACTCCCTTGTCGTCTCCGGTGTAGATGTCTTCGCCGACGGCTATCACGCAGAGCAGCTCGTCGAAGGACTTTATGAGCTCTTGGGAGAACTCGACGGAGCGTGGATTTTCGAAGATCTTCACCAAGCCGTCTGTGCTGCTCGTGAACAGGCGACCGCGGGAGTCTAGGCACATGGCCCAAATAAGGGCTTCGTGGGCAGTGATTTCACGCTTCTGTACCAGATCCACATCCCAGATCTTGACGAAGAGAAGAACATATGTAGCGAGCAATTAGACCAATTATTTTTATAGGCAAGTGATGATTGTGGGCGCCAGAAAACCGCCTCAATGGATTGTATTGATAAATGCAGATGAGTGAGCGCAATAATTCATATATCTCCTGAATGCGTAATGTGAATTGAAATTGCTTCCCATGGAATGGATGTTGGTTGTAGCCAAGAGACCATAAAAATATATCTTGATTCCTCCTTCTGGTTAGATAAATTTAATTTTAGCAGCACGCATTCGCGCGTTTATGAAGACACAAGAAGTAAAAATATTGCGAAGAAAAATAAATAGATTTATGAGTGGTGGTGATGTGGGGCGATCTTATGAAATCCGTCTCCGTGATCTTCGCGCGCGCGAGAAATCACAATTTTCCAATTGTCCCAGCTCCTATCTCGCACACGTCCTGGCGACACGGTGCGGAATGATTGATAAAATGGGCTCGTTTGGGGATGATGAGGACTCACCTTAACTTTGCCATCGGCACCGCCTGAGTACAGAGTATTGTCGCGATAGCACAAGCTCGTGACTTCACCTTCATGCTGGACATCCTCAGCACAAACTTTATCCACTTTTCCGCTCATGCTTTCCTGTGTGTGTATGCAATTTTATTGATTCAACCAATTAATGATGATTTGGCGCAACTTGTGCAACGTGAATGATCTTGGCAAGAGTGAAATCTGTGTATTGTGATGCTGGCAAAACACAAAACAAAGCTCTGACCCTCGAGAAATGTGTGACGATTTTTCAATGGCACTTCTCTAACACACCAAGTGAGAACAATCCTAAATTGTGTAATAATGTGGCGGATCTTGATGCAGAATCTCTTTAAGAGAAGCCACTCACTTCGCAAATTCGCTCTTCGACACCCGTGTGAGCCTCAAACGATCTCAACACTTTCCACTCAAGTTTCAAACTGAAGAATAGGAATAAATGATTCAGAAACTTATATAGAGCATCATATGGATATTTTTAGTTACGGAGGATATTTTTGAGCCTCTTTCCACCCTTTCATCTCTCTCTCTTGCGCTCACTCTCTCTCACTCTTCTTGTGCCTCAACACAGTCTCGCTGGTGGGCACAATGTTTAGAAGTGATGTTTTTATATACCTCAACACATAATTTATGGCAGTTTGAATTTATTGTTATTATTTATTAAATAACATACACATCAAAAACTCTGTTTTTCACGAGGATTTTTCTATCCATCGCGCGCGATGGTGGAAAACATACACAAGCACTCTTGACCAATATAGTGTTTGATGCAAAAATAAATAACGCATGCTTTCTTCCCCCGAAAATCTCCAACACACTATATTTTTTCTTCGCCTTCCAATGCCGCGCGCGCGGAGATTCAGCGCTCACAAAATTCCACTCAAAAATAAACCTTCCGATACTTTGGATTTTTTCCGCAGCGCATAGGCACTATTTGAAACTAATTTCTCTCACAAACTGTCCATTCAGCTAATTATTTGCGCGAGTACACGAACCACAAAACACCTTCACAAAAGAAACATCTGTAGCATGTTTACAAACTCTAAAATTCAAATTATGTGTGATACTCTCAGAGCATTCTTCCCGCATTTTTTTTCTCGCAATAATTAGGCGTAAAGCGATTGTAAATTGTCGACGAACAGCCGTATGTCGTTCAGGCATTGATTGATTTTCACACATTCTCCTCCATTGAAGGGTGAATATGTTCTGTTTTTCGTCAATTGGAGCATAAGAGGCGATGATGCAAAAGTGTAAAAAACTACCTTAGAATGCAAAAGAGATAATACATAGTATATACAGTTAATTCTTCGTAGTATTTCAGTGCATTTTGCAAATAAAATCCATGTACAACCATATAAAGGCTCTTTAAATTTTAAATATCTTCCCTATCCACTCGTCGATGAAAAAGTGGCGCTGCACGCTGTATTCGAACTTCATGGTGGCGCCTCTGGTGACGGGTGATTGGCAGTTTGTGAGATTGTTCTCGAATGCGGTGCGGTTTGTCAGTGATTTTCCCAGTTTACACTTAATTTTTCAGCAAATTCCAGTGAAAATATGTCCACAATCGCAAGTCCATTAACCGTGGCAGGGACCCGGACGTCCGGTCAGCCGATTCGCACCCAGAATGGTGAGTATTTTACAGGAGAAGCATCAATCTGAGACTGAATCATGTGCTTCCACTTTTCTGTTTATCACATGTTTGGAAAAATGCCCTGAAACAGGTTTATTTTCCAAAATATTCACTAATAAGCATCTTCAGGGTCTTTGTATTGATGAAATACTCAATATCCTTTCGTTACAATAGGATTCCTTAATATATTTCGTGAAAAGTTTGGTTATGTGCTTCCGGAAGGATTCCTGATCCTCTGTTTTCTTTGCAGTGATGGCCGCTTGCTCTATTGCAAACATCGTGAAGAGCTCCCTGGGTCCTGTGGGCCTGGATAAGATGCTTGTTGACGATATTGGCGATGTGACCGTGACAAATGACGGAGCAACAATCCTGAAACTCCTTGAAGTCGAGCATCCGGCGGCCAAAGTCCTGGTGGAATTGGCTCAGCTGCAGGACGAGGAGGTTGGCGATGGCACCACATCTGTGGTCATTATCGCCGCTGAACTGCTGAAGAATGCCGACGAGCTGGTAAAGCAGAAGATTCATCCCACTTCCATCATTTCCGGCTATCGCTTGGCATGCAAGGAGGCGTGCAAGTACATTTCCGAGCATCTCACGGAGCCCGTGGATAATCTGGGCAGGGAATGTATTGTGAATGTGGCGAAGACGTCCATGAGCTCGAAGATTATCGGGCCGGACGCGGACTTCTTCTCCTCGATGGTCGTCGATGCTGCGCAGGCAGTGAAGATCACGGATCCGAAGGGAAATCCAGCGTATCCAATCAAGGCCGTGAATGTGCTGAAGGCGCATGGAAAGTCTGCTCGGGAGAGTGTCCTGATTCCGGGTTATGCTCTCAATTGCACCGTGGCATCTCAGCAGATGCCGAAGAAGGTCTTGAATGCGAAGATCGCGTGTCTGGACTTCTCGCTGCAGAAGACAAAGATGAAGTTGGGTGTGCAGGTGCTGGTGAATGATCCGGAGAATCTGGAGAAGATCCGTTCGCGTGAGTTGGACATCACGCGTGAGAAGATCCAGAAGATTCTCGCCACTGGCGTGAACGTGGTGCTGTGCTCAGGGGGAATCGATGATCTCTGTCTCAAGTATTTCGTGGAGGCCAAGGCGATGGCGGTGCGGCGGGTGAAGAAGGCTGACTTGAAGAGGATCGCCAAGGCGACTGGGGCTGCCTATCTCACGTCCCTCACCAATATGGAGGGCGAGGAGAGCTTCGAGCCTTCAATGGTGGGCGAGGCCAATGAGGTGAGCCAGGAGTTCATCAGTGACGACGAGTTGATCCTGATCAAGGGCCCCAAAGCACGCACTGCATCGTCCATCATCTTGCGCGGTCCGAATGACTTCTATCTGGACGAGATGGAGCGATCGATTCACGATGCGCTGTGCGTGGTGAAGCGAGTGCTGGAGGGAAAGAAGGTTGTGGCCGGAGGAGGATGCGTGGAAGCGGCTTTATCCATCTATTTGGAGAACTTCGCCACATCCTTGGTAAGTTCGCTCAGCTGTGTGTGAATTCATGTCTCTAATTGTGAGTCCTTTGCAGAGTTCTCGAGAACAGTTGGCAATAGCGGAGTTTGCCAAGTCTCTGTTGATCATCCCGAAGACACTGGCTGTCAATGCAGCGAAGGACGCCACAGATTTGGTGGCGAAGCTGCGTGCCTATCACAATTCCAGTCAGACGAAGCTCGATCATGCCCACTTGAAGTGGTACGGATTGGATTTGCTGGAGGGCGTTGTGCGAGATAACAAGAAGGCCGGCGTTCTCGAGCCCGCAATGTCCAAGATCAAGTCTCTGAAGTTCGCCACGGAGGCTGCGCTGACGATTCTCAGGATCGACGACATGATCAAGCTGAATCCGGAGGAGAAGGGAGGCAGAGGCTATGCTGACGCCTGTGCTGCTGGTGAACTGTAAAGAGTCACAATCAATCCACATTTGCAGATTTTCCCTCTTCACCAACGTCTCACTAGACATAATGCAAGCTTCTTTCACACATGTATTTTCAATTGACTCTAAATAATAATAGTTTCTAACAAATCGGCAAGAGTTGTTTTTCGAATGAGGCGCACATATTCGGAGATGTTCTCAAATTGGGGGAATTCTATAAATAAAACGATGGTTGGCAGTTCTGTCTTCTGTGCACATGGATTTTCCGCTGTGAAAATTTTCCACGGCGAGAAAAATGACGGATCTCGTGGAGAATGGCGCGAGTGAGGTGGAGAAAAGTGTTGAGGTGACGGCGAATGGAGAGGACTTGAAGGCGTCTTATGAGAAATTGGAGCAAAATCTTCAAGTAGATAAAATGAATCAAACTCGGGCGAAGGTTGAGAATTCTCAGTGACTTTTCTTACTTCCTCACATTGCAGAAGCGCACGACAGAGAATGAGATTCTCAAGTCGAGGATAGCGTGTCTGGAGAAGGAGATGATCAGCAAAGCGGGCGCACCGAAGGCGAACAAGACGGAGTGCCAGAAGGATGACATCCTGACGCACGCCAAGGAGTTGCTGTTCGAGAAGACGAAGATCTGCAAGCGACAAGAGCAGCAAATTGAGGCGCTGAAGATTCAGATTGACTCCATCAAGGAGGTGTTGGCGGTGTCAAAGGAGATTCTGGAGATGAGAGATCTGGAGAGTTCGCATCTGCAGGAGCAAGTGAAGACGCTGGAGACGCGCCTAAAAGCGGAGCGTGAGCATCACATCATCACGCAGAAGAAGCTCATCATCTCTAAGCGAATGTTGACTGATGTTCGCAAGGAATACGAACTGCAGAAGAGCATCTTTGCCGAATTGCGGGATTCTTACAAGCGCAAGATTGAGATTCTCACGTCGGAGCTGGAGAAGTACAAGAGCAAGGGAAGCGCAGTGGAAAATCAAGTGGAATAAAAGTTCAAGCACGAGATTTTGAGCGTCTGTTTGCAGCCAAAGTTCAAGGAACCAATTTATCAGGCATTGTTGGGGCGTCACATGGTCAAAAAGTTGATTTGTCATGCCCTAATAAGCCTTCTCAATACACATTCGCAGCGGAATAGCACATCTGAATGCTAATAATTCACTTAATTATCGCTTTGATGCACCTATTTATTGCCATTTTTCCCCGAAGCCACAGCGCTAATTGAGCGATCCATGAGGCGAAGGAGTGATGATCTGGCGGAGGTTCATCAGAAAGTGATCTCTGGAATCTCTCTACTCGCCAATTTACTTAATATTCTCGCCGTTCTCCTTTCAATTTTGATTAAATGCGCGAGAATACATCGCACAAATTGCAATTAATTGTTTTCCAATGGCAAAAAAATCCACACAAAGCGTCTTGTTTTCGCATATCTTCTCGCAGTTGTTATTATTGATTGGCATAGATATCTTTGGAAATATATAACAGAGTGTTTGTGTGTGATATTTGGCGTATCTGGTGAACTAGAAAAACATAAAAATGCAATTTATTATTCCTCACATCTCCATAGAAAGACCTTTCCTTATATTTTTCCTATTTTTCTTCCTCACTTCAGTTCCGCAACGCATTAAAAATGGCAAAAAGAAATGTGTCTTAACAACTCTCGTTAAACAGCAAAAATGCTCTCCTAATGATCGCGGTGTGTCTCAAAAGAAAACAAATAGTTTTCAATCTGGCAAAAAGACAATTCTATCTCACTTTCACTGCATTTTGTAAGAATCTTTTCCCATTCAAAGCCTCCAAATGCGATCGCGAGTGATTAATTCGTCTCTTTTTTCCCCGCCTGTGGAGCATAATGATCGCCGTGATCGCCGCACTCGTGCGGATTAAAGAGTCTACTCGACAGGTTCTGAGTACGCGAAAACGCACTTGAGAGCGGAAATTGTGTCGTAGAGCAAAAAGTGCGGCGATTTCTTACGTGATCTGCAAATGATGCTCGACTGATCAACCCCCAAAGATCGCCGGCGTGATTCATGACTCGCGTACGTGTGAATTATGCCGATGTGAGGAATTGAGTGTGTGCCGGAGAAGCGCAGAACGGGCATATCAGCTGCTGGAGATCTCATTCTCGGATCAGTGCGAGACGGATTCTCGACAGTGGCGCGCAATCCCTTCCGCTGTGATCGCAGAAACTCACAAGATTTCTTGCCCAGATTGTTGATCGCGAGGATTGCGAGGATTGCGAGGATCGCGAGAGTGAAGTGATAGAGAGACGATTTTCAGTGACTTCTTCTCATCATCCATCCATTCGCCCAAGGAAAACGATGTAAATTTTGATCATTTCAGTGTGACACTGGAGATGTTTGCAATCAAGCGCTTGTAATTCTGTTGTCTTTTTAATGGAAACCGGTTCCAAATATTTACCAAAGCGTGAAGAATCACAGAAAAATTTCCACTCCAAAATCCTCTGTGGATTCAGTTGATTTGTTTCTGTTGCAATCAAAGTGATAAGAAAAGTTTTGTTTACTCGAGAGCGAAATTATCGCCTCAAAATGTGAATTTCTCAGTTACAATTGACTTGTAATCCTTGTAATAATATTTATTTATCTGTTTGATTGCAAATTCCCCCGAAATGGGAGCAAAATAGACAAGAAAACAGACTTTCCAGCGATTCTAGTTGCGATGTTATCACAGGAAAGAGAGTCACAGAAATCAAATCAATGAGACTTCTCGATCTCACTTCCACACATGTGACGCAAAAAGTCTGTTTGTGGCCTTTGTTGCTCCTCCAGTCAAGAGGCATTGATCAGCAAACAAAATGCCAGCAATAAGATCAATTTTTCCGTCTCGTGACTCATCACCTTCTCTATTGCTTCTCTCTCTCTCACTCCGCCTTGTCTCGGATTGTGAACTTTCAATTAGTGGACATCGCATTTTAATTATCTCCACGTTAATTTGTCCATTTCAGCCGATGATCGCGCGCAAAAACACAAATAAGCGAGTGCTTCTGATCAGTTTCCTCGGTGCTTGTTGAGGCAGAACACGCGAAGAAAAGCAACGCGCTTTGGATGGTGTAGATCAATATTCATTACACACCGTGACGAATTCGAGCAGAATACTAATTTCACCAGCCAAGTGGCATAGGTCACATTCCGAGGGTCTTTTTAGTGATTGATCAGTCGTCGTGCGCGGTGAAATGTCTGGAAAAACACACTGCTTTCCGTGTCTCATTGGGATCTTTCTCTTGGCGCACGCACACGCCCTGCTCAGCATTGACGAGAGTGGTGAGTTCTTGCATTTCAGCGCTTCAATGCCTCAATCAAGGGGGAGATCATATTAAAAGAAGTGTTTGTGTGACTGATTTAAGACTAAATAACATCTTGAAAGAGAAATTTCTGGGTCTAGAATGAAAATATTTTATTGTCAGTTAGATTTCAGTTAGTTTTCGATTGATTTTCAGAGTAATAACACTAAAGTTCTTTATTTTGACAAATATTTTCTAGGTTATGTGACTTATTACACACAAAAAGAGTTTAAAATAGGAATTATTTTCATTCACAAGCTTTATAAGTAATAAATTGTGTATTTGCAACATTTACACTCAATGCAAATCGCAATTCTGGTAAATTAAGAGGGTTCAAATCAAACATAACCTCACATTTTTACTTCACAGCAACAAATATTGAGCTAGAAAGATTAGAAAAATTCTAATTATGAATATAATATCAAATAGTGCTATAGAAAAGCAGAAAATCATCAAATATTGTATAAGAATTTGTTCATTTTAGCCTTCATTTTACTTTTTATTGTTATATTATCTCCCCCTTGGCCTGAATGAATTTCCGATTTATCGTGGGAACAGGTGGCGAGCAAGCTGCGCGGGCTTTTCTGGCGGCCAACAAGACGGTTCTGGCCACAGCCGTTGGTCAGGCAGAGGATCACTTCCAGAAGCTGAAGCGGTTGGAGGCAACGCTAGCCACGCGCGCCAGAGTCCAGAATGGCAGCATTTCGGACGCCCAATTGCTGGACGGATTGCCGACTGATCAGGCGAAAGAGTATGATCGCGTGGCGCAGATCGTGCTCAAGACCAGCTCGAATCTTCTGCACACAGTCTGCCGGCCGCACAATGTGGCGGACAAGGATTGCGCCAAGCATCTCGCCCACCTGGACGTGCCTCCGTCGGAGGTGAAGGATCAGTGTCTGCACATGAGCTACCTTAACTCGGCCAAAGGTAGCGGCTATCACGCCTACAGGCGTCTTCTGCCCGCCGACTACAAGGATGGCCTGTACAAAGTGAGTGGTGTGGCAAATTTTGCGCGATTTCCCGCGAAATTCGATATTGCAAAACAAAACACTGGCAATGTTGGTCAGCGAAAAGAGCCAAAAAGCCTTCACTTCAACACATTCCTTGGCGAAATTCCTGGGCAGAGAAGCACAAACAAGTGAAGTGCAAGTGATATAATCTAATTGTGGGGATAATGATCTTGAATTAAAGTGAGCTTAATTGATTCCACTTGTGATCAAAACACTGATGAAAATTTAATCGAGACTCTGATGTGTGTTATGAAATGCAGAGAAAGAAAAGAGACTAATAATATAAACTATTTTCAAAGCACACGCCTGAGTTGAAAATTTTTTCTGCTTTTCCATTCATCAGGGACGGAAAAAAAAGCAAGAAGTGCGCTTCACAAACTTTCTGTTTCTCTCACACATCGCTTGTACCATACAAATTTGGATCAGTTTTTACACCTCTATTTAGTGTTCTTTTTATCACTGTGACAAAGCATGTGAACCATTTGAATGATAATTTCGGAAATTTCTATTCAAAACATTGCCAAACGGGGGAATTGATTTGGCGAACAATGCTTGTTCATTAATTTTTAATGAGATCTGACCACATTCGCTGAGATTAGACTGATAATTTGGCCCCGTTTTCCCATATTAATCTTCATCTCGTGACATTTCTGCACAACATCCAAAACATATTTATCCTTTTTTGCCGTGCACTTTTGCCACACATTAATTGGAGAGATGATTTCGACACGATTTTGCAGATGCGAGAAGAAATGCGCTTTTTGCACGCCTATCAAATTAATGAGTTCGCAGATAATAATCATAAAATTATTTCGTGTTTAACTCCTTTTTTTGTTGGGATCTTTTCTTGCCCACCTTGAAATTATTTGCCAAAATTGAATCAAGCTGAGATTTTAAATATCCCAGAGATTCTTGCAATCATTTTTCTACACTTGTTATTACATTTCCTGATCTTGATGAAGAAATTCCAAAAGTTATATCAATTTTTTTGCCAATGCGCTCAAAAATTACAGAATTGACATCCAATTTGAATATGACGTAAGAAAAGTGTCTTGTTTTTGGCGCTGTAATTAAAAAGTGCAAAAGAAAGGAAATATTATGCGTCTAGGCTGAAATTTGGGATTAACTAACAAGCAAAAGGGGGAAAAAATGTTTGCAGCTGCACGTAAAATATGATCCTATGCGCATTAATTGGATGTCTCCAGATAACCATGCATTCATTTAACATTTTGGCAGAGAAGAAATAGCATCAAGAGATGTTATTTATGCCAATCTTGTGGAGTGCGAAAGTGTCTCACAAATTGCTGTTAAATGCATTGGCAAGGCAAGAAAGGTAAAAATTTAATTGGATATTTTTTTTCTGCGAAGAAAAACGTGTAATAATCTGCGCGACAAGATATGAATTTCTGAGACTAATTCAGAGGGAGTCAATTATATTTGTGGGAAAATAGCGATGTGACTCAGTTTGCCCCCATTAAATTCTCACATCGCGGATCAATTTTGTGAGTGAACTAGACGGGCAATTTGCCTAAAGTGAATTGCGCCATTTGTACCATTTTGGGAAGTGATCACAAAGTGGTCAATTTGCGTTGGCAATTGTCGAAAATGGAAATATGATTTTATTGCACTTATTTGATATTTCGCCACTACACTGCAAAACCGCGCCAAATCACTCAGTTAAAGGCGATTGCGCGATGTCGAGACGATAATTGTTGATACAATTTGCATTGCAGATCCGCACCAGGACGGATGGATCGCCACTGCCGCTGCCCAGAGTTGTTTCCAGCGCCGCTTACGACAACGCCATGGATCACCTGAACACGATCCGGAGCTCTCATCAGGAGTCCAGCGAGGGCGCCCTCGACGCCCAGCGCAGCGTGATGCTGAGTCAGTGGTCGCAGTTTCTGGAGCAAGACCTCGTGAAGACGGTGCCGCGATCGATGGGCAACGGGCGGCCCATTGAGTGCTGCAGCACGACCTTCAGCCAGGCGGCGCCGCGGTACAGACATCCCGCGTGCGCGCCCCTCGCCGTCCCCGACTCAGACGCCTTCTATCGCCGCTTCTTCGTCAAGTGTCTCAACTACGTGCGCAGCGCCCTGGCCGTGGATCCGCAGTGCAAATTGGGCGCCCCAAATCAGGTAAGTGCGCCTGATCACGATCTGCCCCACATCCCAATATGACGATCAATTAACCGACAATTATTGCATCTCCATCGACGCCGTGACAAACTCTGGCCATGGTGTGCCACTATCTCCTGGCAAAGTACAAGAGCTGGATGGAAAAGTCACCACAATTTGCAAAAACCAAACACGCCGAGAAGGTGCACAATAACTCAACGGAGCAATTCATTCGGCATCTTATCTGGCAAATCAATCTCCTCGGCCGCGATGGAGTCTCAATGATTTGCCACATTGAGAATTGTGTACTCATGATCAATGTTATGAAATGATGCCGGAGTTCATGTTACATTTGCATGTTTAGTGTGTTAATATTGTTGTTATTTATAAAGTGATCTTATGACGGTTAAGCAGAGTCGCGACGGAAATCGTGAATAAGATCCATATTGTGCCTCTTCTCGGGCGCAAAATTACAATTAACTCCACAAATCGACATAAATCATACTTCGAAAGCTTCGAAATATGGTGAATTTGAATATTCTTTGTGGAAAATAATCGTAAAATACTTTTATGGCAATTTTTTTTTTCGTCTAAATTATGCTCTAACAAATGATCTCAATCTATTCATAAATCTCCGCCTTTCAACAGTAAATGGAATAGTAATAATAATAACAATAATAGTAGGTGAAATATCATAAACACATGATTTTGAAAAAGTCTCATTCCTCTCTGGGCTTTTCCACAATTCCCAGGAAATGTAGTAAATTTCAGTCTTTGACACATTTCAAATTAGAAAATGGATAGTTTTTGGCACATTCTCACCATAAAATTGCATACAAAGGTAGTTTTTCTCTAATCTGGAATAGAGATCATGCAATCTATATTAATGCCGAACTCTTCTTTCTCAAGACTGCCTTGAGAAAGAGCAGAGAATTTAAAATTCTATCAGTTGACACTGCGTAAGAGTTGATTGTGAGCCCTTTTCGGCAGGTGTTCATCCATATAATGTTGGGCAAAGAAGTGACTGAGACTCACAATGCAGTGTTTGTTTCTTCTTCAACTCTTGCAGCTGAATCAGGCCACGAATCTGCTGGATTTGTCCCAATTGTACGGCATGAATGATGAGGAGACGCGCACCCTGAGAGCATTCCGCGGCGGAAAGCTTCAAGTCTCGTCGGATGGGGCCAATACGATTCCAATTCAGCAGCACAGTTCGCTTTGTCTTCAGCCTAATGAAACCTGTTACCTCTCAGGTGGGTGCCTGTATCTGTCTCGGCTGCATAAATTATGTCTCGTACAATGTTGCTGATCGAGAGCAGAGCCATTAGCAAGCTCAGACAAGTACACCACTTCATGATAAATTCACACTTGCGCGGTACATCATTGCCATTCGGTGCCCCTTCCTTGGGCGGTGTCGATGATATACTGCGCGGACATTGATCAAATTGTGAGCCAATCTATCTTCCAAACTGGCTGACGAGATGATATTTCTCTCCCCTGACAGGTGATCCTCGTGCCAACGCCAATCCATACATGGTCCTGCAATATTCAATCTTTATGCGGTCACATAACAACATTGCGGAGAAATTGCGCAGTATTAATCCATCGTGGAATGACGAGAGGCTCTTCAAGTTTGCCAGGAAAATCAATACGGCGCTGTATCAGAAGATCATCTATGAGGAGTGGGCGCCCGAAGTGTTGGGCGCCGATGCGGCGCAGAAGATCAGCGACACTCCCGTTGAGGTGGATCGTCAGAGGCGAGATTTTGGCGTGAGCAATGAGTTCGCCACTGTCGCCATTCGCTTCTACAACTCCATGACGCCCGGCGATCTCTTTAATTCGGCCATTCTGGTTGACTCGGTGAGATACAATCTCTTCCAGCTGAAGGACACCTTCTACCGGCCGGCCAATTTCACCTCGACTGACTTCTTTGCCAAAGTCCTCGTGGCCAGTCTCACGCAGCGCGCCATGGCAATGGACACGGGCTATGTGGATGACTTGGGGATGCAGCTCTTCCGCGCCACCAGTGCTCACGTGGGAACATTCGGCACGGACTCTCTGGCGCTGGACATTGCGCGGAGTCGCGATCACGGTCTGCCAGGTAATTTCATCCAGAGCAAAAGTCCATCGAGAGCGAATTGTAACTTTCTAACGTGCGATCTTCGTCGAAGGCTACATTCACTACGTGAAGCTATGCCAGGGAAAGAACGTCAACAGCTGGAATGAACTGAAAGACATCATCTCACCGCAAGATTTGGCTCTCTTCAAGAACATCTACGGCTCTGTTGCCAACATCGATCTTATAATGGGAGCATTTGCTGAACATCCTGTCGCAGGAGCAACAGTTGGACCCACACTTTCGTGCATTCTAGGCAAGTATTGTATTTCTTCATGATTAAATTAATGAATTTCACCCACATTTTCCCTCGGTCATGCAATCCAGCATTGCACAGCAAAATCTTTTCCACCGTTTCCGCTTTACAAACCACCCAGCCTTTCAAAATGCCCAATTCACCTCTCAAAATGCAGTCACTGTTTCGTGTAATATTTCAGCCACAGGTGCGTTTCCTGAGGTGTTGTAGTTCAATTATAGTGTTCATGATTGTTTGATTTATTTCACCTCACGCGAAGACCATGCGAATGAGGACATTGAGACATCGCGCGTTCTTCCAGCGACGAAAAAACGTCAGACCTCTAACTGAGACATTAAGATAGTTATCTTGCGTTGATCTAGACAATCAATCACTTTTCGCATTTTCATTTTCATTTGCAGAATACGGTGAGAGAAATAAAAGCACTAATTGAAAAGACATCAAATGTTTGGTAATGAATAAAAGTGTGGCTATTAATGATTCGCACGTTTCTCACGATTTTGTCCCAAAAATAAGACCACACAAGATTACCGCTCTTTCACTTGAACTTGTCCAATTTAATAAGCCTTATATGTGTAACGATTATGAGGCATGAAAGCTCGTGGTGATTTTGAGTAAAGTACCGGAAGCTCATAGTCACACTTTACAAAGTGACACTTTCGGAAGTTAATGCCTATAATTTGCTCATTTTCAAACACCCATTTATGATATTGATTGCAATTCACAACCTTATGTGGTATACTTATGGCTATTACATATCATAAACCACTTTGAACTGTGTAACAAGTTTTCGTGCAGAAACTAGCGGAATTTCTGAGACGCTCTGCAGATCACGGTGTTCCATGTTACAAGAGATGTAATTGAGTTCTCTTTTTTTCCCTGGCATTAAACTACCAATAAATGGGAAACTGATGATCAGACACCAAATGGTATTGCATAAAGAGAAACACTTTACTCAAATTGATTGTTAATCGAGGGAAAAGTACAAGATAAACGCCATCCAGTGATTGGTTTGTAATTTCTCGAAGATTGTCTCTCTCAAGTATTCTCAAAAATTTTTACAAGCAATTTTCACCATAGAGAAACATATTTTACACGCACACTCAAGACATCTTCACGTGCGATAAATTTGTTGGAATTTTTGTGGAAATGATCAAACAATGCAAATTGTTGCTATTTTTACACAATATATTTGTATAATTTCTGTACTTGATGTTCTTCTAAGTGAAACAAAAAGACAAAGTTCAAAGAAGAATGACCGATTTTTATTGCTCCACATTTTCTATGCTTAGCGAAGCTACATATATGCGTTAGTGTAATTCAAATTAAGTGAAAATACGCACAATTGGACCTGAACTGCCTGTGAAAGACTTATTCTTATAATGATGAGATTGCAAATTATTGTTATATGTCTTTTTTTCTCAATCCACGCTCACTAACCATTGAATGGCTCACACACGACTTATTTTTTTTTTGCACCTCTTGCAATTCTCGAGCAATTTGCAAAGGAGAAAAAAAACCACATTACGATATTGATAAAATATATTTTGATTCACTGACTCTGGCGCTCACCTTTCGCGACTGCGGAGAGATGTTGTCAATGAGAAAAAGGTGTTGTACATCACACACAAACCCATTGTTGTGGCCATTCAAAAGATATTATTACCAATCACATTATTGCCATGCTCGGAATAACATTGTAAGAGTGCGCATTGCTGCCTAAGCATGAGCAAATGATTGAATACTCGTTATTATAATGATTATGCTCTAGTTTGAAATGCGCAAAAATTGTCATGTAATTTAATAATTAGTATATTGTTAATGCGACTCGTTACATAATTCGCCTGGATTATTCCATTAAATCACTATTTCCGTCACTTCCATCACTTTTCACCACTCTTTGCCTCTTTGCCCACCTCCAGAGCAGCCTCTGAGAGTGATCTCACTGCACCATTACATATTCCAATCAAATGGAAGTCTGCAAACATACACACCTCGAGTGCAATGTTTATGAGTGCACTTTGGGGAATAATATAATGTTGCACGCCTGAAGATTCTATAGCATAATAATATAAAGTGCAATTCACCGCACAATACAAATGTGTTTGCTGATATTTTGAGATGATTTCACGAACGACTTTCCTTCCACTCAGGCCAATTGGACGCTAAAGAGCAGTTTGTTCACTGTGTCTTAATGGGTATCAATATTTATTGTGCAGGTGCCTATCTTATTAAATAATTTTCTATAATTTTCTAGTAGTAATTTGTTATTCTATGTTGTGCCATGGAAAGACACACTTTGCCCCTAAAGAATCCAGTGTAGGTTGTGAAGTACAAGAAAACATGATTGCATAAGAGAAAAAACTCGAGTTTTGCATACTTTTTCTTTAATTGTCTGATTATGTGGCTAATGTTTTGGATCTCAGACTTTTAACCCTCGTGCAAAGGCAAGAAAAAAAAGAATTAATTATACAAATAATAAAAGAGTCCAACAATGTTTTGAAGATGATTATTCATTGGCCCTTTCTTTTGGAATATGTAACAAAACAGTTTAATTTCTTCTATTTAAAGAAAAGAAAACGTTAATGATGAACTACGTAACATTGCGAATATTAAAACGGGTCGTAAATGATTATTCTCATAATATTTGGAAAAATGGAAATAAATGAAATATTCATCTATTTTGGACTTAAGCATCGACACATCAATATTTAGCACACACAAAAAAACTGCTTAACTTTTCAAATTAGCGTTTGTGGAAGCAATAGAAAATCTGTGTCTGTGGCGTGATTAATATTTATCTACTGTACTTTATCTAAACGCTTTCAGCTCATGTCGCAAGTAATTAATATTACTCTCTTCCCCATTACACTCGTTGCTGTTGTTCTCTCGCTGGTCATAGGTGAAAATTAAAATTTTATTGTTACACACGCGAGTCCGCGAGATTATGTGTGGCAGAGAAGAGGAGATTGATGGAAAGTGTATGTGTACTTAAAATGCCCACGGCGATTTTGTGGTTACATATATCGGGCTCGGACTTCTGAAATGAAAGCAACATAAAGTCCTGTGCCATGCATTTACGATGACTCGATCATTGTCACATGCGAAGTCCATGAGAATTCCCAGAGATCGCCGCGGAGAAAGTTGCCCTGGAAACCATCTCCAAATACGCATTGTGAGATGAAAAGTGTGTGTGTGTGTTGAAGAGCGTTAGCATTTTAAAGTTCTCAGGAAGTTGCATCAAATTGCATAATTGGATCATTATGTGTGTGTCTCTTGTCATTGTTGCAGGGGAGCAGCTCAGCAACTCCAGACAGACGGCAAGGAGCTTTTACGACAACAACTTCAAGTTGAGACACACCGTGAGTGACTACACTGCAGCGCATCTGCTCTGCGACACGACTGACCTGCAAGTGATCCAGGAGAATGTCTTCAGAGTGCCTTCGGAGGAGAATCCGCTGCAGCGCTGCGAGTCGCTGAAGGGAAGGCTCCACATGAATGTGTGGAAACCCTCGTCGTAATTAATCAGTTGGGAGGGAAATTTGATGGGCCACGAAAATGTACAAAGACGATCGGCACAAGAGTGCCTCAGAGCGACGACCAACCTTTCCCTGATGGAGGGAACATCCTACATTAATCAGTGCTTCTGCAAGACACCTTCTCTTTCAAGGTCTCTCTCTTGCTAATGCCGCATAAGGCGAATGGGACACAAAGGCTAGAAAAAAAACACCAACAAGATGTTATGAGATATGTAGCAAGGAGTTTGTTTTAACCCAGAAATTAAATTCTCAGAGATTTATTGCGCTTTTTCAATTTACCTCCTAATAATTAATTGGAAAAATTGTGTGCTAAGACTATCAATTTGGCGCTGACCCAAGAGGGAGAGCGCGAACGACATCAACCTTCAAGGTGAGTGTGCGTCATTAGAGGCACTTATATTGCTTGATTTGTAACAGATCTTTTTTCCAACTCTCTTGATGATTGTGCGCCTCGCAAAACTAACCCAAAATCAGCGCCCAACTACCTGTTGCACTGCTCCCATTTCGCTAGACGCACTTGCATAATGCCGACGATGCGTAAATTCGTGCTCACACGTAAGCATTTTACCACGGCGACCGCTCATGTGATCAGCAGCTAATTGCTAATTTGGTATTAAACTGACCATAACCGCCGACACCATGTTTTCGACTGCCAGTCTTCATTAGGAGGCGTTGAGGAAGTGTTGATAAGACTCTTCAATAACTGTGTTCAATAATTTCGCAGAATATCTCTGACTTGCGAAGAGGAAGAAATGCATAATCTTCAAGAAAAATTTCACACAAACATAGTTTTTGTCTGGCATTTGATGACTCTTCACAAATTTCCCAATTCTTTTTCTTTTTCTCAAGAGCGAATAAATGATATTTGTCACCAAACAAAGACGTTTGTGTCACGATAATTTGATGGGTATTTCACGAGTCCCAGACTTGTTTCTTATTCACATTCAGCAGAAATTCCAATAGTTCCCACCGCAAACACAGCATGTTTGGGAAATCTTGGATTTCTTCTTCACCTCATTGAAATTCCAAGTGAAGAAGATTAAACCTGTTCATACGCACAGGATAGAATGTCATCAGCAATTAGACGCATTGTTTATTGATCTATTTTTAAAGTTATCTATTCACAATTGGGCGAAGGGAAGAAGTTTGAAACTCGCGAAAACGATCTCAATTCGTCATCAATGTTTTCTTGGCTATTTTTTTTAAATTAAAATGATCCATTCCGGATCGATCAAGGCGGAGTTCCTTAACGAGAACTGCACCTTGTGTTTCAAATCAACCACACATTCAATTTATTTACCCTTTGGCGTCAAATTTTATAATCACCACGCGAGTGATCGACTCAGTGTAAGAGATGTAGATGGAAAAAAGCTCATAGCATACAATTGAGCTTTCAATGTCATATCCCTCTTTATTTCAATCAATTACTTTTCATGCTGCGAGATATGAATCTCATAACGAAACATGGTGTTGGCCAGCATTCAACAAAGAAATGTGTAATAAATTTTCTCCCTCCCAAAATATTTTCCGGCTCTTAATTCAACATTAAGTATCTCATATTTCAGCGATGATCTTGAATCTCGTTTTTCTGCGCATTCATCAAATTAGCTATATATATATTTGAAGTCTATCTGGCTAAATAGAGAAAATCTCTCACGAAATATTCATCTGCAGCGAGGCGAAATAAATGTTCCTCTCACAGGAGAACCATTAAATATGATTCGTATTACAATCACAGCGTTGTCACTCAATTCTCTCGAGTCGTTTTTCCACGGGATCCGTTTTGATCTTGTCCGATATGTTGCCTTTTTCATGGCCACAATGTTGGTGTTGCAGAGCACGGAAAGCACGAATGGGGAAAAAATATTTATCCAAATCACGGCTCTTTGTGGCCAAAAGCAAGAGAGCGAATGTTATAATTGATAGTCGTCAGGCCGCGAAGTGCGCACGCTGCCCAAATAGTACATTTGTTGGTGCAAGAACAATGCTGACAATCACGCTGTGCGTATATGGAAATATGTCAAAATGACCAATTAAATGTGATTCCATTTAAATGCCTTTATTACCACAGTCAGAGTTTCCTGCTGAACCACAAGATTGCTGGTTCTTTTTATTATTCTCGTCTCGAGCCCTGCATCAAATCACAAGTCAAACGATCGAAATTGGGATTGTATAAGACCTAATTTGATAGATTCGACAGTGGAGTTTAATTTTCCCTGAGCGCAAAAGCGTTTTAGAGACTGTATCAATTCACTAATGCATTTATGCAATTGTCAATAAAGATTTTAAGAGATAAATTATAGTGGGTGCTTTCCTGCAGGCAAAATAACATGATTTCATTGAAGAAAATAGTAAAAAAAATAATTTTATGTGCATATGAATGAACAAGACAGTAATCACGGTGAAGTAGTGCACAATTAATACAATTGAAAGTCAGAAAGTTATGAACAAAGAGGATTGATTGCATTTTGAAGACACTTTCCAAAGTGCTTTCATCTCGATAGGAAATTTTGATAGGACATTTAAAATAATAATTAATAGCAAGTCCGCTAAGAAATCTCACGACGCAAACATGAAACCTAACATGATTCTCTTTGTAAACTATAATAAATAATGGTGTGCTTGGAATATGTGGCGTTTACGAAATACTCTACAATATATTGAGTAATTTGAATATTCCGAATATTTTTCAAGAATTTATTTAAAACAATAAAGCATAGCATAACACATAATACATAACAATAAGATAAAAATTGTGCCAAGCAATGTGAAGTTTGAAAGTGTTGAATATTTAAAGTAAACCTGCTCAAATGTTATGATTCGACACGGATAATGACTTCACAAGGAACTTTTGGCAGATCTTCAAGAGCCCAGTGCATATGGCGAATTCACAGCGAATCATCATAATCTCACGAGTCTGGGTTGGAGGATTAATGCAACACACAATGGCCCGTGAAACTCCCTTCCGATGCCAATAAAAGCAATAGTGAAAATGAAAACATGACCGGAAAAAAGATCAATAATAAAAATGTGGTGAGAAATGAATTCCACACAAGTTCGGATAAACTCAATGAAAAGCAGAGCGTCGAACATCCTTATTTCTCGTATTTTGTTGACATTGTAAGAGCGCCAGGAAGGAAGAAAAACTTTCACTTGCGTGTCTATTCGCTTATCTGATTCAAATTCAAGGGATAGAGAGAAGTGATTCGCAGAGCAAATCGACCATGTCCAATCTGGCACTATAAACATGTAGATTTCGTACAAGACGACGCTCATAGTGGAGATTTTGACATGTAATATCGATAAGCTCTCAAAAATCTACTTTCATTCGAGAGATTGATGGGCAAAAAAGCGTTCCAAAAACATCCAATGGCCATAATTCAAAGATTCTTTCGCGCGTTTTGCAAGCGTTTTGTTATGTGCATATCTGTTTTATTGGTGTGGTCAGTGCGGTCCAAAAATATGCAATTGCATCATTAATTTGTTTTTTTTGCCTATCTTAGCCTTGTTTTGTAGCTTCTGCTTTTTCACTATCTGAAATAAAAGCAAACTCATTGAAAGGCGAAAAGTGCTGTTCGCCATAAAGTGTGGAAATTAAATGAGGCTTTGCCTTATTATGCGCTTCTTTTTTGTTCATTATTGTAAACTTGGCAAACTTGCTAAGAAATCGCAAGTGACTTTCATCAAATGACGTCGAACGGCGCGCGCGCGAGAGAGAAAATCACATAATTTATCTGGACATAGAAGAGTTACAAATTTTGGACAGAGATTTTTTTGCTGAACGGGTTTGAAATCTTTCAATCGAATGTTTTTGTGACTATCGTTGAAATTTTCAACGCTCTTTGTTTACAAACAAGAAGTTTTGGACACAAATTTTCACTCTGCATTTGATGATCTCAATGTTGTCTGAGTGAGAAAATGATAAAAAGCGTGAAAATTGAAATATCTCTCAAAGTGTTGGCAAAGCATTCCTCGGAAATTAAGGAAGCTTTGCAGAGCTCCGCAGAGGCAGGAAAAGAAAACACAATGATTAATTGTGAGCAATAAAGAGTGCAAAAGAATTACATAAAAATCTTTCGTACAGTACAATTTTCAGAGAATAAAACCGTGACGACGAGGTTAGTGTGATAATTAATTTTTAGAGGAACACCATAGAATATAAATTCTCACCTAAATTCAGTTTCAGATTTTTTTTTTGCTGAATTTCGTTCCAGTGTTTTTTTTAGCCAAAAAATCGTTTAAGTCAATCCATTTTGTTGGCAACTTTAGAGTGAATTTCTCATAATTTTGTTGGCGCGGATAAGATTCAATATCGTGATATTGTTGCCTGTAATAAAAGCTTCCAATAAATCCGCCGACAAGTCTTTCTTCAAATGGAGCATCGAGAAATTAGTGATTGAGCAACATAGAGATAGAGATATTAGTTTTTCGTCTTGCATCTGGTGGATTTGCACCTTTTTGTCACAGCTCTGTGACCAGCTGAATACCCTCAATCTGACTTTATCCCACAGTTTACCCAATTAGAGCTCTTCTCAGATGCATTCCTTGCAAGAGAGTACGGTAATTAATATTTATGCTCAAATAGTTTGATTTAATGCCCACCACATAAATCATGCGTTATAGTTTCGCCATCGAAATTGTTCGTGCGGCTGCTGAAAAAACTCGTCCAGTTTCTTCTAATTTGCTGGAAATAGCTTTTGCTTCACATGTTTTTTTTTCCTGCCCTCCCAACTGTAATCCAACCGACTTCTCCAGCGCCCCAGACAAATAAAGAATCCACGGTGCGATCAAGCAAACATCTCAATCCCCCGAAAAATGAAAACGAAAGGAAAAGTTGAACGCGCGCGCTTTATTTTTCATTTCACAAAGATTAAATGGGAGAAATTGAAATATTTCGTTAGATCATTTTTTCCCCACTCGCGCTCGCGCGTCAAATTCTTCTATTTTTCCCCAAACACTTTCTCCATCTCTTTGACAAACTTTGCATTCCATCATCCAGTTTAATTTCGCGTGCTACTCAACTGGCTACTATTGATTGATCATCGGCGGAAGGTAAATTTGTCTCGTTTTGATTTGATTGATTTTTTTTCCCTCCCGTCATTCGCGCCGTGTGAAAAATGCAGACGCCACACAAAGAAAAACACTCTCTTTGGGCCCATTTTGGGGAGTGATAAAGTTCTTTGAAAGCGATTCCCGCCGCTGAAACGTGAATGAATTGAATTCGTGCCTGTGGTGATCTTTAAGAGCGCCTCACAAACATCGCGCGCTCGCAGACTTTGGGCTCCACTCCGGGTGAAGGTGGTGGGAGCCCAAAGTGTGGGGAGAATTAATATAAAATCTCGTGAAAACCGCGTCGATACCTCAGTCGATTTGGTCTTTTCCACACACCAATCGGGGAAATACAGGCATTCCTCCAGTGCCAGTGGCGATCAGTGGCAAGACAGACGAAGGATATCCGAAGGCGACTTCTTGTGCAATATTCCTCCTTGGACTCGTACAATATCTGTGAAGTGTGATCTCTGAAATAGAATAGTGGTGGTGTTTTTTTTTCTCACTGTGAGTGCAAGAATAAAGCGAAAATTTTATAAAGTAAGTGACTTCCCAAGTAATTGCATTTTAATGGATTATTAGTGTTAACGAGAGGCTTCTCAGGATTATTAAAGAGAAGGCTATCTCTAAAAGAAGTACACAATTACACTACTATTATAGAAGGAGCTCGAGGTCTCCAGACCAATTAATTCCCCGCATGCCAAAGTGAGAAATTTCCTAAAAGTGCCTTGAAGTTATTTCGTCAAGACGAAAAAATTGATAATTTTCATTTTTTTTACCACAAAAACTCTTACTTTCATCATACAAAATTGCAAATGAAGAAGAATCATTTCACAACAATGCCACAAACACACTAATATACCTAGATTTATGGATGAGTGGCAGAAGAAGGAGTTAAATTGTGATATAATTTTTTCCCCAGACGCCACAATATAATTAGCCTGATGAAGGTTAAAGTGATGTGATTAATTGCGTGAAGGGAAGATTTATGCTGAAACTCTATCTCTGCATTATGCTCAATTGTCTTCCACGTCAAAGTGGAGACTTTTCCCAACATTTTACTTTTCAATAAGCGCGTCAAAAGTGTCAAGACTGCACTTCCCGAGCATGCGACGCACATTGTGATAATTACAGACGATTCACAAGCCAACCAGTTAGTCTGCTCGGCGGATCATTGGCCCGCGAAGGTGCTCAGTAGTCGAAAGGGAAATTGAGCTGTTTTCTGCACGCGCATCTGACTAAATCATATCATTCATCTTGCCTCACTTAGTGCTGATCCGCCCATTGGAGAAGCCTCGCAATGTCAATGGAAATGTCGGCGAATTTGGGGATTTCTCGCGAATCAGGGAAAACCAGTTAAGTCGGGAAAAAAGTGAGAAAGAAATTAATTGATGTCATCAAACTGCAAATCACTCATCCGATCGCAATATTGCCAAATCCTTATTCGATCGTTGATCTCATCAATTTCTACCTTTCTTTCCAACTCCAAAATACACAAAAAAAAGAATGATTTAAAAAGACCCATAAAAACTTAAATTTTCTCTCAACATTTCATCATTTTGGTTAATAATTCGACAACAAAACATTTTCAAAAAGATGAAATGGTGTAGAAATAAATATAAAAGTGCAATAAAAAGATCTCAGCGTTCCAAATCTCTTAAAGTCAAGAGTTGAGACTGCAACGATCTTGTTGAGACTTATTTGGGATTTCCCCCAACTTGATTAAAATGGTTTATTCATATAAAACAAAGATTAATTTGAGTCATGACTGAATTTCAACCGAAAAACAGTCGTGATTCTGGGTAAAATGCTAATTTTTTCATAAACAAGAAGATGGTAAATAATATTGGGTTTTTTCTGGAATTTTGCCATTTTAAATTATTCCATTAGGCAAATTGTTATAATTCAAGTTTGCTAGATTCTTTTGCTTTGATCTTCTTTTTACCAGTGATATCAAGGCCTTGAGTTTCTTAAATAGTCGTTTTTGGACCGCAAAGCAGTTTTTTTTAAATAAAATAAAAGAAATTTCGATGACAGAAATAATTTGTGGGAAAATTGGAAGCATTCTTCATGATTTCTTCTATCCAGAAGACTCTTTGTCGTTTAAGAACCTGTTCAAGCTTGAGAAAAAAGTCTGTCGATTCTCTGATATGTTGTAATATATTCAATATTTATAAAAAATCGTTGTTCTTTCCCTAAAAAGAACATCGAATCCACTAAATTTCAGCCTTGTAAATAAATTCACTTTTGAAAAGTGAAAAAATTGGAATGTTTTACTGCAGTTTAGTCCTTGGTGCAGCCTTTCTATCGTAAAACGAAATGGTCACATATGTATAATAAAAGCAAATTGATTTGCTGAATAATATGCAGAATATGCAATAAAATACATTAAACCGCATACGCAAACATTTCACAAGTTTTTCTTTCTGCGGCACAACTCAAAAAGGTTTCATTACTGTGGGATCAATTTTATCAGACAATTTAGCACATGCACTTTAATTATTACTCATTGTAAAATATCCAGAATAGACAAACAATAAAACAGTAGGCATATAATCATATTAAGTGGATTATTTCGACTAATGCTATGTTGCAGGAAATGTTCCAATTACCAACTGACAAATGTGCATAAAACAATCATGAATAGCCTAATTAATAAATCATGTAAATGTAGGCTTTTTCATGTGCACGTAAAACCGCAAACGCATTAGTCGTTGGGAAATTTTGAGAAAATGCAATTTTTTACACTTTTTCTAACGCAAAAATCCGCAAAAATCGATAAAGCAAATTATAGTCATTAATTTATATTGTAGACATGGAGTGCAAATATTGTATTACTGGGTGAATTATTGTATTAGAAATAACTCACTTTCATCACACATTCGTGAATGGGAGGGCAAAATTCCACTTTGCTGGCGGTTTTGCCTTAAGAAGGTCACTCTGTGCACTTTCGGGGCGTATTTTCAATGGACCGAGACATTAGGGATCAATAAAATATTTACTCTTTCGCCTATTGACAACCCAGACAATGGCTTTGAGCCTCGAAAGCTCGCTCCGGAGGTGAGATATATAAGAAGTAATAAAATGTGGGAGTTTGCGAAGTTATTCATCAGAATGGCCAGAATTAACTTATTGACCCGATTTGGCAATTAGTCTAGCGTACAAAATGTGAAGGAAAATGGCAAGAAAATATATTGCACTTGCATACAATACAACTTTTTACTTATGTTGGAGATTATTCCAGTGAATTAACATTGGGCAGCCGTAAAAATGATGCATTAGAGAGACAGTGGTGTAGTTGTGAATTTTCACACTATATTGAGCAAATTATGTCACGAATGCAGTTGGAAAATCATGAATTTGCAAAAAAGGGTTGTGCATAGAATTCAATTAAGAAACTGTGGGATTTTTTCTGCCTTTCCCAATCACACACACTGCGGAGAGAAAAAATGCTTCACCTCTTCGCACAATTGGCAAAAGTAAATTCAAGGGTCGTGTTCACGTTGTGAATGACTTGTTTGTTGGGGGGAGAGAAAATCCGCACAACTAATTGCCTATGAAAGTGTTCGACGACTTGTGAATAAACAGAAGCTGCGCGTTTCGTCTGATCTTTCTCGCAATGGGAGTTGAATTTTTGCAGAAAAAAGAATCCAAATTCACATCACGCTCAACATTTCTTAATTATACCCAATTAATAATTCTCTGGAGGTCTCTTATCTCAGGCTGTCAATCACACACACTCTCTCTGGTCACCTGTAATGACCAGAGCAAGTCTCCTTTTGAATAGGCGTCTTTTAAATGAAAGTTGGCTAAGGCGTGAGCTATTTTTTCCATGGGCAATACTATATTTTCAATGACAGTGGGTGGTGAAATTGGTGTGTATGTTGAGTTGCATTTTCTTGGGCATCATTGGGTAATGGTGGAATTTTCTCCAGCATGAACGCAATTCGCTTGTGCAATCAAAATTCTGTCGCTTAAGCGTGAGAATGTCGGTGTGGCGTCAAATCAAAGCTAATCAATCAAATAATTACTACAAATCCCAATATTCCATCATCAAATATCTACGCATTTCACGTCTACGCAATATCTGGATGGAACGTGATGCCGTTTTTATCTCCCCATGCCTTCAAATCTCAAGCACTCCTTGTGCTAAAATAAGAGAAATAAGAAAAAAAACGAGAACAAGAGTTGTGTAGGAATTTCTAAACTTACAATGTTGCTATCATAATTGACATCTCGTTATTGCTGGCGTTATTTCATTAGCATTGCGCGCTGACACTGCAATATAGAAAAAGACAAATAGTTTTGGGTCATAAAGTGATATTTTAATTAGATCTCCAATCGACTTACTCGCATTGAGTGCGTTGAAATGCGCGATCAAATCTCTTTGCATGCAAATCGACATTCGAAGACCGCCGAGTCACATGCGTCGATGGTCTTCCCAATGAAGCAAAACGCCTTGAACTTTGAATTCCCTGTTCGATCGACAAGGAAATGCACAGTGATCTTAAAACATGAACTGGCAATAAAAGGAAAGTTAAGGAAGCTGCCGCCGGCAAAACTTGATTGCAATCAACCAGTTTCGCAGTCGATGATAATTTCGCTAATGATGAAATGTGGTGGAAAACAGCGTGGAGAGTAGGTGTCCAAATATTTCAAATTATGTTATATCATCACTCACTATCATTAGGCAGAATCTTGGAGTTTTTTTGGTGGCCCAGAATTGCACACACTTTACCAAAAATATTCTGCAGTTTAACTACCTTCGCCATTGGAATTGTTTTGATTGCACAATCCACACAATCACATTTCAGAGCATTTTGGATAATTATCATAAGCCTGTCCATGTAAATAACCCTCTGTCTATCTATGCTCAAACAGTCACCATATCTGATTGGATGTTGAATAAGTTTGTCAGGCGTTTGAGACATTCCAAAGAGAAAAATTGCCCAAAAACAAAGAATAAAGTTCATAAATTATCCATGGGCGAGTTCCTTATTGTTGCGAAATGGGTAATCTCTTTAATGATCGTGCTTTTTTTCTCTCTACAGCGTTGATCCATGAAAGACACCGTGCAATATTGTTACTGGATCTCTTTTACAATATATAATATTCAATTGCCTCTTAATATGATGTGGAAATTGGATTAAAGGAATCAATTTAAAAAGCGATCTCCTCAATGTCATTCTGTTCTTGTTCGCGGTCTCACCATTTATCCTCGACTCGAAGAGCCGCGGCAATTATGCTCGCACAATTCCTCTCAATGGTTGCAAACTCACGCGCAGAGGGAGTAGAATTCATAGAATGAATTAACGCTCCGCACTGTAATAATTGGAAAATGTATGAGATTTCATAGGCATGATATAAAGCATTCATTAGCGTGGATCAATAAAAGAAATTTAATGCCGAACAGATTGCTTCTCCCATTCATAACATGAGATGTTGTTGTACATTTCGGGATTTGTATTGCCAAAGCATTTGTCCTAGTTCTTATGCTGAGTGGAATTGTTATTTAATCTTTCACCAGCGAGCATCTCTCTCTCTGCATTATGTGAATTGAACACACAAATTAATCGCCTTCCCACTGTGCGAAGGTTTCCCAATTACACTCTCTGGGCTCAGCAACATCTCCAACGCAGACAACGCGCGCTTGACTCGTTTAGCATGTTGCAGCATCGCTTCTCTATGTTGCTGCCTAATTAAATTAAATTACCCGCGCGCCGGTGCATCAATGAGTCAGCTGAGAGAGTGCAATTGATGGTGAAGAACAATGCGAGCAAGAATTGCTGCACTAGAATGCAACTCTCACTGCATATTTTCTCACTATCACTCTCGAATGTCGCACATTTCGGTCGGCGTTGCATAAATATTCATGATCCACTGTTTTGTGTGTGCGGTTCAGTGAACCTCGTGTGTGTTCACGAGCGATATTTTTTGAGGAAAGTCCCGCACAAAAATCACGATCATAACCCATTTGGTGAGCCATTAGTGTGCTAATTGAGTGAATTTTATGCCTTTTTCCTCCTGATACACTTTTATACATTGTTGAATTGTTGGATTTATCAATATTTTCTCGCTTCACTGCCTTTTTGGCGGTGTGTGAGGAAACGGTGTGCGATTAATTTACACAAAATTCACCAGCAAAAAAGCGAAACGCGACAGATTTCAATCGCGGAATCGTGTATGTCTTATAAGCGGAATTTCTACAACTTCCCAACGACCACTTTCGCATGTCCTCCTACAATTTTTCGAGATCCGGTGCAAAATGCACAACAAAACGCGCAAGATATTCTCTTCCTTCCGCACTTTTCGCGGCCGCCAAGCCGTGATATTAACTGCTTTCTTCCCCCTTTCTTGCAGATGAAGGTGCCGTTACTGCTTCTCGTCGCAACACTCGGTACAGTTCACAGTATAAACTTGGAAGGATCATCATACAGTATTGTACACGACAGAGGAGTTCGAAGTTACTTCTCACACCCATTCGGCGGCTTTGGGAAAGCCAGAGGATTCGGCGGTGGATTCTTCGGGTAATTCACAATCTATATTGCAGCTGTTGCTCAATTGCAACTGTCGATTGCGTACAGTTGACAAACAATTCGCAGCCAAATTATCTTTGGCAGTGCATTTATGATCTCTGTTCAATCTAATTTATTTGCTTTTAACAGTCACCATTTAATCCACGCTCTAAAGCGCCAAAACGCAATTATAGAGATTGCTTTATCGCCTTTCAAACCCATAAAGACATAATTGGAAGCAAATATAGAGATAGTTTGAAAAACTAACAGAGTTCATTTGTGAATTTGTCAGACCATTTGGATCATAAAGTCAAATTAACATTCCAATGAATGTGCTGTCGATGACTGGGCATATTGATGACTTAATGCATTGGATTTTTCGTTTCTCAGGCACTCTCAAGCCCCCACAAGTCCATTTGGCGTCGCTGCCGGTCCAGCTTCGTCCCTGACGAGCAAAAAATGCGGCGTCGCGCCACAAAACTGCGTCCGATCTCGCTATCGCACCTTCAGCGGTGTGTGCAATAACTTGCTGAATCCAGGATGGGGAATGGCGTCCAGCACCTACTCGCGTCTCCTGTCGCCCAAGTACGGAGACGGCGTCTCCTCGCCAACACTCTCCGTGACCGGAGCTGAGCTGCCCAACGCTCGTGTCCTCTCAGTGGACGTCTTCGGTGAGCGCGACGTTCCCGATCCCAAATTCACGCTGCTCAACATGCAGTGGGGTCAGGTGATCACCCACGACATGAGCTTGCAATTCGGCGGTTCTCAGGCCCAGAAGCACGCCACGTCCTGCTGCTCCGTTGAAGGACATCCCGAGGAGTCACGAAGCCTCCACACCACTTGCTATCCCATCGTCGTGCCACACAATGATCCCGTGCTCAACAACTACAACGACCAGTTCTGCATGGACTTCGTGCGCACGCTCACGGACAAGGATGTGCGCTGCCCCAATCTGGACTTCAACTCTCCCGCTGAGCAGCTGACCGAAGTCACGGCGTTCATGGACTTGTCTCTCGTCTACGCGAACAGCGACCAGATGAACGCTCAGCTGAGAACCTTCCAGGGCGGCAGGCTGATCACCGTTCAGCGCAATGGCCGCGAGTGGCCACCACAGAATCCCAACGCGTCCACTGTCTGCACAATGAACAATGGCCAGGAACCCTGCTACCTCGCCGGAGATGCCCGAGTCAACCAGAATCCCGGACTCACGTCTCTGCAGTAAGTCAATTACACTCAAGAGTTAGATAACCATAATCATCATCGGCGAGATTTTAATTACAACTGCAAGTGATTTCAACAAATTGAGCTACTTATGTTCGTTCGATAAAATTGAAAAAAAGTGGGTGAAAGAACCGGTAAAATGCCCTATGGCTGGAAATTGATGCCAGTCGAATTCTAACTTAAATCATATCATAAAACTTTATTACCTGCCTTTCTATCAGAGACACTTTTAAGTGAGACTCACTGAGAAAAAGCAGTCAATCTTACGACAGATCGATAAAGCTTTTGATCTTTCCCTGCAGAGTTATGTTGCTCACTGAGCATAACCAGATCGCCGACGCCTTGGCCAGCATTAATCCCCATTGGGACGATGAGAGGATCTTCCAGGAGGCGCGAAGGATCAATTATGCCGAATTCCAGCACATTTCCTACTACGAGTGGCTCCCAATCTTCCTTGGACAGAAGAACATGCGCAACAATGGCCTGATCTACGAGACCACGCCAGGGAGCTACGTGAATGACTACGATCCGAGCATTGATCCGCGGGTGATCAACGCCCACGCGCACGCCGCCTTCCGATACTTCCACACGCAAATTGAAGGAAGACTCGAGTAGGTTTTTCCCACGCTTTTCATGCCTTTCATAATTAGTTCAACGATAAATAGATCGCGAAGCGAGACTTTCTCATTTACCTTTTTTTCTCTCTCGCGCAAATGCATGAGAAACTCTTTTTCCTTCATTCAAACCATCGGGCAAAACAATGATTTAATTGATTATAATATTGGTTTGAAGATAATTTTCAATTTCCACTTTTTCTCTCTCACTCTCCTGACTCATTGATCTTCAAAGAATGCGTGATCATCGATGATATCAGCGAGAGATTGTTGCTGACTTTTGCGCACAATTGCAGCATAATTTCCATGCATTTTATGACGATGCATTCAATCAGAAAAAAACTGTCTCTAATGCGAGCGATGAGAAATACTTAAATGCCGCAATTTCTATCATTGTTTTTTTGATTGCTAATTTGATCCATGGTAATCGTTTTCCCATTACTTTCATTTAAAAAAAGTAATATAGAGTGTGAAAAAATGCATGGAAAATTCACGATAGAAATGGTTGAACTTTCGCGAGAATGCACTTCATCATGCCATTCATTCTGTGCTAATAACTTTTGCTTTTCACCCGCTCTATTAGATGAGTAAAAGTGGAATTCACCGTTTTGCTTTCAGTGAACCTAATTTCAAGATCTTGACACATTTTTTCTCCCATCGTGATCCACTTTTGACCCTCGCGTAATTTCCAACAAAAGGAATAATTGAATTTTGGGTCAATGATGAAAAGCACTTGAACTTATTGCTAGAATAGCCGATCACGCATTGCAATTTCTCGATCGATCGCTCTAATGTTCATCTTTTATCTTCTCAAGCCTATTGTCTGAACATCGCGCGAGAACTGCTTCGCTCCGACTCAGTGACTGGCTCAATCGTCCAGTCATTGTTGAGGCTGAGTTCGATAATCTCTGCCGCGGCATGGTCACGCAGCCCGAGGAAGACACCGATGACAACATTGACACAGAAGTGAGTCGCTCTCAAATTTCCTCAGCCACACATTTGTCTCTACAATGTAGAATCTTTGGCGCCTCTTCCCCAGATCAAGCACTACCTGTTCCGCCTGGACAACGTCATTGGACAGGACTTGAAGGCGATTGACATCCAGAGAAACCGAGATCACGGTCTCGCCAGCTACAATGACTTCAGGGAGTTCTGTGGCCTGAAGAGGGCCGCGACTTTCGACGATTTCCTGGATCTCATCTCGCCCAGACACGTGGAGAAACTCCGAGCTCACTACACGAGTCCCGAAGATGTGGATCTCACTGTCGGTGGAGCTCTGGAGGCTCACGTGGCGGGTGCTCTGGCCGGTCCCACCTTCCTCTGCATCCTCACCGAGCAGTTCTTCCGCACGCGTGTCGGCGATAGATTCTTCTACGAGAACGGCAACGTCGACAGTGCCTTCACGCGAGGTAATAATTCGGATCTCAATAGCATTCTTTACAGTCTTTAGTATGATTTGACACTTCCACGGTTTTTATGCAAAATATTCAACACTTCAGACACTTCTGAACGCTTTCTGTTTCTCACACTTATTTCTGATTTATCACAACATAATCTAGGGTTTTCCGTCTCAAGAAGGTTAAGCTATTTAAATGCTTAGATTTAAGATTGAAGGAATTGATCTCAATGTCTCAGGATTCGTTCATGAACAATTTCTGTCTTACAATTTCTATTTTGAATCCTTTCGAACCTGGAAATGAGTAAATATAGTGAATAATTAAATTTTTCTACTAGATAATGAGATTAAATTTGCCACTTTATAGCTCAAACCGCAGAAATAAGTAAGCAATGAGACATTCCTATTACTCAAGTTTAACCAATGTCAAGATTTTTGAGCACAAATGCTCAACTCTGCAGAGAAAAAGAGAAATATTTCCAACTTAAAGACATTTTTGATGATCTTGAGGATTATTTAATCACCATAATCAGTTTAAAAGGTTTTAAATCAATCACATAACATAGAAAAGCTATAAAATTAACTTAGAAAAAGTTTCAATTTGTTGAAACTGAAGCTTCCGCAAAGCTGTACACCACTTCCGACCATATTATCTCCCACTTTGATCTGGATAATTGTTAAGACAGTTAAATGGCATGAAAATGTCTCGAAATCTGTGGCAATTTTCCACCAAGACAATCTCTTCTTCTCGCACTTGATGCATGGCGCGCCATCATCAATTTCCTACGTGCAAACGCGCTCAAATTCACCTGCACAGGGAATGCAGAGCTGAGTCAGCCGATAAATCACCTTTTGTCACATACAACAAACAGAGCACATGAACACTGAAATGGGCGCAGAGAAGTCAATGGGAGTCTTGGACTGACGCTAATAAAAGCGCGAAAGTGTCTCCCATGGACTTTTCCACATTTTATGCCTTGGCCTTAAAAGCGCTATTTGGTCTCCACATTGAATTATATGCAAAATAGAAATCTCATTGGGAATTCCATGTGCTGTGATAAAGATTTTATTGATGCATACATGCAAATTATTGCAATTACTCCAGCAACATCGTGACTCTCACCCAATTTCAATTAATCCATATTTTCTCCCGCTCGCAGAATTAATTGATGAGATGATGGAATATGTGGGTAATTAGCCGTCTGTTGTCTGGGTGTGAAATATTCATGTCGGAGATCGATAAATTACATAAAATCATGCCTTATTAAAGTGTTTCACTGGGCAAAGTCTCACGAGTCGCTCGCAATACATTTCATTTCATCTCTTTTTCTTTATTTCTCTGACACAGAACAACTCCAATCAATCCGCCAATTGACTGCGGCTCGCTTCGTCTGCGACAACACAAACATCCAGTACATCCAGCCGAGGGCCTTCGAGAGGATCCACCTCGGAAACGAGCTGCTGCCCTGCGCCTCACTGCCGCGTCTTGACTACAATCTGTGGCGGGACGACGTCTCGGCAGCCTTCGACACCCACAACGCCTACGTCTTCAAGAAGTGATCGCGCCGTAAATTATTTATTGAGCCTAGTTGATAACAGTTTAATAAGCTCTGGAGCACATTTTCCATTGATTTATTCATGGAGAAACGTCCAGACGAAAGCATTATGACACGTGACCAACGATAGTGTGAAAATTAATTGCTAAGAGATTAATAAAAACATATTTCTTTTTTTTGTACATGGAGAAAGAGAAAATTAAACGTGAAAAAGCGTTTTGCCATTTTTTTTAAAGACGCATCCCTCCAGCAAATAAACCATTCCCTAAAAGGAAAATCCCCCTCAATTGTCACCACCTTAGAAGAGTTAAAAGTTGACGGCATTTCTTATTACTTCACACTTCTGTTAAAAGGTGCTTTTAGCATATAAAAATTTACCCCACAATCAATGAATGTTAATGTTCAGACGATGTGAAAAGCATGGAGAATAAAATTAATTGTACCAACGGAAAAATGTTGCTTTCAATCATTGCGTTTTCGAGTCGTTAATGAAAGTGAAAATATTTCATTTTCACTTCCATCAACAATTTCTTTTGTCAACTGCACATTCTGCACTATTCATTTCTTTCTAAAAATATCACTTCTCTGTGTCTTGAGGAAGTTCACACTGTCTTCGTGTTTGACCAACTCGCGAAAAACGGTGACATTGAGGGTGAAAATGTGCAGAAAAATATGCAGAAATTCCATTAGCGCCTCTACTAATTACCGTCGCTCTTTGGCAGAACTCCTCAGTTGGTCAGGAACTCATCATCGCGGTGGATCTTCCAGCGATTCACTTAACAGTGGGTGAAGAATAGTACAACGATGAATAGTGTATTACTTGTTCTTCTCACCGCGGGACTTTTCGCGGGTGGATTTTGCTTCAAAACCTACAATCCCGCTGATTTGAGGTAAGCGCTTAATTCCAGTGTTCTATAAGTGCAAATCCAGTTCAAGTATGTGTTTTCCCGCCTTTCAGGCTCGTCCTCGAGGCTTATCGCAATGCCACGAAAATGCAAAATATGCAAGAGATGCTGGAGAAACATCTCTGTGATCTCAAGATTGAGATGCGCCCAGAAGATGTAAGAATAAATCGTCGCTGTTGTGAAGCATCTTCTGATTCTCTTGCTGTTGCAGATTGGATTCAGACAATTCAGAAACTTCGGCCAGTTCTTGTCCATGGACACCAGAGAGGCATTTCGTGTGTCCAAAATCCTCCTGAAGGCTGGCCAATATCTCCACAGAGTCTTCTACAGCAACGTCACGAAGACTGAACTGTCTGAGAAAGACTTCTACACGTGGCTTCACGATCTCAGTCACTACGTGCCGCCGATCAGAGACACTGCACGCTGGAAGCTGAGCTGCGATCCCAAAGCGATGTATCGCTCCATCAACGGCACCTGCACTCACGCCAAAGATCCCAACGCTGGCAGCACACTCACGTCCTTCTCCAGAATCACGCTGCCCGTGTACGATGACGACATTCACATTGTCAGGCGAGATGCTGATTACAGAACTCTGCCGCTGGCACGCAACATCGTGGTCTACTTGTTCCTCAACTACAGCCCCTTCGCCAACACCGTCGACCAGCTGGACTTTGACAATATTCCCAACGTCGCTGGCCTGATGTTCGGCCAAGTTATCGCCCACGACATGACACAGAAGCTCAATGTTCAGAATTGTAAGTTCTTTTCCACTGATAAATCCTTTGAATTTATATTATTTCCACATTGCAGTGTGTTCTGAGAATGGCATTCAGTGCTGCGCGAGGAGAAACTCAAGAGTTCTGCCCGCGGATGAACTCCACTCCGCTTGCACTCCCATCCAGCTCAGCCCGCGCGATCCCATCTTCGGCCCGGCAAACGTCGGATGCGTCAATCTCATTCGCTCCGAGACAATTTCCCGCTACGGGAAAACCCTCTCAGCCGCCCAACAAGTCAATCGCGCCACGAGTGCACTCGATCTCTCAGTCATCTACGGATCATCTGACGTGGACGCGAAAACATTCAGAACGTTCCAGGGCGGAAAACTGATCATGAGTGCAGATAACATTCTGCCCGAGGTCGCCAATTGCACCACAAATGCTTGTTATCGCATTGGGGACAGTCGAGTGAATCAGACGCCCTTCCTGGCCATCCAATACTCTCTCTTCGCTCGCCATCACAACCGCGTGGCCGTGATCTTGTCCACACTCAACTCTCATTGGAAGGACAAGAAGATCTTCCAGGAAACCCGACGCATTCTCATCGCTCAGTATCAGCACGTCATCTTCAACGAATTCCTCCCGGCCTGGGGCCTGGCAGAGGACGATGATCCCGAAGATCTTGCGGATCCTGCAGATCCCGCAGTTGCAGACACTGAAGTCACCGCAGAGCCTGAAGATGAGCACGTGAAGGCAATCACGGTGAATGAATTCGCAACAGCTGCCTTCAGGATCTTCCACATGTTCATTCCCGATCAATACATGCTCCTGAATGCCCAGAATGTCATCAACAGCTTCAGACTCTCAGACACGATCTTCAATTCAACACTAATCAGATCCTTCTATGAAGATATCCTTCGCGGAATGCTGAATCAGCAGAGTAATCTGCAAGGATTCGGCGATGAAGTACTCAACAGATTGTTTAAGAATCTGGAAACGGATCTGGGCATTGATCTCATGGCGACAGACATCATCAGAGGACGAGATCATGGGCTGAATCCTTATTTGAAGTATGTGGAATTCTGCGGAACTTGTGCCAACCAGACAATCACCAGATTTGACGAATTGGGATGCCTTTTTGACTTCCAGGTGAGAAATGTTTGAGAAAATGCAGGTTTCAGGGCAGTTTTTACAGTCTACTGACATTGCAGAACATCGCTAGACTACAGAGAGTCTACAGGAGTGTTCAGGATATCGATCTGATGGTTGGCGGTGCCCTGGAAAATGCAGGCAGTGAACTTATCGGTCCCACATTCCAGTGCATCATTCGCGAGCAATTCCGCCGAACACGACTCGGCGATCGCTTCTTCTACAATCTCACCGACAGCGCCTATCCATTCACAAATGGTACGCATCTCCCCTATTTACTGCCACTTCCTCTTTAGCCACAGTAATTAAGCTCACCCTTTTCTTCCACAGATCAACTGAACGAGATCAGAAAGTTCACCGCTGCTCATTTATACTGTGGCAATTCAAACATCGAAAGAACACCAACGAGAGCCTTCATCACACCGCGCAGGGAAGCTGATTTTGTGCTGTGCCGAGATCTGCCTAGGCTAGAATACAGCGCTTGGAGGGAATCTCGACCCTGACAGAGGGATTAATTGACAATAATTAACTCAATTCTTTTCTCATTTCATTCAATATGACAAGTGTTATAAATTGCCTAAGTGTAAAATATTTTTAAACGAACATTCTCTGTTGACAAATTAAAAGGAAAAAAAACAAAACTCTGTGTTGATGAGGAATTGAAGGATTTTTCTCCTTGAGGAGCTGCAAATTGGCATTTTTAAGTGAATGAAAACAACGCGTGACACGCACATTTTCACTGGGGAAACAAACAATTTTATATATCCCGGAAAAGAAAACAGTTAAAGAATGCACTTTTATAATGAAGTTTTCTCGGCTTAATGCGCACAAAAACCGTGATGAAACTACCAACATGAAGAGAGAACTGATAAACAGGATGTTGTCTCTGTTACAAAAACCCTCTTACCTTACTAAATGCTAATAAATAGATCTAGAATCAATTAGATTTAAGGTCCAAGTTGCCAAAAGCCTGATCCAGTGCTTGAATGTACTTGCTACTCTTCTCGTTCTTCGATCGCTTCTTCGTCTTTTCGGTGATCTGGCCCAGGGCCCATTGACCCAGCTTCTGGGCTTCTTTCCTCTTGCTCAGCGTCGCCTTGGAATTCGATATGTGTCCACAGCACTGCAGCATGAGAGTTAAGCAGTTAGACAACAATATTTCCACACGAAGATGACATTAAACTCACCAAGTACAATCCGTATAGCGCACGAATGTTGTATGAATTCAGTTTTATCGCTTGTGAATAGTATGATTTGGCAATTTCAATATTCTCAATACCGCCCTGGAAAGTCAAAGAGAAGAAGAAGTAATGATAAAAACCACGTCATCTCAAGCTTCTTCTCAAGAGAAGATTCACTGTCAGACTCTCACCATTGTGTATCGGATCTCGCCCAGTCTCTGGTGGATCAAGTGACTGTGGGGGTTGTGCAGGAGGACCTCCTCCATGCAAAAGGCCGCCTTGGCATAGTCCGCCTCAGCCAAATACAGATTGCACAGCTCATGCCAGGCCTCCTGGTCGGACATGAACTTCTTCAGGTAGTCGCACAGCTCCTTGATGGCCTCGCCCGTCTTCCCGCGCGCCTTCAGGATGGCGATGCGTCTCTTTCGCGGTGCCGCATTCGTTTCATCTTTCCGGATAATGGCATCCAGCAAATCCAGAGCGTCGTCGTACTGCTCGAGTGCCTCTAGGCGCATCGCCCTGTACTTTTGCACACGCAGACTGCCCGGGAACTCCGCCGAGAGACTCTTGATGCACGCCTCGGCCACATCGATGCGCCCACAATCCAGTCCGGCAATGATCACTTGCTCCAGGACAAGGTGACGTTCGTTGCCCAGCTTCTGCTGCTTCTCCTCCAAAACAGCCTCCCAGAGATTCACCACGTCTTCGCTCTTGCGCTCATTGTCCTCACGCCACTTCCGGAATAGGTCACGCACCTCTGGAAGACCAATTAATCCAGTGACTCGCGATTCTTTGGGGTTGTGTGTCCACTTAACATTACAATGGGAGCGACGTGTTCGCGTGAGCATATGGAATATCAGCCCATTTCTCATCAAATCGCCCCACATTTTGCCAAGTGTCTAGTCGGAAAACATACCTGACCAACTCATGTCCTCGAAATTGTTTGCCATTTGAATAGAAATTCTCTCACAATGCTGTGAAAATCATTTAATTTAGGGGAAAAAATTCTTACACGATTTTCCAATTTGACACATGCTACACTGTCAAAAATCAACGCAATTCCAACTCATCGACAATCGACCAGTTGCGCTTGACTGGTTTCCATCATTCAAACAAAATATTTCGGTGAGGTGGTTTTGTGAAAATTGTGGAAAATGCCTCGGCAGAGAGTGAAAAACTCCTACAAGGGTTGCAGTTGCAAGAAATCCGGATGCCTGAAGAACTACTGCGAATGCTATGAGAAGAAAATTCCCTGCACGAGTTCCTGCAAATGCTTGGGTAAAAAAATCGAGAAAATCCATTCTGAAAAGTCTCCCTAGACTGACAAGATCATATTGTTTAGGCTGCAAGAATACTCAACACATCCATCTGCCCAAGTCAAGTGCTGAGAAAGCCAAGATACCGTCCAAAGAGTCTAGAAGAAGATCTTCTCTCATCAAGACTGAAACGGCCGGAGCTGTGATTTCATGCCTTTTTGCCAAGGCAAAACAATGTGAAGAATTCCAAATGTCTCCAGCAGCAGTGCAGCTTGAACTAATCATGGAGTTCAATCGCGCTCTGGGCATTATTCTCGAGAAAAACCAGGAAAACTGATGATTTCATTATAATTTATATTAATAACGAACGTTTTGCGCAGCTTTCATTTTGATAGGTTTTGTCGATTTTGTGCAACCTAGCAATTGCGAGATGTTTTGTTTTTGGACGAGACGTCAAAAATTTCCTGGCGAAAGCTGTGTTTTTAGATCTCTTTTCTCCACTAAAATGTTCAGGATTTCTCATAATTGTTCTCAAAGAATGATGCTTATAAGGTAGAGAATCATTTTGCAGGCAAGTGACAATAATTAATTTGTTACATTTCTTCCAGAAAAGCGCACACTTATTATGATGTTCTGAGGGTGAAGCCGACTTGCTCACAGAAGGAAATCCGTGAATCTTTCTTACAACTGTCCAAAGAAGTGGGTAATTATCTGGCTTTAAGTCAAGTCTAGAGCATTGGCTTTGAAGTAATTAATGCAATTCTTCCGTTTGCAGTTTCATCCGGACACTAATTTGACTGTAACGCAGGAAAGTACAAAGAAGTTTCAGAAGATTCTCGAGGCATATCAAGTTCTAGGAAAGACTGACTCACGAAAGATTTACGATGCAGACCTGAGATTGGTCCAGTCAAATTCATCATCATCTTCCAGCAAATCCTATCCCAGATTCTACAGGGATTTCCATCCGCCAGGATCTCCAGGAGGTGTCAAGTGAGTTACTTTTCTCATCTTCATTGGATCGAAAGTGATTCTAGATTGAGATGCAATTAATGACGCTGCAAGCGATTGACGCTAATCATGCCACATAATTTGCATGCCTGCTTGAGCATCTTGAGGCATCGATTGCGGGCAATCGCCGAAGCGTGATGTTTCAAAACACGCTGACTCGCTTTGAGAGAATCTCATTTCACATTAAAGCTAAGCTTAAGGCTCAGAAACCCATTAGTAATCTAATGTGCTTCTAATGTTACAGGCAAGGCGAGAATTACTACGGTCTGAAGGGAGTGAAGAGAGTATCGAATTATATAATTGTGTTACTCTGTGCGATATTTACTGGGATTGGAGTAACTCTTCAGGTTTTGGCAATTCGGTGAGTATCACGATAATCCTTGGTTTAATCCTAGCCGAATTCTCACGTTTATCTGTTTGCCCATCGGAAGATCTTCAATGACTTTCAAGAGGGAAAATTTAGATCTCCAATCCGAGGAGTGTGCACGTCAGCACGCGCAAGCGAAAGCTGATGCCAATAAGTACGGAAATGACTTACAAATAAAGCGATTGATGGAGAAGATGAGAGGAAATCGATAGTATTTGTGGAGAAATTTAGCTTTAGTTTTTAGATAGAATGGTTTTTGAATAAATGAAATATTTTCCAGTGTATTTTTCAAACATCTTTACTTCCTTATGAGTGTGCGGGAAACTTTTCTTTATTGTGGTTTTGGCACAATTTCATCTCTCTAAACATTCACCTTTACTCTGGAACACATTGCATAAAATCAAATGTTACACTCAACAATGCTAATTGACGAGACTGCCAGAATCCGTCTTGTGCCTATTTGCTGGCTTCTGGAATGATTCTCTTGACTAGCGTGCGGCAAGCTTCGTGCGGATGCTCTGGACAGAGGACCTGCTGTCCATTGCTGTCCAGGTAGTCTGTGTAGGGCATTCTGAAGACCTCCTCAAAGTCCAATTTCTCCATGACACGCGCGGAGAAGTGACTGGAGCACAGAACGTGCATCAGCGGAATGTTGTTCTCCTTCATGTACTCAATTGTGCAGTTTGTCAGCTCCACAGAAATGCCCATCCCACGATAATTGCTGTCCACTGAGAGGATTTTTCCATCCAGCACGACATCAACGTCCGGATATAAATCGAAGAGATTGAATTTTGTATCAATAAAGTCCATGAGACCCATGATTTTCCGGAATTTCTTGTGTTCACAGCCATCAGCCAGCTTCACGGGCTCCTCACCGTTTTTCTAAGCAGCCCAAAAGAACAAGAAATTGTAATCAAGATGCTGAGAAATTCTTCGCAATGCTCAAACTTACAGGCCTATGAATGAGTCCATTGAGGAAAACTCCAACAATTTCATTCCTGGAATTTACTGCTTTGAAGGAACATTTCTCTTTGATGCACTTTGTTGAGTAAAGCTCCAATTCTTTGCATTCTCCTAAATCCAAATACGTATTCAATGGTTCATCCTGAGAGGGGGAATAATTGGAAAAATGTTAAAATACATTGAATAGAACAAATCGAAGAGATTTTCCTGGAAATAACCGAGCTATCACTACCAATTATTTAATTAAACTCCGTGATTAAGATGGAATTTCTGAGGGTCACTAAACTTTAACACGAATTATGAGACATATTCTGTCTGAATCGTGAGATTCTCACTTTTATGATCTTCTGATGAAAACAATTTCGCATAAATCTACTGAAAATCTTACTTTGAAAAAGAATGTCTTCAAGAGTCTCAGAATCTCTTCGGTATCCTTGTCTGTGACTGGTTCATAGCGGATTTTTGTTGCATTTGCTGATGGAGAAGACATCTTTTGCGTCGCCACTCCAATTCCTCTTCGCAGCGACAGCAAATTGGAAATCTGTGTGAAAGAATTTCGCATTGGAATACAAAATTTTCACTCTGAAGGATTTACTCGTTCGTGCCGCAAAATCCGTTGAAGGAAAATGTTATACATATGTATACTCACCCCATATTCGATGAAATCCTCATTGAATGCCTTCGATTGGGAATTTAATTGGGCTTTTGGCTGAAATTGCACTTCCATGGTTGCCGTGTGTCGATTGGTAGTGATAAGACAGTGTGATAAGGAGAGACAACAACTTCACAATCACATGCAAGGACACACAATAGAGAGCGATTGCTAGACACTCAGATGACGGTGAAGAAGGGTGCTTTAACAAAAGGGGATGGGCAACACACAGGCTAATAATGTAATCTCACTCCGACTGAGAGTTTCCCAACAACTTCTCTTGCGCACGGGCTGAAAGAGCGATGCTGGGTGTCATCCACTTCGGAGGTGTGCGATTGACTTCGATATCAAGAATGAGAAGGTGTGCTGAGTCTTTATATAAGCTGGTTGCATTGCGCCCCGCCACAGCATCGCGTCGGATCTGATATGGGAAGCTGGTCAGTCAGTTTGCATTGTCACAAGATGTAATTCCTCTCCTCCCTTCCGAGCTCTCTGCAGAGCAATCTTATGCTCAAGAGTGGCGCGCTTGCAAGCAATCTAAATTACGCAAAAGCGAATTTATATTCCCTTTTTGTTCTCATGTCATTTGATTTATCGTTTATCGTTCAGGGTCATGATTATTTATTCAACTTTGCCAACAACTTGACTAAACGTTGTCTCCCCCAGATCTTGTGTGGATTGTTTCGATTTTGCCCTCACTCTCTGTGGGATATTCGCTTCTTCTTGTATCCATGTCAAGAGTGCCGACAATGGGTGATAACACACATGTTTCTGCATGAGAAAAGCCTTTGTCATTCACCCCATCGCGCATCCGGAGAACATCGTCACCATTCTCACAAGATCGCAACACCCACAAAAGCCCCAATTAGAATCTTTTTCCCGGCACACAAATCAATCTGCATAACGTATTCGGCGAGCCTATTTTGCATATAGCGTTTATGTGAACATATTAATCATGAGCATTGAATTTACAACAAATCTATCGACATCTTCGCGTGCTGCTCTGGAGGCTGGAGATCGGATGTGTACTTTCAAAGTCGTGATTGTCACCATTACTCTGTATCGATTTCACCTGCTGCACAAGCACACATAATTCCCGGCAAAAGGTGTGGATTTGTACTAAATTCTGCAGTCGTGAATCGTATATTGAGATCAACCTTGCGTATTCTGATAATATACGATGTGTGCTTATCAGACAAAACCTTCGCAGAAGACTCTATTGTCTATTCAGAGACTCAAGAGAAACACACATATTTCACTGTAATTCCAATCAATTCCTTTCTACAACATAAAACTGCAAAATAATCACTAGTTTGATAACACGACTCAATCTGGAGAAAGGCTCCATTGCAGTTTGCATACATTAAAATATGCATTAAGATAACCGGAAAGGGGCTTGTCACGCTCCAGCAATGAGCTTAATTATACAACAATAGCCATTAATGAAACTCCTTCACAATTGCCTTTCAATCAATAAATAATTCACCGCGTGTCAGAAACCAAATTACAACTTAACAATGTAACATTCTAATAGAAAATTCCTTAACTTCTTATTGAGTTAAACTTGAGAGACAAAGTTTCCTTTTTTCCGCTCTTTTCTGTGTGATTTGCAAATCAAATTTATTGTGCACTTTCAAACTTTGGTGAATAAATTCATTTCATATTCATTGCGGTCCAAATAAGATGATGCTAATGAAGAAGTGGCGGAGAATTTAACCCCCTCAACAACAAAAAAATACACACATAATTGGAAAAGCGAGGAGAATAAAAATGATGAAAAGAACGCAATTAAAATCCCGAGACACTTCTGAAGGAAATTCCAAAATGTCACAATGGAGGACATTGACGATGCGTGTAACTTTGAAAATTCAATTTTTTGCTCTTATTTATTGCATTTTCCACAAACAATTCCGCTTCCCAATTGGGACACTGTCTAAACAAATTACAATATTTTCTCGTGCAAACTCCGCGTGAGTTTCAAGTCTATCAATAAATCTCTCAATCATCCTCCTTGGCTGTTCCGTCGATACATTTCCTCCTCGTGCGGCATTTTCCGTTGCATGCATCGAATATTAAACGAAATTCAATTATATGTGCAGCCAATAAATAATGTCATAAGGAAAATTGATGGGGAAAACCGCAAGATTGAATATTTTCAGCAGTGCAATGAGCAATTTTGGAAAATTGCACAGAATTCGCAAGAATTCACTTCACCAGAAAATATAATTAAAACTTAAGCGCAGCATTGCGGCGAGATGATTTTTATGCCTGATTCAAGGTTGTCTTGTTGCCGGGGATTCCAAATGACTTTCGCTGACCCTTTGTTGAGCCAATTCTGACATGAACTACTTTGCGATTCGTAAACAATTTCGTCCACTCACGTGATTATTATTATTATATTAATTGTATTGTCGCTCTGGGCTTGTCGCGGATTAGCAAAAAAGTGGGGAAAACATGTAAAAAGTAAGCTGACAAAGAGGGTTTGCAAGATAAAAAGCTCTTCCATGTCAATTAGTACTTTTGGTAACATTTGTTATTAATAGAAATCGCGGTTTAAATACAGTAATAATATTGTTCGATATGAAGTTAAATTGAAACTGAAGTTGTTTAACACACGTGACATCCAAAATTACCTTGCCCTGTTTGCTGTCTTTTTATTTTTATTAACTCCTGCACTGCTAAAACTGTGCAGATAATTGCACTCCAAAACTGATCCATCGGGTCTGCATTTCATACAAATTCCGCGAAGAACGCGAGTTCAGCGTCAGGGTCGCGAGTTGCACTGGCGAGACGACCAGAGTCAAGATCACGGTTGATCGCTGATGGAGTGGCGAAGCGCGAGTGTGAGTGATTGAAAAGCGGTTTTATTGGCAAATTGTGATGCCTTTTCCCGAGCAGCATTGCAAATGCATATTAATCGATATCGTTTACCACTTGTGCACTCTGGGGAAATCCATCATAAAGTCAACATGAGAGTGAAGAGCTTTCGGGCTGAAGAGCGAATCTCGTGTGTCGCCCGTGCGGAGGTGGCAGATGTGCCACAAATGCATATGTAGCTCGTCATGTTGCAGCTATAAATACGAGAGTGTTCATGCGAATTCCACCCATACTCGACCTACCCCACTGCGAGTGGGAGAGAGAGACGGTGGGAAAGCCATCATCCCGGGGCTTCACGTATAGCTTTGAATCTGAGTGGGTGGAATTCCACCCACTTTCGGTGTTTGGCTGCGTCTGTTTTGCCATGATAACTCGTGTGGCTTTAGTTGCCAGGGATGCAAAACTACATGAATGAACTTCGAGGGCATTTTGTGAACTTCCCACTCGAAGTGGGAGATTCATTTTGTGGCTTTTTGTATCTGCACAAAACCCAGAAGTAACCCAGCTTTTCCTCATTATTCCCCAGATTTTATTGATCATATAAAAGACGAGGAAGTTGGCAAAGTTCTTATTTTATTTACAAAATGATCTTGAGAACCTTTTTTCGACCACATTTTTAAGAACTTTCAACGAATTTAATTGACAACTTTACTTATATTATGATTTATTGCCGTCATATTATTAAGAGTTTTGTGGAAAATCATGTAATTACACTGAAACACATGCAGTTTATGTGAGAAGAATTCATTGAAATTTGAATTTTGCTATTTTAGTGTAGTGTGAAGAGGCAACATTATTGCAAGAAATTAATGACAAAGTTTGATTTATGATGATGTAGTGTTGATCATTTACTTAGTCAACTTCCACATTGCGATGAACACATTTGAAGCCAGAACTGAAGGCGCTCAAAGAGCAGTAAATGATATCTACACAACTTTGTGATCACTATTGGGTTAATGCTTTTCCTAAACTGATTTATAGTAACGCTAAGCAAATAATTTAATTTATGGCGGCAAAAGTTGTCCGGGAGAAGAGAAACTCTTGCTAGAATTAATACAAAACTTTCCTCTTTCTCCCTATTCATTCCATTCGCCTTCGCGAGCTCAAGACTCGGGCGGAGATTGTAATTTACGGGAGTACGAGTGAAGGATTGGAGACGGGAAATGCGAAAGGTAGGGGGGAGACGAAAGTTTTTCTTGACCTACATACATTTGCCACGCGTTCTCAGGAATGTAATTGGGCGGTGGAGAATGTGTTCATTTGCCATGAGTGGAGATTTTCATTGGCATCAGTCAATTTGGGGCAGTTTTCCACTGGGGGGAGGATTTCCACTCAAAAGCTCCTTCAATGCGGCATTGAATTGAACTCATCCTTCCGGGCGCCTCACTCCACCCCTGGAAATCTCACCCGGGAAACACTATTCCTTCCTGCTCACTGAGGTAGAGCACTAAAATACAAAGCTCTCCTCTTTTGTACGAATGTCTAAGAAATACATCACGTTCACCTCCTCCTACAAAACCTTCGTCAGGGGGTCAGAAACATGTGGAAATGTATTTTTTTTAACTGCTACAGAGCCAGAAGTATTCTGGTGAACCATGAAGATTTTTGGAAGCTTGAGTTATCGCGTGAGAATATAAGATAAGATCCTTTGGCTCTGAGCTAAAACTAGTTTCAATTGACTGAATTATTATTATCAAATAAGTAAGCGATCAACTCAATTGAGCGAAAATTTTATCCGCAATGAATTTCCTCAATTCAGCGAGAGTCTCTCGCCCCTCGACATTTCCCTGAAGCACACTGGGAATCGGGTTGACTGAGAAGTTTCTCCGTGGTAAGTTTTTCGATATAAACTGACTGTTTGCTTTTCTACGATTTTTTCCTCTCTTCACCCCCACTCGCGCCCCGAGAATCCTCCGACAATCTCCCTCTCTCTCTCTGTGCCGAACGAATTGTTGCAAGGAAACATGGAATATGAGAATGATGATAAGAGGAATCACTCATGGATGTTCTCCTCGGGAAGTCAGATCCTGACGGAGACTAAATCTATGCTGGGTCGCTGGGCGGTGGGTGGCGTTGGGTGGTGATCTGGGGCGGCGGAATGGGGGGAGAAAAGGGCGAAAATCGATTTTATTTTCTGTTACTTCCTAACTGACTCTGCGAGTATTGTTGCTTGAGCCGAAAAGCATTGGTGTCTTCAAGAGGTGGAGGGATGTTTGATAAGCCTTTCAGATGTGGGTGGAAACGCCCGGCCTGGGATTCATGTGGGACTGCACGCGAGGGTGAGTGACATGGGTCTCGGCACACAATGTGAGAATAGCAATTTCGCCAGTGAGTTTGGCTGCGAGTAATGCTTGAGACAATCGCACTTTTTGGGCGGATTTTTCGCATAAATTCCGGATTTGTGATAAATGTTGCTCAGTTATTTAAAGTGATGAAAAATCCGTGATTGAGGGACAATGAGGGTAATCTCACACCTGACTTGATAATAAGATTGATTAATGTTCTTGCGCGCGCGATGCATAAAAAGTTCATCAATCATTTAACATTGACATTCTGCCTCTTGTAAAGCTCAATTACATCCCTTCCATCCCCTTTCATCCTGCAGGGAACTTTATGATTTCTCGTCCTGCCGCCGTCAGAATGTTAATGGATGTAAATTGAATTTATCAGCATTGAATGTGAGGAACGCCACGTCTAATCTTGTTACACTTGCGGGAATTTGCTGGATTGTCTGGCGGGCAAAATTGTGTGAGATAAATCATTTGTGGCACGTGAATTTGCCTATTAGACCTGTCGCACTTTTTCCACCACACAAAAGAGAATTTGAGAGGCATCTCAAATGTTAAGACCGAAGACATTTGAGACGATGCCAAAAGCGAAAATAGACTTCTGTCGCACAAATGTTTGCCCAATAATTTTCCAACTTGCAGAGATTATTGTGTCCATTTCTCATTGCAAAGCCCACGAGCGTGTGTGTGTGTGATGCTCGGAAGGGAAATTTATCAACTTCATCTATATTTCCAACAAAGCGGAAAAACTGGGAATACGTATGGATTACAAGATGAAAAATGATACATTTGGAATTAACAACCCCAAAATACCTATGAAAATGAGTTTGTTTGGGGACATTCAGCGCACCAAATGAAATTGAATCCTGCTCATTAATTCCAGAACGGACGCAATTTTGAGTGGCAGCAGCACAATTCAATTATTCAATTGCCAATTGACTCCTCGCCATTGTGTCCGGAAAGTGTTTCGGCGAGTGAGAGAGAGATAGAATGGGAATGCTGCTTTAATGCCAATTTGCTTCACAGTGTCAATGATGAGGGAGTGAAAAGCGCCCCATTTACACAGTCATGCCAGCTTTTTTTTCCTTTGCCCAGTTGAAATAATATTTCCTCACATGGCATTTGCCCAAGTGGGCCAAGTTTATCAATTCACAATTTACACTCAATCGTCTCCATATGCTTATAAATAGCCGTTCATGAGTGTATTTGCTCGATGTGAATGTTTCTTCTTGCCACAAAAAGCTCCCCTAATTAATCACAACTGATAGTACATGATTTTTTACACGACTTGTAGCTTTCTTATCTGACCGTCACACTGTGGCAGAGTATCATTTTCTCGCGAGCAAAGAGGAGAGAAAGAGAGAAAAGTGCGATAAGCGTATGGAGATTAAAATGGCATCGAACAGTGAAATAAATATGAATTTTATGGAATATAATGAATTAAAAAACCTCACAACACTAGAAACAGACGAACAATGAAAAAAGTGCACTGATAAAAGAAGAAGAAGCACTTAAATGAACACAGAATCTACCTGTCTTGGGCACAATATCTTTCATTGAGATTTGCACTGCCCGCACTCGAGCCACCAGAAAGACACTTTTTTTCCCTGGAAAAAAATGTCCACTTTCCCTAACCGAAGGGTGGCTAGGGAAAATCTCACCTGATTTTCAGATTAAATTAGCAGCACTGGAGTCAACAAAAACACCCTGGGGTAATTTTTCCTGCACTTCCCGTCACCAGACAGCCCTTCTGCCGCCGGACGCAGTAAATCTCCGCACAGCACAGGAACTGAGAACTGTTAATCCTTCCGGTGGCGCTCGAGCGACGCTCCGAAATGTGTGTCTCTCGCCCCAAACGGCTCGTGTCACACTAGTGGAGAGCTCCACAAAAATCACTTACATTTTCCACTACACACTGCGTGGGCGGAGTTTCCTCAATCTCTGTTATCAGTCGGCGCGCAAAAATCCGCCGCACTCCGCGCGCCCCCGGCGTCTCCCTTGGGAGCTCCTCCGCTCTATCCCGCCACACTTCATTGATTTCCGTGGTGATGCACTTGGGATTGGTAACAAGAGGACTCAACTCAAGAGACTCGAGAAGTCGCCTTCTCGGCCAATTTGCGTCCCCTCTGTCTCAAGCTCTCTGCGCCTCTGACGTTGGATTGAACGTGACAGAGACAGATTTCAGATTTATGCGCTTTATGCTATGTTTCATAAGGATTTATTTATATTTTTCAGTACTTCTCGAATATATTTCTGTGATTGATTGCGATCGGAGAGACTTTCGATTCTTTATATCAAACTTTCCCGGGGCGTTTTACATTGATTTGTATGAGTTAGAAAACATTTTAAGCCCCTTCATCATTTCTTTTTATCTATTGATTTTACGGATTTTCTTCAGTTATTCTTTGGCACCCGTTATCCGAGTTATTAAGACCAAAATGTGGATTGATAATTTCGCTGAATTCTGAAAATTGATTCTCACGCCATCATTTGCGGCTTGTGACGATTTGTCAATGAATGTGAGAGTTATTTTTGTATCGAATCTTCAGTTCAATCGTTTTTTTTTCTTGAGCTGAAAAACACATAAATTTCATAGTAAATAAATGTTGATGTAATATCGACTATTTTTACCATTACACTTGCTTCCGTTTGTCCATTTACTCTATCCTAATTACATTCGGAAAGTAAATAACGTGCCTTTTTTGTTTATTGGCATTTGCTGAGGAATTGAACTTTTTAATTTTGCAAGATCGCCTTGCCGAATATCAAAATCTTGTGAAGCTTTCATGAGCTTTTCCAAATCACCAGCTATATCTGTTTTCGCGCTCAAACTACTTTCAAAGATTCCCAACAGATGGACGGAATTTAATAGGATTCGAAGCTCAACGTGAAGTTTGCTGCGACATTTTCAGATGCCGTACAAATGTGTATTGCTGAGAATTGTCCATGGAGAGTCCCAGGACGTCGACAGCACGGAAAAATCAATTTTCACGGTCGTGGGGCAATGGAAAACATGAAGTAGTGGATCTGTCTCGTGACTGTTTCATCTCGGCATCACTTCTGTGCAATTCACGGAGATTTCACCGTGTTCTGCGGGAAGCATTTCAGTATTTGGGAGTACGGGAAAACCGGTCAACAGTTGGGCGACAAATACTTTAGTGGGACGTGAAGTTTGACAGTGTATTTTGTGAAATGGCCAGTCGTTTCAGAAAATATCGTGGCGAGCAGTTTCAGAGTGAGTTTGGCGTAAAAACTGTGCTGTATTTAGTGGGATAGGTTCAATATCTCAAATCAAAGTTGCTCTACGGTCAATAATGTATTTTGTCTGTTAAATCGATGTGAGCCGGTAACCTTGGTCGTCTCTTTCTATATAATAACTTGCATACATATATAGGGAGGTGGAAAAATATTGCAAAGTGAAGAAATTTTCCACGCTTTTTCTTCCCACCCGACTAAATGTCTCTGTGGTGTCACGAGAAGGAAAAAGTTTACAATTTCACGTTGGATATTGGATTACATTGTATCGCAAATGGAAGTGAAATGTCTGAAAAAGTCTAAAAGTTCTGGGTAAAAATGACCGACAGAGAGAGAGAGAGAGAGAGTGAGATGAGAAGGAAAAAAACTGCACACCAACACGCACACAGTACGGTTGTGTGAAATGCAGCCCCGTCACACGCCCAAGCAGAACACGTCTGGTTGAAAACAAGGCGACTCAGTGTCGTTCAAGAGAGCAAGAGACTCTCAATTTCTCCAAAGACAAGAGGAATCCAAGCACCTCGTTGTGACATTTCTTCGGGCTCAGCCCATCTCGCGTCCGGATCGCCAGACTGTGTCTGAAGATGCACCAGGTGTCGTAGAGAGACTGCAGATCACTCCAAGGGACGCCCACGAGCGGTCAGAGTCACTTCCCCGTCGCCTCGATGCACATTGAGTGAGCCACCTCCGCAGAAGTGTCACTACCCCCGTGCCAGTTGGCGTCTCTTCCACGCAATCTGCCCCCGATTCGCCGATAAAAGCAGCCCGCGACTGCCTGTGGATCGGCACCAGGCAGTGATTCGTGTGCCAGAGTGGCGGATACCAGTGCAAACTGGGGGATTTTTCCACTGGGCGCCCCGGAGAGGAGTGTGAGAAGTGACATTGGACGTCCGGAGAGACATAACCTAACATATTTGCTCAATTGTGTCAACACAGCAAACGCGCAGTGCATCTGTTCTGCTTGCCTCCCTTTCACCCTGTTCTCCACACTGCGCCACACCTTCCGGCGCCGTGGGGCCCGTGCACGGGGCTGCAGAGTCTGATTCAGCAGGAAATTGGAGCCCCGCAAGGGCCTGAAGAAAAACAGTGTCTGTGGGCGAACGTGTGCAGTGTTTTCTTTCTCATCTTTCCTCCGGAAAAGAGATAAAAAAGAGAAATGCGAGTGTCGGCATGAAGTGCATTGATAAAGTGAGTTGTGTGATTGTAAAATCTAGGATTTAGGTGGTCGTGCATCCATTGAGCGAAGCAGGCAAAGAGATAAGCAGTCCCTTGGCCGCGTTGCAGCTGAAGGCGAGGAGAGAAGGAAAGGGATTTGTGGACAGACGACTCAGCAGAGCCCCCATTTCTCTCGCAACTCTTTGCCACTCCGTGTGATATTTTGCCATGCCGGGCAGCCGATCGTCGCGATCCAGCAACAACGAGCCAGACCATCAGAAATCACCGAGTGGCGAAGATTCCGAAGATGAGAGCGAAATCTTAGAGGAGAGTCCGTGCGGACGATGGCTGAAGCGGCGGGAAGAGGTGAGTCTCGTCTCTCAATCCTGTTCAGTTAGGTCTCTCTGGGTGAGAGTTGTGCAAGTGTTGCGCGAGGCTCTAAATTTACTGGTGCCTCTCCTTATGTATCATCTGCACTTCACACATTTTATTATTAATGCGTGTGACTCGTCGCGGTGAATGTGAAATGATCCATTCATCGGATGACGCTTCCTCTTGTCTCTTGTGTCCACCTCGCGAAGAAAGCAGCAGCATTCACGCTGTGCTGGTGATTAGTGGATGGGGTGTAAATAAAAATCTGCCACGTTTAATCTCCGACTGTGTACGTTTAAAGTAACATTTGAAGAAGAAGTTTGTAGCATTGTGAGTGGGAAGGAGAGGATTAAACATGAAAGAGAAGCGCGGATATTTTCGTTTCTTGCCAAATTGACCAGAGAGGGAGAGAGAGAAATTCTAAATAGCAAAAAAAGAGCGATGTTGGAATCGTAAATAAAGGTTCTTTCATTTCAATTTGAATGTGGGTGGCTAAAAATACATAAGCGCTTTCAATTTGAAGAATCCCAACTATTTAATGCACTAGCGCCAGCGGTCAAAGTCAAGTTTCTCTCTACCCAAAAGCAACAGTCTGCACTTGTGACACTCTTTCTTGCCCAAAATCCAAACTCTTGGGGACATTTAATGGCCTCAGCAACATCTGCAAGCGGATTTTGTTCTCCAAAAGAATTCGTATTGCTATTTGTCAAATTTAGTCAAGGAGAGGCTAAAAAAGACTGATCAAATAGCTCGAACTATAATTGTATACAAAATTTCTATTAATAATCTCACAGAGAGTCTCGCAAGATAACCGTTGTCTTCCTTATTTTTCCACCACCACCGCCGCCAACAGTCATATGTGTTTCATTGATGCGCAATTTGTCGCGTTTATCAACGTATTTTTATTGTTTTTTTCTACGCAAATACTACAATTGTCTGGTCTCATTGTGCACACTATAAAGGCAGATTATATGCAATTGAATCGCGTGGCATTTCAGTGCTTGCGATTTTATTTTTGATATAACTATATAAGATTGTGGAATGTTTGCGGCAAAATAGGATCATCGATTTTGCCTTTGTTTTGTCTCTGTTTCATATTAAGAAAGAGCTTGTGAGAATGTAATTAAATACAACCGAAGTGAAAAGGCATAAACTTCAAGTTGTGTGATTGCATTCTAAAAAAAACAGAGTGTATGAAATTTAAAGAGACAAATTCAAAACATCAACATTTATCCTCACATTTATCTCGGTAAGATTTCTGATGTTGCTATAAAGCCATGAGGATGAACTGCATGATAATTGAAATTTGGCCATATGCCATATATTCCATTATTTTCGAGGTTAAATCTTCGATTAAGATTTATCTTTTTACATATTTCACTAAATGCGCTCTTTTCAATTTACACAAGTTTGGCACAAGAAGTTTGTGCTTCTTAACAACTCAGCAAAGGTATTTAATTTCTTATATGAGATAAGAAATTAGTAGAATAGAAATGGTTTTGTGTTTAAAACAGCTCTTTGTGAATCTTCCATTGCTGTTCAACGAATAGTTGCGACTGATGATGACTCAATATCTTTTCATGTTTCTCGTGGATTCGTTGTTTTTGCAATCCCTTCTCACTATGTCTATTAATAGACCTATCATATCATGAAGTAGTGGCTTTAGTTGAGTGTGAGCAAGCGAGACTGAGAGCGAAGACGAACTGAGTAAGATCAGGGATGACTGTTTCATCTGATAGTCCACAAGATGTATTTCCTTGTCTGTCTCTCGCGTGTTGATCTTCGGATGTTATTCATATTGCAGAAACTCACCTTTCCAGAACAGAATACTGATAAGATATTGCTTCAGGATCTGTTGTTGTTGGATATATTTATGGGTTGTGGAAAACAGAAGAAGCAGAAACCCAATTTAGTATGGATTACTAATTTATTCAGAGGCAAAGCTTGACTTTGACTAGTAATATTCTATCAACAAAACAACCAGACTTAATGTGGACGGATGAAGAAGATGAAAAAAATAACGAGAAAGAGAAGAGATAACTAAATTGGCATAAATGAATTGCCTTTTGAGACGAGAACTTATTTGTGATACTTTTTCTCTCTTTCTCACTCTCTCAAGTTCATTGTTCACGTATGAATCACTTTATACTGATTTTAGATACATTATGTATATCTTCCAAACACATTTCTTCCTTCGACGCTCTTGTCTTCAGTATCTCCTTACGTTGTATATTTTCAAAAAGCAAAGCACTATAAGCTTTGTGTCATCTGTCTCTCTGGGTTTCAAGGAACAACAAAATATACACACACATAAAATTTCTATATGGCGATGGGAAAGTGACTGTAGTTATATCTTTAAACTGTAACTTTGCTCAACAATTTTCCCAGGAAAGTTTGATGACTTTTCTCCAAAAAAGAGAGAGATTCCACCTTCTAAACTGAATTTTGATGTTGTACGATATATAAATTCTCCTTTTACTCTTTGAATTGTAGTATAAAATTCTGTGCTTTATGGATTTTTTGGCCAACAATAATATGAAATATATATTAAAAATTTATCCGTCACATATGAAAATCGATATTAATAACGAGAAAGCATGAGAAATGTGACAATGTATTTCTGGAGAGAAGGAAAATGAGATGAAAAAGCGAAAAATCACGTAATATTGACATCTTTGTGTGAAGAAGAAGATGAAAGGAAGAGGAAACACATTAATGGATATTGAGAAATTTAATTGTGAAAGTCATTTTTTACTCCATTCCATGCTTTTCTGCGGTTGTGTAGAATCTATTAATAGGACTTGAGCGATTTATTGATATCTGCAGTTTAATGTATTGAAGGGGGGAAAGATGACCGGAAAAGAAGTGCGGCTTTTGACCCACAACGCCTTATCACACACTCAATTTAGCACAATTCTTGGGCTGTGGCTATAAATTATTCGTGCTGTAGTTGTTTTAAAATGTTCGCTCACATGTGCAAATTTTATTCTTAAAGTTGTTTTAGGTGTGAGAGATAAAGAAATTGACGTACAATTGCAAAAGTTAGAGGAGTGCAAAATTTGAACTCATCACCTTTTCGCTCTCATGTTAGTTGTCAAGTCACGTTCTTGTTGTATGTAGAAATTCAACACGAGTGCGGAATTATATAACGAGAATTGAGGCAAAATGTATGAGATATGCGAATGATTATTATGAGAAGAGCTTAGAAATTCTATTGCATGAAACTCGTTTTTTTGTCAATGAAAATGATGTTAACTAATCAATTGTAAATTTCATATAAAAAACACACATTTATGAAGAACATTAGCATTGATTTTTCCTTAGCTAAAGGCGGATTTTTCACTTTTAATTCAATTAGATTGCAATAATAAAATTGTAATTGCCTTTGGGTGAACATGTGTATGAAGTTAATCCACATGACTTTACTTTATGACGTGAAATTTGTGCAAAGCACGTGGAGAAATGTATCTTCAATGAGCGACCGGCTTCTTGGCGTCGAATTGTAAATTGATTTGTCACTGATAAAAAGCATTTCTATTGGAGGAATTCATTGAGTTGATGTTTCACTGTGTGTAGATTATTATTATTATGTTTGCATGTGCGTATGATGTGAGTGTAGATTTATTTGATATACAGAAAATTGCTAAGATAAAAGAGGATGAGAAGAGGTGTGAATTCTATCTTTAGGGTATTTTCTTCTTCTTCAACTGCAGACGATGAACTATTTTCTGCAATGCTCGTCTCTCTTCTTGTGTTTTTCCCTCATAACCTCTCGTTCCGCACATTGTACATAAATGTGCGCTATATAGCGTTGAAGAGTATATGTATTTCGTTAAAATAAAAAAAGGTGGGATGATTAGGAGTAATAACATACTTAACTTTCCCGGCATTATGTTCATTGGGCCGTGGACACTCATTTCCACGTCGAGTGGCGGCTGGCATCTTCTCTCCTCTCCGCATGTACATTTCTGGTCACGGACACATGGGAGCCACTTGAGTCAGACACATGAGCAATATTGTGCAAAGTAATGTGAAGTTGTGGCCTATCAACACTCCACTCCTTGGTGATTATAATGATTGCTGGTCACACGAAGCTCCCGTCAAACAAATTGCCACCCTGTCGCGCACTCAAATGGGGAAGTTCATTCGCCCACCTTCCTTTTCTCTTTCTTTTTTTTTAAATCTTTTCATTAATGGATATGATAAAGAGTATATGCAGAAAATGTGGGTTCGGCGGTTTGAGAGTGCAGAAGGAAAAGGAGGAAAGAAAAAATAACGTCCATTTAACTGAGATTTTATTATAATTACAAATGAATAGTTAAACACGTTTGTCATCGACACACACTCGCATCGTTGAAAGATCATTGACTGTTTTGTAGAAGTGAATGGTTTGTGTTTCTTGAGATTTGAATTTCACTCGTTCACACATTTCACTATATATTGTTGTACAGCGCAAAATAGAGAGAGAGAGAGAGAGAATTGCAACGATCGTAAATCCGAAAATGGCCAGTAAAATTTTGTGTCTAGTAGGAAAGATGGAGGAAATGGCAATTTTATTTTCTCTCAAACCCTCAATAATAATGCCTGCACTGACGTGTTTGAGTAGTGCAAAGTCGGTTGTGCTTGAGAATTGCGACCAATTATGGATATTTATAATGAATTTGTCACCTGACAATATTATATTTGAGTCAGCAATCAATGTGGAAAAAAAGAGTAATAATTACAACCAATGCGAGTCACCTAGAATGACAAACTTCCTCAAACTCGTGTCATAATATTTTCTGAAAAAAATCAACTTAATATGCCTCGTGCTCAGCTTTTGCGTCTGTCCTCAACACTCAGACGCTCAAACACTCTTGCTGCGTGTATTTATTTTACATTATAGAGAAATAAATAGTGTGGAAGGACACTTTGTGTAATATTTAGCGCTAATTCTTCTTCCTCGTTCCTCTTTTTTCTCTTCTTATGTGGTGTTTCTTTGCACATGAAGAAGA